GTTCCAGCAAGGCCGAGAGGTATGACATGCTTCTTCATGTGCGATGCCAACACTCACTTGGCAGTGTCAGCCTTATGGATTCCCCCCCGCCTGGTGGCTTCACCCCGGAGGTTTCGGCTACACTGAAGGGTGAAGGTGGTCCGAAGGTCATAATATCGATGCAGCGATCGGCACTCCTGGCCTTGGCGGCTCTTCGGGTGATGCACCCGGAGTTGTATTGGGCTTTGGTCACCACACAGATGAAACTCGCTCAATGGGCTATGGAAAATGAGCTTGATGGCATGTATGCTCGTCTGCAACTTTGGGCCTCGGTGTTCAACTGCGCAGCCGTCATGTGTAACAGGCAATGCCCTCTTCACCGATCCAAGATCTACTCCAGAAGGGTTCGACATCATGACCAGTATCAGCCGTTATTGCGATGGCCTCATGACGCTGTCCAATCTCGGCATTCAGTTGCGATATAACTCCAGTGCCATGGTCGGCTGCTCCGGACACATTGTCAGGCATGGCATCACATTCAGGGGTGATCGGTCTGTGTGGGCATGGTTCATGCGCGATAGCCTTCACAATTTTGTGGGAACACCTTGGTCAGAGTATGCAAAATACAAGGATGTAGATTGGGATGTCTCGGTTTCAGCTTAGATGACCGTGTCATGCTATATCAGATTACATTACGGTTGTATTCAGCCTTTTGGATTGATTAGTGATAAGGTTGTCAATTAATTTGAATCGATGATGTTGATTGAATCCCCGAAGTCTTCTCACCATGTCACCGATTGACCGGACGTGAAGATGGAGGCCATGGGCCTGAGCCTGAGATGATCGGCATTGTTTGCCATGTGCCAACCAATGTGCACGGGAAACACGTTCCACATCGGCCCACCTGATAGAATTGAACGCTGCTCGTTCGTGGGCCCACCCAACATCATCCATCCCATCAGGCCCACTGATATGCACAGGAAATGCATTCTGCATGGGCCGGTCGATACGTACAGGCAACACATTCTATGGGCCCACATGATGACTTCACAGCAAGCATTGGCCGACTGATATGCACAGGCAGGGCATTCTACATCAGCCCGGTGGATAACATCGGGAATTCATCCCCATCGGCCCACACGATAGCTTCACACCCATTGTTGGCTGACCAATATACACAGGCAATGCATTCCAGTATCAGGCCTTCCAGATAGGATCGACCTTTTCTCCCCCATCAGCCCACCTGACACCACACATGCCATCGGCTGGCCGATATGCACATAGAATACATAGTATGGGCCCACACAATGGGTTCACATTTGCTGTTGGCCGACCAATACACACAGGCAAAGTATTCAACATCGGCCCACCTGATACAATACAGACCATCGGCCGGCTGATACCTAAAAATAACACATCATAGGGGCCCACCTGATAGCATCGGGTATCCCTTCCCATGGGCCCACACAGTGGCTTCACACCTAGCATTGGCCGACTGATGTGCACAGGCAACGTATTTGACATAGGCCGACCGATAAGTATAGGAAATGTATTCCATGTGGGCCGACTGATACGCACAGGAAATGTATTCCATGTGGGCCAACTGATATGCACAGGCAACGTATTCCATGTGGGCCGACTGATGCCCACAGGCAACATATTTTACATGGGCTGACCAATGCGCACAGGCAACGTATTTTACATGGGCCGACCGATAAGCACAGGAAATGTGTTCCATACCGGCCAACCGATGCGCACAGGCAATGTATTCCATATGGGCCGACAGATGTGCACAGGCAACGTATTTTACATGGGCTGACCGATAAGCACAGGAAATGTGTTCCATACCGGCCGACCGATGCGCACAGGCAACCTATTTCATGTGGGCCAACCGATATGCACAGACAACCTTTTCCATGTGGGCCAACCGATACACAAGAAATGTATTCCATACCGGCTGACCGATGTGCACAGGCAACCTATTCCATGTCGGCCAACCGATATGCACATGCAACCTATTCTACATGGGCCCACCTGATCTAATACAGACTGTCAGCCAGTTGATGGCCACAGCCAACAAGCTCCATGGGCCCGCCTGATAGCATCGGGAATTTCTCCCCATGGGCCTACATGATGGCTTCACACCCATCATTGGCCTACTGATATACATGGAGGATGCATGCTTTATGGGCCTACCTGATAAAGTCAACTGTTGCTCCTTCATGGGCCCGCCTGATACCACACATACAATCGGCCAACTGATACACACAGGCACTATGTTCTACATGGGCCCAGCTGACAGCATCAGAGACTCCTCCACCACCATTTGCCCACCAATATACCGAACCCATGGGGCCATATGATGTTCATGGCCACCGGCCAACATGTTAATATCGACCATCATTACTTATGGGCCCAGCTGTTGAAATCGGGTCTCAGTAAGCCTGCTGGCCGAACGTTATGCACAGGCAAAACCATTCGATCGGCCGACGTCCACTGGCCTGTATGGAACAGCATATTTTCAACCTCGGCTGCCTGTATAATACAGACTATGTGACTGAATGGGCTCCTCTACATCCACTCCGATGAAGATAGCTTCTTCCGCCCTTGCCTCCAACTTACCTGTCTCCAGGAGATGGACATAGACTCTCGTCCCAAATTTGTGCACTTGCACCAGGCTTGGCTGCGCATGACAAATGAGTGCGTAGGGTGTAGTGGTGGGGGTCACACAGGAGGGAAGTCTGTTCTTCAACCAGGTCGCATAGCTCACCACTTCGGCCCATAGGTACTTTGGTAAGTCCTTTGCTATAAGCATTGTGTGCGCATGTTCTACTAATGTTCGATTGAGGCATTCTGCCACGCTGTTCTGCTGGGGTGAGTCGTGTACCGTCAATTGACTGCAAGTAGTCATCGAAATCGGTGCTCAGATATTCTCCCCCTTGGTCCAAATGGACTTTAGCCAAATGAACGCCAGGCAATTGATGCACTAGCCACGCCTCATATGCCTTGAATGTGGTGAGTGCCTCGCTTTTGAGCTTCAAAAATTGAAGTCTCATCTGATGACTATAGTTGTCAGTAAAGCTGATATAGTATAGGCACCCGCCTAAGCTTGCGGTTTGCACTGGCCCCAGAGGTCTGTGTACACTAACTCCCCGTAGGTAAGTGCACGGGTCGTAGTTTCATCCAGGAACAGCTTTCAAGCTGACTTCACTTTAATGCAGACATCACAGAACTCTGGCTTCGATGTGGTGTCAATATCAATGCCCAGTGATCAAACACTTCTTCACTGCATCTATGATGGTGGTTTGGGACACATGTCCGAGGATGCGATGCACCTCGTTAATGGTGAGCTTCATGGTTGCGACATTAGCAGTGATGTTTCTGACGACTCACTACCATGCTGTATAGACCCTCAACTTGAGGAATCTCAGCTATGATGCGATGTGGGGGACCTTTTGACAGGATTTTGCACATCCTGGCCTTCAAACAGGACAGCTAGACCACCTGCCATGATGCGGTTGGTGGAGATGAGGGTAAAGGCCATGGTAGGGGCATATAGCAGCATTCTTCAGCATTACCATTGTGTGCTTCTCACCGAGGGGTAGGTCAATCTGGATGTCTCCTCATCCAATTGCACTGAGAGTTGAACCGTCCACAGTATGGACATCTTGGGGAGGAATGGTAATGAAGTTACTGAACTTCAATTGATCTGGGCAAAAATGTGATGTAGCGCCCAAGTCTACTATTGCGCCTCTCTTCTCAATAGGTAAGCCCAAGTCTCTCGCTACACTCGCCAGGTCTGACATAACGAAAGTGTATTGGTCCTGGGACTTGGCTTCTGCTGCAGAGTTTGCCGCTTGCTTCTGAGGCTTTTCCCCTCTCTTCCTCTGCTGGTTCGGACCTTGTCCTTCCTTCCCCCCTCCAGGTCTCCAACAGTCCATCTTGTAATGACCCTTTCGGTCACAGTTAAAACAGGTAATGTCAGGGTTGGTCTTGTTGGTGGAGGATGGTGAAGTCCAGCCTTTGCCTTTTGCCTCTTTTTCAGCAAGAGCTGCACTAGCTCCCTTCTTGCCAGGGCATCGTTCAGTAAGCTGTCTGTGCTTGTACTCTTCAGTTATGATGGTGACTAGCTCATAGGATGTGATGGGAGTTTTCATGATCTTCGAGGCTGCTGTGATGGACGACAGGAGTGGTCTATATGACTCGGGGAGGGAACCCATGATGATCGCGTGAAAATCTGGGTCAGGCAATCGCGACACCCATGCCTGCAAGCAGTTTAGTGGAGCCTCATGAGCTCTGTGAAGTGAGATCTGACATCTCCTCCTTCATTGCACTTTGTCTCTTGCATCTGTCGACATAAGTCTATCTGGACAAGTTCTGTCTTCCCCTCATGGATCTGACATATCTCTTCCCAGATTTTGGATGCATCCTTCAGCTTCTGGACACACAGTAATAGCTGATCAGTGATCATGCTAAATATCTGCTGCTTTACTAGCAAGTTTTTCTGATGGTACTCATTGATCCGCTTATCAAGTTCATCGTAGTCTGCCTGCGTAGGTGTCGTCCCATCAGGCTTCACGATAGCCTTCATTTTCAGGTCAACTGCAAAGGGTTTCAGCTCACTTGCTCGACCATCAGTATACCAGCATCAGACCTTTAGCGCCAATGGCTGTTAACGTCCATTCCTTATAGGTTATCCAGTTCGAGCCATCTTCAGCAAGCTTCGGGACATTAAGCAGGGTGGTGTTGGAGCTGGGGAGCAAAGTATCCATGGTCGAGACAGGGCTCATAACCTGTGGTGAGTAATTATATTGCAGGCCTTCGGGGCCGTTTGTCATATACCTGATCCGACTGCTCCTGATACTGATATCTGCTCCGCTTTCCGACCCCTTCTGCCCCATCCATCCTCCACTCCGTCCAATCACAAGTCCAGTACTCCTGCCCCTACGCTTCCACTCAACCACTCAACCGGTCCCTTTCCACAACCTCTCCATTCAACTGGATCTCTTTCCCCTTTTAGATATATATCTTCCCCATTGGTACATAGACCCTTACTTCCGGATGACCAGTAATTCCTATTACCTGCTTGATCACTGATCCGACAGCATACATATTGATATCCGCCCCGACTTATGTCTTCACCTATGTAAAATACTTACAAACTATATCCTTGGTACATAGCCTTACTACATAGTTATCCTGATCACTGCCTCATACATAGTAGTATACAATATATCATGTACTTAGATATTTTTCCTCAGTCTTAATATTACTTGTCATCTCGCAGTTACCTCTTGTGAGAATTCTCAGTAGGACCTTGCCTCCTCCGGACACAAGTCTCAACTTGTTGTCACCTCCAACCCTCCAACCCTCCGCTCCAACTTAGAGCCGTGCTCTAAGTCTTTCCCTTATTACTCTGCCCCTATCAAATATCCTCCTTCGCCCCTCTGCATTATCCTCCGCCTTTCCCGCCCCTACCAAACATTCCCCTGCTCCTATCCACCCTCCGCATCACTCCCCGCCTTCTCTGCTCTGCTCCTAGTCGGCCCGCCGCTAGTAGCTCTTACTCCCCGACCCTCCAAGTGGTCCAAAGCGGTCCAATTGTCCTACCGTCAGACAACGTCGGACCCGCTCCAAATTTGGGGCACGTACTCGGCTAAGGGCGCAGCGCAAGAGCTGAAGCCAAGCCCTGACCCCTCTGCTTCCTGAGTCGGCACGGTACCTAACACCATTCTAATAAACAAGTATAATCTCAGTCTCTTGGAAAAGGCTCATGCAACGAGCTAAGTACCTAATGAACAAGTATACTAATGACTCATTAGCTGCGTTCTAATCGATATGTAGAGACTATGAACTCACATCTAGTCTCTTGGAAAAGGCTGAGATGCGCTCGTGCTACTGGTGGTGTTATTATAGTAAGCTATGTAGAAACGAAAAATATATCAAATGAATAAGTAACATATTGCAGGACACAAGCCGACGTCAACACGTCGCTCATCAATGTCCGTTTTGGCTTGGGCTCGGACCACCTGTCACTCTCCCTCCTCAACCATCTTGGATCGGTCGGTTTTCTTCGTCTCTGATCGTTCGGATCGTTCGGACTCCAACAAGTATCTGTTTAATTGGTGAGACGGCATTTATGAGCATCATCGAACTTAGTCGCGAGACGCAACTCTTAGAGGGGAGGTACTGTCATGAACGAATTTCAGTTTCCTTTTTGGTTTCCCTATTAGTATAGTATGTGCCACAATTTCTCCTTTCTCTTCTCTAGTCTTGCACTCGTCTGTTTTGATAGTCGTTGTGGTTGTCGATTCTGCGTCTCACCTCGGCTTTTCTCGCTCTGACAATTCGTCGTCCATGCGGCTGTGTTTAGCAGGCTTAAGCAACTTTGTTGAAGCTTTAGCCGACATTCACAATCTAACCTGAGTCCCACTATTGTACTTTATATGCCTGTTATTTTTTTTTCGTGTAATGGCATCCGCATTCAATTGTGATTGGTTTTGTGAATATTGCTGGTACAGATTATTCAAATGCACAACAAATTCTCTCTAATAACGACTTTTTATGAATACTAGCACAGCATCAACGACGGGGAAGCACCAACGGCGGGGAACCAACAACGACAGAGAAATACCAACGGAGAAGCACCAGCGGCGAAGAAGCACCAATGGTGGGATCGGGCACTGAGATCAGGAACTGAGATCTCTGACTTGCAAGGGTAGCAGAGGGATCCTTATGTCAGCCTTGTCTCTAGCTTGATGCTTAAAAGCTAAGGGTTTAGTAGGGCGGGCAGTACTCTCTGGCTTGATGCTTCACTGTCGAAGGTTTAGAGTCATTTGTGCATCAAGGTCCGTCTCTAATCTGATACTTTGAAGCTTCAACACTACAGGTACAGGTGGCATACCTCAAATCTTCAAGTTGCCGCCAGACACCACGTGGTACGTGCCTTGTTCATAGTGCTTACAGTACCCAGGCGACTAACATTCTATTGATTGCGCCCAGGTCTGGCGGCGAGCTCACACCGGATACTGCAGGTATGCCCTTTTCTCGCTGCCTTCTTACCTGCCTACTAATCAACATCGATCACAGCCAGGTTTCAGCGCGCCTCGAGGTTTACCACTTGATGACTCAATGGAACGACAACCAGGTGCTGACCTTCGCGGGCGCCGTAAGTGCCGTGGACGGTGCGCAGGTGATAGGAAGTCATCTGATCCTCTTCAAACCGTGTTTGCTGGCCACATTCGCCGAGGCTCTCAGCTCTCCGACTGCTCTCCACCCTGCATGCCTCCTCAGAATTTCCCCGGTCTAGTCATTGGCCCGCACGTAGCATAGGCACCCCAGCCCACGTCAACTCAAAATTCTCGTTGTTCCGTCAGCCCGGACGCGAGATGAGGGGGTAAGCTTCATTTTTACCTTCTCATTCCGTCACTGACATTGCGCCATCTTCAGGGCATGGGCGGTCACTGTCGCCTACGTCGGAACCCTGTGGTGGCTCAGGCGTGGACCTCTCGACACCCGCTGTTGATACCGAGGACGCCCATGGGGTAGTTCCGAGGTTGCAAGTGTCTGGCTGATGTTCCACCCCGTTCGCACCTCAGTGACGGCCGGGTCCGGGTGTGGCATCGTTACCATGTCAGTCTACTTCCTCGCTAAGAAGCTCAAAGAGCCGAGGTCGTCAGCGCGAGTAAGCCCACCTCGGTTATACAAATAACAATGACAACACTACATAATCCAGACGATAAGAAGAATTAAGGGCAAACTGGATGAACGAGGTCACGCACAGGTGAGTTCTTCCTTTTTTTAGTCACTGGTAGTCTCCGAGTCAGTTGGAGACGCCATACGGTAACACTGAATGGAGTTTCCATTCAATGTTGTCGCATGGAGTCTCTGAGCTGATCTGACGAGTGACGATTTATTCTCCTGAATGACTGGAACTGGACTCGCACACCATCCCAACTACGATGTGGCTGCTCCTACGGCAATCTACGCGTTGCAATTGTAGTGTGAACCAGCAACTTGACGTCTTTATACTCCCCTGGCCACACTCGTCTCATGACTCGTTCGCTCCCCATCTGGCGTGGTAGCGGCCAGAGGCGAAGCTTGAAACTAGTAGGAGTGTTACATAAATTTTGATCAATGATTGCACACAGGAAGGAATGAACACAACAGTTCCGTTTTGATACATTCCTCGTCTTCAGCCCGACTGATCATAGAGGCATTGTCGGTTTAAGTCGACGTATAAGCAGATACTGCACTACATAGTGATCCTATCGTGACAGCGTGCAGAGAGGCGATTCGAGATGTTAGTGAGTATTCCGTAACATGTACAGAAGTTGGCGGTGACACAACCAAGCAGTGAGTGACGTGTCATTCGTTGTAACTTGCAGCGCGAGTTGAGTAACTTTTGTGATGTTGAGCTGCAAGTTGATGCGTGAGATTGTGAAAAATTTAATAGATGACGTGAAAAGGCCTGAAACGTTGGTTTGTTCCCGACAGCGGATTCGAGCTGGCATTGACCTTGCTTCAGGTGGTAATCTGCTGGTATTGCAGATATCGTCCGTTCGAGACGGTGGATAGGTTCTTCCTCAACCGTAGATAACAAGGTTCAGCACATCAAAGCAAACCTGAAGGGGGGATTCGAGCCAGCATTGACCTACGTGGCAATCTGCTAGCATCGCAGATATCATCCATTGGAAAGAGTGGATAAGTTCTTCTTAAACCACAATGTTCAGCACATAAAAGCAAGCCATCTTCCTGCTATCTCCTTTATATTTATTGACCCCATATCACACCCTCATAAACAATGCGTTTTTCCTTTGTCCTCGCCGTTGTCATCGCTTTGACAGTAACAAGATCTGCAGCATCGATACCTGCCAGTGACCCTGACAATGACTGTCCTTTGTTGTGCTTGACTTTTAAAGACTGCAAGAAATGCTATGACTCGGTAACATGCGTGAGTATGAGTAGTTTGCGCCCTGTGTTTAACGACATGACTCACCGGTGTGGTAGTTCCTCTTCGGATGCCGTTCACGGGATTAGCCTGACGCATGTCACTGCACTTTGAGAGGTGATTTAGGTTGGGGGGTATGTTGGGAAGATGATGTCAAGCAATGGGTGAATTTTCACGAGATACAAACCATCGATGTCGCAGTGTGTTCAGAGTCGACATCCCAGTGCCGCCACACAAACCAAATACAAACAACAATATTCACTGCAGAAACGAGATTTAGAACCGACCGGAATAGTATATGTTTAGAGGCTATAAACCGAATGTAAACGGACAAGGCAAAACAAGGATATTTCTACCCGTCTAGGTGCTCGTTTGAGAAGCAAAACTGCCTCTGAATTATTGTAAGGATTTTCGGGGATAGGGTTGTTGCCCTAGCGTCTAAACCGACGCGGTATCAAATCAGGTTATGAGGATCCGCACATCCACTTTGTGTCTGCATTTGAGACAAAACGGATCTGCTTCTGGGCATGTAGCATCAGGAAATCACCGAGTTCCCTTTCGTGCTTAATTTGTTCCTTACTTACCTTAATTCATAAAGAGAAAAAGGAGGTCCATCCCCTTAAATCAAGGAAATAAGGAACTTTTCCTTAGAATACTCATCTTTTCAGCACAAAATTCAGAGTATATTTTCACTGAAATTTCAGTTAAAAAAAGGAACTTCACCTTATGCTGTGAATGTCAGGACATTACAATCTGATTTCGCATACTGAATTTCATTGGATTCACTACCCACAGTGCATTAGAGTCTACATTATATATTCGGTATTGCTAAATGTCGGAAATCAATCCGCAACGTAGTATAACTTTTCTCCTTTGTTTCTGTCTACACTCGTTTCTCTCTTCCCCAGTCTCTTATACCCGACTGGGGGTAAGCATACCTTAGTATACCTAACGCATTCATTACTGATGTACTATAGAACTCATACAAGTTCTCTCTCTTTAGACGCCTACCGTCTTTTACTGAAACACCACAGTGAGCGAAAATCGTCAATTGCAACATGATGGCGATATTGACGAGTAAGCTCGTGACCAGCCTGGCGTATACCCGTAGTCCAGATTGGTTATGAGTCTAATCGACGAAGCAGTACCAAAAATGAGGAATGCGCGTGATATTTAGTGATAGAAGAGTGACGCACAGGTAGTATGGCGCCGTTGGCTGATTTCGAGAAGGGAGCAAGAAGGACTGAGCGGGGAATCCTGTTAGTAGGGGAGTGTCAGGGCTGTATAGATCGAGAACTCACGGAAGTCGGCAGCAGCCAAGAAGAATACAGCCAGAGGCCACTATGTATACGTATTCGACGTGCGGGAGAAGAGCGGCATATTTGCTCACCTTTGAACTGGCAAATAAATAGAATAGATGAAGAAGTGAGAAAACGCCTGCTGAAATACGTGAATCATCCTGAAGTCTTGACTGCCGCTAAAAACCCTTCTCACGTACACACGTCCCCCTGGCCACCCAACACAATCTTGCCGCCTAAACATCCAACTCACCCCAAACAAACATCAGTCACTATCCTCAACTTCACCTTTCGCCATCGCCGACAAAGTGGTTAATACCGCATACCATCTCTCCTGATATATCTTTCGGGACTCCTCCTCACCTGGCATCCGAAAGAAGGTCGAAAGCCGCGGCACCATCGCATTCAGGAAGCGTGGGATTGACCTCATAAGGTCTGGCGCCGTCGGAGGGTCCAAGGGGCCCACGCATGCGATGGGCGACGGCCCGATGAGTAGCTTTATGAGGCGCATGTTGGGTTTCAGAGCCACTTGATCGTTGTCTGGAGGTGCCGCCCCGAGGGCATCAAGTCGCGCATCCAAGCAGAGTGAGACCTCGCACAACTCACGGCAGCAACTCGCGAGGATGCGTAAGGCATGGAGGGATACGGGCGTGTTGCACACTCTCAGGATTTCGAGGTATGGGCATGTGCGAGCGAGTATGAGGATGTCGGAGTCGGTGAGCGCAATGGACGAGGACTTGACGGGAGAGATGACGAGGGTCTTGAGGTCTGCGAGGGCGGTGGGGTCAATGAGTAGGGGGTGAAGATCAAAAGATGAGGATGCATTGGGGCACGCTTGATGGTGACACGACTCGGTTAGAATGAGGTGCTCTAAGTTTGTGCGGGTGAGAATGCTGAGGAGTTGAGACCAAATGGTGCCTGGGCTGCAATTTCGTGCGGTCACATGTATTGTTTGAGGTTGGGGTATCCAAAGGAACGCGTATCAGAATTCATCCTGATAATCTGGAAGGCACGCAGGAAAGATACGAAACGGCCTAAGTCCTCGCACAAGATATGTAGGTGAGTGAGCGCCAGAAAGGGCTGAGACGCATATGCATGGAAAGGTACAGTGGGGATGCTGTTGTGGCCCAGCTTCAAGGTGAGCCATTGAAGGCGTGTCCACGGGGCGATGTGATGAAGCAGGCTGCTTGAGATATCACAGCATGGTAACGACAGCGCTGTGAGACCCTCAGGATAACTGAGCAACAGCGACTCAATTTCCGAGGTGCTGTCACTAGTCGGACTCATGCCTCTGAACTCTAGAGCTTTGAGGCGTGGGGCGGCGGTACGGAGGCCAGGAATGACAGCCTTGAAAAATGGTTCATTATCGATGTAGAACTTGAAGGAGAGTGCCTCGAGGGTGGGTAAGAAGAGTTTGAGTGTTAGGATGGAGGTGAGATCCGAATCACACCATGTGAGCGAGCGCAGCTTGGGAAAGAGCGGCGTGTCGTTGGGACTCGACCGGAGCGCAACAGAGTCAAAACATTACCTTCACGAACCCTAAGGCTAGGCTCATGATGGCCAGTCAAGTGGCTAACGGGACATCAGTCTGTGAGAGCATGTGGGCGCACGAGGTATGATGCAGCGCTATAATACAATACATAGATGTAGCGAAGTCACTATCTGGATAATGATCAGCCCTAGTGTTGTGGAACGAGTGTGATAGTACCCATACCTAGAAAGTTAATCTCGCCTGTCCTTACCTCCCCGTCTACTCTCCCCATCTCTATCCCTGTCTCTGCGCCGATCGCGATCGTCGTAGTCACGGACCCTCTCACGTCGTTTATCGACGTCGCGCTCTCGGTCCCGTCGGTCCACGTCCCTGTCGCTGTCCGTTACTATCGTCTCTTCTTCTTCTGTCATCTCTGTCTCTGTCTCGTCGATCGTCGCCATCACGCCCTCGTCGCCTATCGCGATCATTCTCTCTCGTAGACCTGTCACGGTCATCGTCCCTCCTTCTATCACGGTCATCATCCCTCCTCCTCTCGCGATCATCGTCTCTCTTACTTCTCTCCCCTCCGCTCCTTCTTTCCGGTGACCTCGAAGCCCTCCTTGAAACAACCGCACTTCCACTCCTGCTTTCCTCCCTACTGCTCTCCTTTTTCACAAGAGGAATATACCGCTTCTCATCCCCTCTCCGTTTCTTCTTCTTACTACCATCATCTAGTACCTCCTGCTCCTTTGCTCCGATACCCAAGAGTGCAGGACGTGATTTCGGGAGGTAAGGTTCCACCAGCGCATTCTTTTTGGCTCGTTCTGAGCTCGTGACAACCCCACCGTCCACCCAGCCCATGCCGCGGAGCATAGCGGCTCCAAAAGCAGTGATGGGTACACGCGCGTAGTCTTCAGCAGTAGCGACGTCGGGAAGTGCAGCAACGTCTTGTTGGAGAGCATCAGTTTCACTTGGAGGTACGGGAATAGTATCGATCTGGGGTGCCGAGTCCATATCCCCAGCCAGCAGCGCACGAAGGGCTTTTTGGTCTTCCGTCTCTTCGACGATTTCAATTTGTACATCTTCTGCATCCACCGTCATAGTAGTCTCTTCGTCAGTGGACGTGGTGCTAGTTCCGACTCTGACTTTCTTGTTGGCGAGCTGGATACCTGAGAGTTCAGGGCCAGAGTTGATGGTGTCGCGCGTTCCGAGCCCTCCAACGCTCCCATCTGCGCCTGTGCTCGCTTTTGCAGATTCAGGGATGAACCGTGTGGCACCTGCACGACGCTTGCGTGCTGCCTCGCGCCAGTCAGGGTTTGACTTGGAAGGAATAATGAGGGGGCCCGTGGGGGCTTTCGGCTTGGGCTTTTTCTCATTTACGCTGGATGATAGAGGTAGCACATGGGCCTTATGTGAGCTGTAGAATTGTTGGGAAGAATGGAAGATAACGCACCGCTGTGCACCAAACTTGTTAAAAGAAGTGATGAGCTCATCCTCGAGACGCTCGTCTTCATCGTCACTAGAGTCTGGCTCGTCCGGGCGTATACCATCAACAAATACGATCCCGCTCTCCTCGTCATCGTCTGAATCTTCACGAGAGCTGAAAGTGCGAGGAGAACCTGTGAGTGGGGTGCCAGAGGCAGAGCTGGCGGCACTGGAGAGGTGACGAGGGAGCGCTGGGAGTTTGAATTTGTCGCTGGCCTTGTCTTCGTCGACCGCTGTGGGTTTGCGGACGGTGAACGACAGTTTTGACATCGTCGTGCAGGATACACCCAAGCAGTGCTTAGTCATCAGCTCCTCATGAGCTTGACTCGATCACCTTGGGTTTGCTTTAACTTTTTACCAGATACAGCTTCAAAGGGAATCATGGCGTCTTCGAGACGATAATCTGCCGGGAGAAAGAAGCTATGTACGCACATATTGTCATTTGCTATTCCATGCCTGACATTTGATTCAGGGGCGCGTGTACAAGACCACTCGAGTAGCTACCGGTCAGCCTTCCAGATCTGACTACGAGCTGCTGCGTTTACAAATACGAGAAATTCGTGCGCTAGCTGACTTACCTAGCTCCTCTCCTATCGAGTGGCATGTTTCGGTCGAGACTTTATCAGGTCTGTTGATATTTTGATTTTCACTGTATTTTTTTTTTCTTTCGACTGAGGACTCCTTTATAGACTCTCCGTCACGTCCTCTTATACGTGAGGATACCTTGCCCCTCCGTCCTGGACATATTGTATGCTGCCAAATTGACGTTCGCACAACACTGGAAGACTACAGCGCTCGCGTGGGTGATTCATTTTTCTGGCGGGACCCCTGTCTCTCCCCTGAAAAATGGGATACAGCAGTCCGTCCTGTGGTTGTTCTCTGGGCATGAATAGATAGAGAAAATAGGCTCAAGAGCATCTCAGTTGTCTGTATCGGACAGGGAGCTCTCTCTTCCACCGACATGAACATTGTTCCTATCTTCTCCTCGCCTACTGAGGGCGGTGTGACACCAAGTCCCACATGGCCGCTCTCTGATTCCTACTGCTACATATTTCCTCGGCTAATGAAATTCATTTGCTACTCGAGCGAGGAACTTCACATTCCTTCTCGTACTTAAACTAGAAAATCTGGCTTGATCATATGTCTAGGTCTAACCTGTCCCTTCTCCCTGATCGATCAGCAAAGCCGACGTCAAACTCTTGAAGCAGAAGTTTAATAATAACACCTTTGTAAAAACGTTACCGTTCCACGAACCAACCCACGTTTACGACAATCCCTTCATCAAGACCACCGCATTTGGCCGGATCTTCGGTGCGACGGGGAAGGCAAGCCCATCGAATGGGGAGGACATAGAGCGTGGTTCGACTGCTGTCAAGAAGTGTTACCAAGAGCATCAAGGTGGCACGATCGGTCACAGCCCTCCGCCCGATAATTATTTCCACTGGGACTGTGAGAGATGGGCAGATTGTCAGAGCGAACTGAGCTCATCTGTAACAGTGGGTGTGGATGACACTGTGTTGTCTTTACTGCCTCCGATTGTTGATGTCGAGATGTCTGACAGTGTGCGTGGTCAAGGAAGTTTATTCTAGGGCTTCGCGCCACCATACCGTACAGTTTTTTTTTAAAAAAAATCGGTGCCAACCTGCAGCTGAGCGCTGATTACCAACACACGATGGATCTACTCCCTGACAATCCCTATTGATGACCAGTCTGCCCTGGCCTAGGAGTGGACAGCTGTGGGGTAGCTCAAAGTAAGGGCATATAATGGTGGACAATGGGATCCGGGCCTCATAAGCCTTTACTGGAGATCTCATTCGAATCTCATTGCAAGTAGAGAAGCTTGCAGGTTACACTGACAGATAAATTCCGAATGTTCAAAGCATTCTCCGTGAAATCCGTGCTCCTTAGTTGACACGAAAGGGGCTAAAAGTACACTCGGCTCTCGGGTAGAATCGAATTCTCGCGCATACTCCTAGTCAACACCGTCATGGTCACGGTCCTCAGCGTCACTATCAGATTCATCACTGTCAGCCGTAGCCCTGCCACCTCCCCAAAATCGATTCAGCAGGTTCCTCACAACCCGTATGGGCATGGGCTAAAACAATCACATCAGCACTTCCGAACAAGCCAGACATCAAGACAACTCACAGCAATATCCTCGTCCTCATCATCCTCGTCCTCATCACTTTCATCCTCTTCTGCTAACCCTGGCGCTGCTTCTGCTGCACCTCTCGGAGGCATTGGATCCAAGTCCGGCAGATCATCATCGCCCTCCAATGGTAATCCGCCTGGCATACCCCCTCCACCTTGCACACCAACACCGCCCTGCTCTGCACCCATCGCAAGACCAAGCATCATATCATCCACTGCCTCATCCGGCATCTCTGCCATCATCTGCACAAACTGCACCACACCACCAGGCAACTGCCCCGCGAGTCCAGGGTTCGCATCGAACAGCGCTTCGATTTGTGCTCTGATGCCTGCGTCTGGGATGAGTCGCTCCAGCGCACGTAGGTCTCGCCGGCGCGGGCGTACGCTGAATATCTCTTCTGCGCCTACAAAGAAGGCGTCGTTGTATTCAGAGACTGCTGTCAGTGGTGGAAGCGGATCGCACGCAAGCTGTTTTGCCAACAACACAGAACGGGGGATGAAGGGGGTGAGATTCCGGAAGGTTTGCTCAAGGACGAGGATATGTCGGTAGACCGAGTAGCGAAGTGTCGTCGAGGTATACATTTGGAGGAACCGCTCACGAGTCGGATTCGAGCGTTGGGCGTTGAGCGATGGTAGAATTCCATTAGCGGTGCTTTCGAACCACTTCATATGTGCAGCAGATTTCCAGAGAGGTGCGGATCGCTGAGCATAGAGATGAGACAGGAGATGGAGAATGCTTTGAGCGGGCGACAGCCCACTTTAATGACTGTCAGTGATCAGGTATGTGACAGATCAAATAAACTCACATTCCATCAGTCTGGATGCGGAGTGCTCTGTGTCCGCGCAGTTCTGGGGACAATGAGATATCACACTTGTCAGCCAGTAGGGGCACAACCTCTGGGAAGGCTAGCATAGCCTGCTTCAGCGCGTCGGTACTGCTGCCCACGCTCTAGCACATCAAGATCAATACATAGTTGATATTATGGTTAGAAAACTCACCTGCGCTCCACCTGCCTTTTCCCTCGCAAAAAGTGCCATAGCTCTCGCATACGCCCATCCAGGCAACGCACTCGGGTTCAAATGATCCTCAAATGCCGTCTTTGTTCCAGAAAACTCGGCGTACATATCCAGGAGCCACTGTCCCATACCCGCTTTGATGGAAACGAAGTCTAGGTGCAACAGGACACCATGCGGGTCCGTCCATGGCTCGAGAGAGTATAGAAGGCGCCCGAACTCGAACGCAGTACGGATGCATCCGCGACGCTGGAGGTCACTGTGTTTGGTTAGTCTATGCGAGAACATAAGAGTAGGGCGACATACGTGACCTGCCGATGTAACGCAAGGAAGAAGGGTCGGTTCTCAACGCGATTGAAGTCGAGGCGGTTAAGCCCATTCGTGAAGCTGAATGCCCCTATGAAAGCGCGTTCATATGCAAAGAGTGCCCGATCCACGTAGTCAACAGCTTGACTGTATTCTGAAAGGATTCAACAACGAGAACATGAACGAAACGGACCGCTGACCTTCTCGATGGCGATATACCTCTGCTAGCTGCAGCAGTGTGTCGCCATGCCAAGGTAATTTCTGCAAAACTCTCCAAAGTGCCTCAGGATCTAGTCGCATGGATGGTTATGAACGTCAGGAGAAGGTGTATTATAAGGAGAGCGCTACCTCCTGACATGACGGCCTGCATAAACGTCTTCGTGACACCTTTGTACCTCTTGCTGTACTCAACAGTCCACCATTTGTCTCCTGCGGCTGTGCTATTACGATCTGAAACTTTCTGTTGCACCTCTTCGTCGGTCAATGGACGAGAAGAGAGGCCTTCACGTTGCTTGATCATGCTCCATGATTGATGCGGTCGCGTGAGTTGTGAACGCTGGGTTTGTGTTGGAGCACCGCCCCTCCGTTTTTTGGAGCCGCCGGAGGAGGAAGTCTCAGACGACTTTGCAGCTATAACGGCTTTAGCGCCAAAGAACTTGCGCATTTCCGCTTCTGCATCGAGGTTGGATACTGAGACGGATAGAAGGGATGTAAGGGATGCGTTTCGAGTAGTTGAGGATGAGGACGCTGCCACGCTTTGGAGTTCTGGGTACCTTTTTGTTGATCAGCATTGGAAACGGTACGCTATATATTTGGACGCGCTTTTGTGAAAGCTCTGCGAGTGCCGTGTCTAGATCATCCAGATCGTCTTTCTTTTTGTCTTTCCCCTTGCCTTTCTTTGCAGACTTAGGCTGGGAAGGCTGCTGGAGCTTCGGTGCCTCAGTGGATTTAGCCTGCTGAGGGTTTGCAGGCGCATCAGATACAGCTGGTTTCTTCTTCTTCTTCTTTGCCTGCGTTCGAATGAGTCGATCGATTTCGAATAGTAATATCGCAGTTACGCACCTTCTTTGCCTTTGTGGGCTTGGATGTTTCGTCATCGCTCTCAGGTACATCATGGTCGTCTTCTGCGGTAAAAAGCTGTGTCCATCGTTATGATCTCTACGCGGATTTGTTCCATGGCTGAACTTACTGCTGCAAACCCCGAGGTAGAGGAGGCTATTGGTGCGGTTTCCTCCTCGCTGTCTGCATCAGCGGCCGCAGCAGGTTGATTTCCAAGCGCAAGAAGCTCTTCTTGCTCGCGCTGCTGTCGTTTGTTAATTCGTGGGGGCATGGATTAGCAGCGTAGTAAGGCTGTGGTTAATAAAAGTTCAAGCTTGGTTAAGGCTATGATTTATCTTTGGTTATCTAATCTTGTTTCTCTAAGTCCACATGATTTATTGAGTTCCCTGGGTGCCGTACCGTAAGAGTCTACTTCCGGGTTTGCCTCACCGTTATCTCTCTTCCACAGACACGACGTTCGCTTCCCTCGTTTTCACTCCCGTCGCTGTCGCCGTCGGTGACCTCAACGAACGCACCGCCGGCCAACCACAGGTCCAACTCTTCGTAATCTCAAGACTGTTGTAAGGTCGTTTGCCAACTCCTTCAAGCATGGAACCACAGGTCCCAGCGCTATTTAGCGCACCGCGTATGTTGACGCTTCTAGGCTCTATCCTCGTATCTCTCAGTTCCGGGACGAATTATGTACGTATCTTTTCATGAATATGCATCCGTGGGGTTGAAACTAAGTAGAGTCTGCCACCAGATATACTCTGGTGAGTGGTACACGTCTCACGATAAGATCCTTGACATGATATTCTATCACAGCATACGCTCCGCAGTTGGGCGCGCGTTTGTACCTCTCTCACACCCAGTTGAATGTCATTGGCCTCGCAGGGAATGGTACGCTAATAATTTGATTAAACTCGACCAAAACTCTGAGCTTTATTCAGTGGGCGTATATCTCAGCGGCCCAGCCTGGGGTCGAGTAGTCGATACCAAAGGTCCTCGCATTCCACTTATTAGTGCCTGCGCCTGCCTCCTCATCGGATATCTTGGCATAAAGCGCATCTATGATGATGGTGCCGAAACATCACTCTCGTTCGTGCGTCTTGCCATCCTCATCGCCTGTACCTTCATGACCGGCACGGCTGGAAATGCGGGTCTTGCCGTTGCTATGAACACTACGGCTAAGAGCTTCCCTGAATCATCGGTTCGTTTTCTATATGCTTGCATCGCCAAGTCACGTTGATGCAATGGGTTCTGCAGCGCGGAACCACAACTGGTCTCGTTCTGTCTGGTTTCGGCCTATCCGCATTTTTCTTTGCCGCCGTTGCTAGTATCGCATTCCCTGGTGACATCTCCGCCCTTCTCCTTGTCCTGGGCCTCGGCACCGCCATGCCTATGCTTCTAGGTCTTCTGATAGTTCGTCAAATACCGTTACCTCCCGCACGCACCACACTCGGTGTCGAAGGTGGGCTCGGACGCGAGGAATATCAGCCTCTCCCGAGTGGCGATGCCGCTGTATTTGTTAATGAGAATGATAGCGGCACCTCCCTTCTTCTGGGGACATGAACACGCGGCATCAAACTATCACGTTCCTGAATCATCGACCGCGGTTGAACTTGTACCGGACCAAATTATATCGAGAGGTTCGAGTGTCAGGAGGAGTACGAGCCGCGGAAAGCACGTGTATGATGGACCTAACATCTATGGGAAGCAACTCTGGCTCACCCCAGATTTTTATCTTATGTTTCTCATAATGGGGCTCCGTGAGTTGAGTTTTCCTGTTTTTGATGTCTTATGACTGACGTCTGCATGGATTAGTGAGTGGAACTGGAATCATGTGTAGGTGTTTCCGGTCAGCGCAAATGATATCACCTCACCAAGAGTCCTCTAGATATCAACAATGTTGGCTCCATATCTCAGGCGTTATATGCCAAAGGGAATCCTAACTACGACGATTTGGAAGCCTTGCGATGGCAAGCTGCGCAAGTTTCAACTCTTAGTGTTTGCAACTTTGCAGGACGCATTCTTATAGGTATGTTTCTTCTTTGACCTCATTATCTACGCTTATTCTATACCCCAGGATTAATCGCGGACTTCACCCGCTTTCGCCTACGTCTCCCTCGTGCATACTGTTTTTGCATTGTTTCAACACTCTTTATCGTTTCTCAATTATCTGCCATCGGCGTTACCGACGTTGCTCATCTTTGGAAAGCAACCGCGCTACTTGGGCTCGCATATGGTAGTCTATTTGGCATGAGCCCCACAATCGTCATCGACTGGTTTGGGCTCTGTGAGTGGTGGAATAGCTAATCTGATGAAAGGAAACTGACGTGAATCGTTCCAGCACATCTCTCAGAGAATTGGGGATGGGTCTCCCTTAGTCCTCTGGTAGGAGGGAATCTCTTCTCGCTCATGTTCGGGCGCAACCTCGATTCACACGCCTCGAACGACGACTCTGGGACACATTCGCCTTTAACTTTGTTAAAGCGTGCTGATCTCCCAAGGGAACACCAATGCTTTGATGGACGTGATTGCTATGTCTCGACTTTGTATGTGACAGCCACGGCGTGCTTGATTGCACTTGGGTTGAGCGTGTGGGCGGGAATCAGGGACCAGAGAAAGACATTGGAGGTGAAAAGGGAGGTAGTTTGGGAGGTCGAAGAGTAGTTGGAGAGTTGGCCAGATACCCAATGCAAGATAGGTGTAAAATAGACTCGCTATGAGTTCAAAATGGTGGCAATACTGCAGCAAGACGTGCAGGTGCATACATCGTCATGCACATGCTTCATGGGCAGCCGCATGTTCATGGAAGACACGCTGTCATCATAATAACATTTTACTCGCAAGGTAGATACTTAGATAAGCTGTGAATACATATGTACTATGCGAGCTAAATCATAATGGATACATCAGTAAATACAGTTCGATGGTACAGAATAAATGTAACGTGATCCTAGTATTACAGATGTGAATGAAGGTACCAATAATAAGTTAATAACATTAATCAAAGCCATAGCCCATGCGATGGACACGTCATCAAGAGGAGAATAGACAGAGACACGCCACCAGCAATCAATGCTATACACGGCTTCGAGATGAACGAATCTGGGGCCTGAGCAGCTGGTACCGGCAAGGGGAGGAAAGAGCTGGGTGTGAGCGGTGATGAGACAGATTTAGCCTGTTGTGGCTGCATCACCCGCATTTCCACAGCAGGGGCCAGCAACTTCGTGTTACATTCTCGGTGTGGAGTTCCTGGCGGTAGTTTGGGAGGCTTCGTAACAGAGTTTGTATATGGAGTTCCCGGACGCGAGGGGGCGTGTGTGGACTGACAGGCTGCTAGTGGTGCTTTGGTTTCATAGAAAACTGTGGCAGAGCCTTTCTCATCTCCGAACTGTTCTGCATGTCCATGCTGTGGCAACGATTCACCGTTCACGCTTCTCATCGACAGCGGAGCAGAACGTGTTGATAGGTCAGCAGTGCGTCCCAGTGCCTCAGGGAATTTATGAGGCTGTGATGGCGTGGAATGCATTGGCATTTGTGAAAGCGGTGAAGATGGTGATGGACTCGGAGGTGCCGGCGAAGAGCAGTGGCTTCTTGACGTACTAGTAGAAGTAGCGCTCCTGATTGCGTCAAAGACGGGTTTGATATCGGCATTATCATCCGAACAGACACCCTGCGCACGATTCAGCAGTTCTTGCCCTGCCATTACATCTGCGGGGTTCTTCCGTATTTGGAAACGGTATAGCAGTGCGAGTCCAAGCTTGAGCAACGCCAAGGAACGGTCTGCGTGCCCTGGTCTGCGTAGCTCCAGCGCCTCCTGATACAGGGAGATAGGGGCGTTGATGGCGTAATCGCTTTCTTCGATGTGTGGGTGAATGGCAAGAACGTCAGCTAAATTAGTTAAGGCCGCTGCACGGTCAGGGTGATCACTGCCACAATAACCAAGCGTGAGGCGCAGCTGCTCTGTGGCTGCGTGATAGTCTGAGATGCAACGAGTGCGGCGATAGCATGCGAGTAGATTCTGACCGGTTTCTGTCATTTGTCCAAGAAATTGTGAGTCCTCAGATCCGGGCTGGCAGGGATATCAATCTGATAGCAGAGACGCCTGTAGGTGACATCACTTACGGAGTAGCGTTGGCCGAATTGAGTTGCACCGGGTTCGTCTTCGGGGCCACGGTCAACCGTTACCAGGAGAGATGTTGATTCACCGGCATGGGAGAATAAGATGGCTGCAGATTGTTCCATTTAGGTGAAAGGAATCACAAACACCAACTGCCAACTTACGTAGGAAATGGTTACTGTGGTGCAAGAGTTCTCCGACTGTGAGTTGAGCTTCGTGCATCAACTCGCCGCGCCCAAGCATACGTTCAAATTCGAAGGCTGCACAGATCCTCAGAGATACTATCGCTGAATTATCTGTGGGACTGAGACGGGGTTGAGTATTCTTACGGAACGCTGTCCTACTAAGCACTCACAGGACGAAAATCTGATCCCACTGCACGACTTTGCTTGACGGTACTTCCGCTTTAACGGCTGTTCTCCAAAGGGTTCGGTCGATCTCGACAGCGACATAAAACCCGGCTGGAATGCGGCGCAGACCAGTTGCTGGAGCTGTCACACGGATGGCTACATTCCAGAATCAATCGATTTAGTGTCTGAATAATGTGAAACGAGAATCGTACAAGAAATCGTCAATCGCTTGTCCTGAGGCGTTTGGCGCCATAACTCTAGCTGAGAATGATTGGACATACACAAGGGAGGGGAGGCTGCAGGTGAAGAAGGGGCCCTGAACTATAAATCTGCGCCAATTTAGCGGTGCTCCTGCATGAAACCTGTGCTGGCGTCATTGACGGGCGCCTGTGGGCTTGATTATGAAGCTGCACCTCATGTAGACCACGGATCCGGGAGCAGAACGTGGACGGATTGATCCTTAATTCCAGAACAGAGGAATGTTATTCCAGTATGAAAAACCTCATGCCTCGATCGTGTTTCAATGCGGTTCATGAAGCGACAGTAACAAGCATGTCAGGAGACAGGCTGCCGGAAATCCCGAACTTTCGGCGGTCGAATGAAGGCCTGGACTGATCGATGCTGCAATATTTCACTGACTCCCACTGATGCGATAATATCGCAAGGCATCAGGGTGAAGTAGATGCGAACCATATAATTGAGTTGTGATGTCGCACGGTGACTCGGAAAGAAAAGTCTTGGACAAGATACCATAGGTATAAGTACTTACTTCTGAGCCTGACATGGGTTTCCTAGCCAGTGGCCACTGGTCCACGAGGAATGTCAGGTTATCCTCACAAGTACTTACAAGAGTTGAGACAACGGTTTAGCTGATTTGTGGACATTCGTATGGCTTATCGTGCAGGCTGCAGGGTTATCACTTGAAGCCGACCGCCCACTTGGCAATGACCTGGTGCTTTTCCGCAATGATCGCCCTGCATGAATCGTTACATTAGTTGAAACTGTAAGTTGCAGGAAAGAAAGTATCACAGAAATTCGGGTAGTAACAGCAGCTTGGAATGTCAAAGCCAGACTGAAAGCCTCCAACTTCGACTGGAGCTCTGGTATATTCAGATAAAAATATAGTTTCGGACATGGTCGGGAGCGGGCTTGAGCTGGCTCAGGGCTGAAGTCTGGATATCGGAGTTTGTTTCCACGTGGTCCATGGGACTGAGGTGTCGTCCACTGTTTGTCCACGTCTCTTGTTCTACGGACTTGTCTATTGCTTAGACTGTCCATTGGATTCTTGGGTCGTGAGTGCTTCTCTCTTCTTGATCTCGTCACAGATGCAGTCCAATGATTTCGGTTGATTTTTGTCTGTTATGATCCAGAGCGACCAGCGCGTCTGTAGCCGCGCGTTCCAGGGCAACTATGTCCATACAAATGGATAGGATGCATACTTTGGCCTCCCGGCCCCCTCCAATCGTTCCTGTGTCCACCCATCTACAGATGCCCGCACCTTCAAATGCAGTTTCTCGTGGTGCAGAGAAGCCTCCTTCGCCCGAGCATCCCTCTGCCAGCTCCAATGATGACAGGCAGAGCCAGATGGAGCAGTCACTGAAACGTTCTATCACGCTGGTTATATGGTACAAGGTCAGTTGTTTACCTTGAAAGGGTAACGTTCGGTGACTGTACTAGTCAACAGCCGGCGTGCGATCCCATTCGCCTGAACCACGAGATCTCCACTTTTCCACTGTTTCAGCTGTCGCATTTTCCATCCGTGGTTTCAGACCTGGAACTCACACCCGCTTCATACATCGATACTTATAATAATGCAACAGGGAATTGGGAGCAACATGTGGTTACCACTGTCCGTACGATCGAGACAGACCAACGTCTCCTATATAAGCTCCGCAAAAGTCTTTTAAGTGGGCTTTTAGACGAGGAATGCCGAGGACTCGCAGAGGAGTTAGCACTACAGCCAAAGAAGAAGCAAACCGCATCCCCTACGATTCTCACACAAAATGGCACGAAGAGGCCTGCAACTGAACATATAGACGGCCCTCCTGCGAAAAGACCATACCCTCCGGAAGGGTACCCACACCCGATGTACATACCGCAAATGGGATACATGTACCCGCAGGTCCCGCTTGGGCATCCAATGAATGCACCGCCAGTTGCTAGCCCATCAAACGTAAACAGCCCTGAGGGCGAGATATCCCCATCCATGCCAAACCCATACTCAGGCCCTCCCGCAACCCCAATGAGCGGCCAGCCACCGAACAGCCCAGGGCAGTATCCAGGGGTGTCGCCTTCATCAGCCACTCGAACAGGGCCAGGGGCTGCATTCCCCCAGCACCCCCATCCTCCACTCAAAAGATGGCCTAACGATTATACTGTGTCTGAAATTGCTACTGGCTTCCGGCAGATGGACGCTCTTATTGCCCAGACACCTAATGCGACTCAGCGCACGGCATTCGAACGCATTTTTGGATGCCGGTATGTTAAGTCTACCGTGTGCCGGCACCGTGGGGTGTATCGCAAAGCTGATACAGCAGTCCGGGGCATGTTTGAGGGTATGGGGACGGATGAACGTGCCGTGTGGGGTGAGTTCGTGAGGCGGGTGGAGGGTCGGCCATCAGGAAAGCAGGGGCAAGGAGAAGAACTTGCTCTCCAGGGAGACGTCCATGAGGGAGGTTCGCAGCCAGGTCCAGTTCAGCAGGAACAACGCGGAGGGACGAATACAGGCCCACTTATGGATTCGCTGGTGCAGTCACCACATATGACTGTCCCTTCACCACCTTCTGGTATGCCACACATTAATGGTGCGTGTTTTACACGATCTATTTCCGTGGAGCTTATCGCCTCGTAGGGCATGTTCCTGTTTATGATCCAAGTTTAGCAGATAAAGATGCTGGTCTGTGTGGAACATGAGGTCCGATCTTTCTCAGCGATTTGTACCCCCTTTCCGCGATTCACGAACTCCATGCGGTATTTGTAGGACTTTTCTCGTTTAATTCACAATCTAGGGTTCAGGGTACGCTATATCTACTGATAGTGTGACCTGGCGACAATCCCATGATTGATCTGCGCTCAACCGAGAATACCTCGAGCTTCATTAGAAGCCTCGAGTTCAACCCACCCCTATCAAGAGTTTCTTAACTTAGGACCCAAAGTCAGTCGAATGGATCTGACGATGTCCTTAGTTTTGCCTTTGACTAGGAGTTTTTACCCATGGACGACTAACAGACTGTTCTCGTTAACTCGCGTGGAGAGACTGAGAATTATGCAACCGAGATTGATATTGGTCACATGTCCATGTCTGCGCACTGCCACAGGCATGCTTTTCGAAACGTAAATTTCGTCATCATTCTAGCTTCTCGGTACAACTTCTCGGTATAAGTAATTTGTAAAGATCGTTCTAAACAGCACCGTTCTCTCTCTCGCCTTGACGATTACCACGCTGCATAGATACCAGTTTTCGTCAATTTTTCAGCTACTCGTAATCTAGAGACGAAATTGCCACTGCACTTATGACTGAAGACTCAATTCCCAACACGAGGATCTTCAAAGATCCAGTACATGACTATGGTGAGTAGTCTAGTTCAGTTAAATTTATCATGGCGATCTCATCAGTGGGTGTGACTCTGTGCATCTAATAGTGGAGTACAATCCATGGATTTGCAGCTTCATAGACACGTGAGTTGTTACCTTTGCCGGGCTTCTCGCTGATGGAATAACCTTAATACATTCTCCTAGGCCTCACTTTCAACGGTTGAGATATGTAAAGCAGCTAGGACTCTCGTACTACGTGTTCCCAGGAGCATCTCATAATAGGTTCGAGCATTGTCTTGGTATGAGTGATCACATCTATTTAGATGGTTCGGCTAACGGGCTCAAACAGGCGTCGGCCACCTGGCCAGGATGATGGCTCAACACCTTCAAAAGAGTCAGCCGTCCTTGGGAATCAAGGACGACCATATACGTTGCGTCGAGCTTGCCGGACTGTGCCACGACCTTGGTCATGGGCCTTGGTCCCATGTCTGGGATGGCCATTTCATCCCAAAGGCCCTGTAGGTTTGATCTTGGCTTGCTTTTCCGAAAGACCTGATGACAATATACTAGTCCTAATCACTCTAAATGGAGTCACGAACAAGCGTCGGAAATGATGTTCGATGACATGGTGAAGAAGTACAACCTCGAAATTTCAGATGAGGATGTAGAAACCGTGAAGGCACTCATTTCGGGCAGGAAGGAGCGATGCAAGTACGTATTACTACCTAGTTATCTTCGCTGTTGATGAACAAATGGCTGCCTCAGACTTGGGGCGACTATGCCATTTTTGTTTGAGATTGTTGCCAACGATCTCAATGGCATTGATGTCGACAAGTGCGTCTCTACTCTTCCACAATTTGCAGCGACTCATTCGGAGTTCAAGGTTTGACTACATCGCTCGCGACTGTCATGCTGTTGGCGAAAAACGCAACATTGCCATGACAAGGTAGTTATCAGATTCCTAAGGCTTAAGTGTTCGCTGAATGCTTTTGATATCCATCTAGATTGATCCATTCCGCTCGCGTGATCGACGGTCAAATATGCTATGACATCAAGGATGCAAACACGGTCTACGAGCTATTTTACACTCGCTTCTCTCTACATAAAAATATCTACAATCACAAAACCAGTACGTGGCGCTTTGCGTATATCTCTTTTATGCTGATCTTAGATATAGCTCGCGCGATCGAATACATGTTGATGGACGTACTTCTGATTGCACAGAATCACATGAAGTTTGCGGAGTACATCGATGTACCTGAAAAGTATCTCCATCTCACGGATGATCTCTTCCACCGTATCAACATGACCGAATCGGAAGTGGGTCTATTTCGCTTCTCCTTTTGTTTTTTTCCATTTTATAATTACATTAGGAACTTGCACCAGCGCGCAAAATCATTAACCGCATCCAGACCCGTGATCTCTATCGCCAGGTAGACTACAAGATCATCGACTGGGATGACAAGGAATTTTGTCAGGCACAGATCACGCCTGAGACCATTGTGCATGCTGCTAAGAATGTTAACCTTCCTGGTGTTGAACAGAGCCTTGTCGCTGAGCTCACTGCCGACGACGTCATCGTAGACGTTAGCAAAATGCACTACGGCAGAGGGGTAGACAATCCCATCTATCAGGTCAAATTTTATAGCAAGCGTGACCCAAATGGTGAGCACCAAGTATCGAAATAGGACAGCTGTACTGATCCTTCCCTTAGTGTGCCGGCGGGCTGAGTCGGGAGACGTCTCCCTTTTAATGCCCGAGAAATTTGGCGAGCTCCTCCTCAGGGTGTATACGAGGGAAGAGAGATTCATGGGACTTGTCCAAGCTGCCTACCGCCACGTGCTTAGATCCCTTCCCAATACCCCAGACGAGACAGCCGAAATAGCCATTTCAGTACAAACACCCCCCGCTACTGAACCACCTTCCACCCCGCGCACACTTACGCGTGCCATCAGTCTCGGTATGCCTTCGAGCCGTACCTCAAGACCTTTCGGGCGCACACCTAGCTATTCAGATAACCAGTTTACGACCCTTCCCCCGAATTGCCAGAGCCGCTCTCCGACAAGGACGGCACCGCGAAACCCGAAGAGGGTCAGGGAGACAAGTGTCGAGCTGGACATTGACAATCCCCCTCCGACAAGGAAGAGTATACGTCTGGCGTCAAAGTGATCGTGCGTTCTACCATAGTCCTGATGAACTCTTTTTCCAGTTTCCTGCATGCAGTGTTAGACTCGTGCCTTTGTTGCTTTTCCCTTCCGCATTCAGCCTGTATTCATTCGTGGTTCTTTGGAAAGATGCATTCACTTACATACACATTCTATAACACGGTTTGTACTGTATACCAGGAACATAACATATTTACTTGCTTGGCACCCTTGTGGCACCCCAACGGTTCAAGCTGTTGCACTTGTTCGCCGATGCTATTCCCTAGTAATTTTCAAATATCTTGGCGCCGAGTCAGCACAAACGCGAGCCTATAAGAGTACGCCATGTAGCTTGATGTGGTATTGGCAACTCTTCTCCCTTCACTGGAAGCGCATCCATCAAAATGACCAGCCTGAGTGCGAAGCCCACCGACACCACTTTCTTTCGTATGCCATTAAACATTTCAGAGTGGTGCTAAGGCTGCCCTCACCGACACGATCGCTAGCCGACTTCATGATGGGAGGAACTGCAGCTGCTATATCGAAGACCACAGCCACTCTTATTGAACGCGTCGGACTTCTTATACAGAACCAAGGAGCTATGATTGCCTCTAGAAGGCTTGACCGACTTTACAAAGGCATAACTGACTGCTTCAAACGGACCATCTCAGAAGAAGGGGCCATCAGCTGCGCGTTGTGAACCTTGTAGCACAACCGCTCGTTCTCAAACCAGGACAGTGTGGAGGGGTAATGCCACGAACGTGCTCTGATACTTCCTTCCCTACCCAGGCCCTGAATTTTGCATTTAAAATGCCTTCAAGAAGGGTTCTGGTCGAAAAATCACACGGATTCGGTTTATGGGTCTCGGTATGTAGTATGTTTTTCTTGCATTTTTAAATGGGCGAAACGAGTTGTCAGCCTGAAACGTCGCCAGTGGAGCAGCCGCTAGCGCATCCTCGTGTATTCACTCGATTAGTACGTGTGATTTTTTGGAACGCGAACCATTGACAACGCAATGACGCAGCGCTCGCACACGATTAGCTGCTGACGGTAGAAGCTCCAGAAAAGGTGGGCAGCGTCAAGTTTCCGGCTTGATCGACGTATACATGCAGACCCTCTGTTCCGACGGAATCGTTGGCCTGTACAGAGGATTCGTGCCCGGTATCTTTAGTGTCTGCGTGTATCGAGGACTCTAGTGCGTCAATGTTTTTGCACCAAAATCTATGTCAACGGTGCGTTGTGTTGCACAGCTTCGGGGGAGATGACACAATTAGAGATACTTTCCTAGTCGGAGATCTGCGTGGTGACTTTATGACCTCTTTTTTTGTGGGTTGGATGTGTACAACGGTGAGTCGTACAGCTTGCGGTGATATAGTAAGGGCGCACAGAACGTGAGTCTCTCAGGGAGCGGCTATGATTGCATACCCGCTTAACATTATCAGGAGACGAATGATGATGACCTCTGGGGAAAAGATGGGCCAACATCCAAAGTACGTCTCGACCTACTGATGTCAGAGGCAGGTACGATAACGCTGGAAAGCAGATTGTAGCGAATGAGGGTGTAAGGACGTTGTTTGATGGGTCAAACCAGTGCTGAGTGGTATTGTTGACAGTCTGACACACGATAAGAGCTGGTGCAGGTGCAAATATCCTTCGTAGTGTAGCTGTCGCGGGTGTGTTATCATCGTACGACAAGTATAGATGGTTGTGCTGCATCTGGTTGATATCCCTTTCTGACTCTAGACGTGTCAGATTCTAAGAGTTTGCTTGGGAAAGGTATACTAGGCTGGATCGGGTTGACACCTGGATTGACAATATGGGATATCACTCGTGTCAGCGACTCATACCTCGATTGTAGCTCAAATTGTATTTGTAGAAAGTAGAGTATAGGCGGAGTGCCAGCGTGAATATTGAACTCTGTTCTGGAATAAATTCTATGTTAGAACTACACCGGAAGGCAAGAAATGAGACAATCCACATTTGAGTTGATGGATTGCAATTCAGAGTAACTGATTTGAAGGTGTTCTGGAGCCTTTCCATCATTGCGTATCATCTTGAATTATGGTGCACGAGGTCCGCTCCTTTGCTGAGAAGTCCAGAAATCGCTTGACCAAGCAAGTCATTTTGCACCGTGCTGATTACGAGAAAAATTCTGTTATTTGGCTCAGCAGGTATCGATGACGATATATTGTACATTTTGTTGCTGCATCGGTGAGTAGCCTGGTATCATAAATTACAGGTAGTAGCAGGGCAACGCATTTTATGGTTATACATCTACACACTCATCTTCATTGCAATAGTTGGGTAAGGATCATATCCCTCAACCACGATGTCTTCCGAATCAAACCCGTCAATATCATTGATCTCCCTTCGGAACTTGACCTTTGGGAATGATCTTGGCTCGCGTTTGAGTTGTATTTCGAGAGCATCGACATGATCGCGGTAAACATGCGCATCTCCAAGTTGGATGATGAGTTCGTGGGGTTTGGTTCCCGTGACGTGTGCAACCATGTGCGTTAGGAGCGCGTAAGAGGCGATGTTGAAAGGGATACCGAGTCCGAGGTCGGCAGAGCGCTGGTACATGAGACACGATAGGCGTTTAGGAGCATCCGGTGTGGTAGGGAGATGTACGTAGAATTGGCACATCATATGGCATGGTGGAAGGGCCATCAGCGGCATGGCTACGGAATAGAATCAGGGCACGTGCCGACTAGCAAACTGAAAGTAAAATCACCTGCTGGATTCCATGCACTCATGATTATTCGTCGATCAGTTGGATTGTCTTTGATCTTCCGAATGCACTCCTTTAGCTGATCGACACCCTGACCGGTGTAGTCTGTGTCACAATTGACGTAGTTTGCGCCAAAATGTCTCCACTGGAACCCATATACAGGGCCAAGATCTCCCTCACGTCTGTGTCCCAACCCTTGCTTCTCGAGGAAATCTTTGCTTCCGTTCCCATCCCATATTTTGATGCCCTTCTGCGAGAGCACTCGGGCGTCCGTACAGCCTTGGATAAACCAGAGGAGTTCTTCTACAATAGCACGTAAGAATGTGCGTTTCGTGGTCAGGAGGGGGAGCGTGTCATCTGCGAGGGAGAAACGGAAAGAGGGGGGAGCAAAGATAGAGAGGGTGCCCGTGCCAGTGCGGTCTGGACGAACCTCGCCTACGTCGATGACACGCCGGACGAGGGAAAGATATTGTTGCTCGTCGTGTAGCCCCGTGGGCTCTGCACTGCCCATTGTTGATAATGAATATTGGTTAGCGGTAGGCAACACACCAATAGTTGGCAGCAAGACGCGTCTGGATATTATTGTTCGCAAAACGGTCGATGCCGGCGGTAATTTCCAAAAAAGGGATGCAGCCATGGAGATCGATTTTTATCGATATCGACAAGATATACTAAGAGACAAAAGATGAAACATAGGGCGTAGGTGGTTGCTTAAATCTTTGCTTGATGATCACCTACTTGGGTCCAGGTATTCTACCGCGGGCCGACATCTTGAGGTGCCACGTCTTTTCGGATCCAATGCTCTTGGGTGGCTGAATACTCTCACATTTTAGGGCTCCTTTCCCCTCGAATTCAGTTGGAACTGCTTCTTGGAGCTTCCAGCTGGCCATGGTGCACACAGACCGGGAAATGTAGCATTATGTGTCTCAATTGAATTTACGCGTTTTAAGAAGTAAGGTGCCAAGTCGGGGCCTGGTGCCTATCGCCGATGATCCTATGCAGCGCACCCAGTGCCGCTAACTTGAACAGGTGGTCAAGACAAATCTGGTATTTAGCGGTGAAGGTGACTGACATTATAATAGAACATACCAAGTCGTTTCTTCCTTGATCAACAAATAATCAGGTGGTTTCTTCTGGACACCATGATTCTCGTCGAAGAAGACATCTTGAAGCTATTGAAAACTCGAAAGTCAACAAGCCAGAGTATCACGAAATCGCTTACAGTCACATCTGAAATTTTATCGTCAATTCTGTTTCCTACACATTGTTATGGTTGAGATGAAGATCATTTATACGCGTTTGGGCAATAAAACGCGCCTGTCACACGTTATTTCGTCACGCTTGCGGGTCATGAGAGGAGACTGTTTCAACTGAGGGACCGTCTTCATGCTTCAATCTAGCCTTCGTCGCGTCCTGAAGCTACGTTTTACCACACAAAGATTGGCGCCATTTTGCTGTTCCATCGCCAATCCATCATACACTCACAGTTTGAGCTCCCAGAGTCACACAAGTTCACGCAATAAAACATGGGACGGTCATCTCAGCAACATCCAAAAACCCGCTCGACGCGTGTTTCGATCCCGTGTCAATGGGCTTCTGCGCTCTATAGACAGTCGCATTCTCGCAAAGGGCCCTGACGACGTAGAAACCTACATCCATGACAAAATTTCCGTGACGAAATTTGACAATGTATACCGCTCGACGATGTTCAACCGACTTATCCATTTCTTGCTTGAAAGGCACCTTTTCAAGCTAGCCATCTCAGTCTACAAGAGAATGCTCCAAGAGCAGTTCTTTCCCAGCCGTAACATTAGCTTGAAAGTGACGGCGATGACAGAAATCTTGGATGATATGGCCGACGCATTCATCTCTATCCGCAACGTTGACCTCTCTGCGTCCGGAAATCTGGTCAGCGTCACGGTAACCGCATGTATGCGCGCAGGGCAAATGGACGCTGCAGAACGTTGGCTGAAGAAGTATGAGAGCGACTGCATGGAGCAGGGTGTAGCCCCCGATGCAGCTCCTTACGCGGGCATACTGGAGACATTGCAGGAAATCCAACCCGAAAACTCCGGAGCTGTTCAGGCCACGCTGTACCGCATGCGCTCAGAGGGTGTCACGCCTAATATATCAGTTTTCAACGCGCTTATTCGCTCTAGCCTCACCCGTCGAGAATACACCGAGGCCTTTGGGCTCTATCACGCAATCATGACCAACCGTTCTGCTTCCCTCTTGCCCAGCGACCTCACTTTCAAGAAACTATTCCGTGCATCTAAATTCTTGAGTCACAAACGTTCACGGAAACACAAGCGCCCGGAAAACGCTGTCCCTCCGCGCCAATTGTTTCGGGATATGGTCCAATGCCATCTTCTGCGCACCGGGAATACTCCCCTGGCGCACTCCAACATAGTTTCAGTGTCCTGCCTACACCTTGCACTGCGGACCTTCATGGCTCTTGAGGATTATCCCGCTGCTATCATGACGCTCCGCGGATTCGACTACTTTGGGTTCCGGCCAAATTTACAAACCTATTTGATTGTCATCACCAGTATCGTACTGCGCATAAAACAGGAGCTGGGACACGTCTGCACGACTGACCAGCACCGCTTCGCAGATTTCGTCATGCACATGAAGCCTCGGGAGCCCCCCGACATCGACGTGCTGGAGCGGAGGATTCAACGTGGAGAATCTGTAGTAGAATTATCTGGTCCTACTTGCGTTGGCCCTGAAACAGTCACACACCTCCTCAGCCTCGGGGAGCCAACCACCCCGTCCCAGTCTGAGACAGCGCATACCGGGCGCAGACGACTGCCCACGTCTATCATCCCTACCGTCGATATGCTCGTAGGAACCACTCCCCCCTCACCTTTCCAAGAACTTTCGCTCATACCGCTTGCGAGACTGCTAAGAAAAATGATGTTCGTGAGTCTTTGTAAGAAAGCTGCGGGTGGCAAGAGGGAAGGCTGGGATTGGAAAGCGGCAGTGGGCCCCATATTAACGAGCGCGAAAGAGGACATGTGGCCCAAAATTTGAGCCTGGTCTGGAGCCACGACGAGTAGCAAAGGGAAGACGGAGAAGGACATGTTGGAGCGAGGGGATCGCTTGCCGTCCTCGGCCTCGAGGGTGAGAAGGATGGTTAGGAAGCAGACCCTTCACTCATTGGGGTGCAGAGACTGATAGAGCTGTATACTTGATCCGTGGGCGTTTCGTGTAACATGCTAATACACGCATCCAGTCCTGCGGACGATTGGGAGTGAACAAATGATGAGTTGGGTTTGGCTAGGGGAGGACAAAGACGTCGAATCCGGAGGAGCGGTGACGCTGTAGTTGTGAAGGTGCGCGAGTCCTAGAACACTTGCAATGTGCAAATTTATAGGTAGTGCAGCATATCTATTCCTGTAAATCAGAGCGATAAACCGTCACTCGTCAGATCAGCTCAGAGACTCCATGCGGTCACAGAGAACGAGAACTCATTCAATGTGGTCGTATGGTGTCTCCGACTGACTCGGAGGCTACCAGTGACTTGAATCAAAGGAAGGACTCACCTGTGGCGTACCCTCATTCATCCAACCAAAGGATGCTTCACTGAGAAGGTTTGAGGAGACGATATAAGTACATTGCAAGTTGAGGTCGAGAGCAAAACCGTCGCGAAACCGAGATACAAGGCAAGGGAAGCAGAGAGGACGGGGTGGGGGAACATCATGGGCATGGCATCATATCGACGGTGCGAATTACGATATCGAGAGATATCAACACTTGTCGCGAATTATGATATCAAGAGACATCAACGCTTCACAGAGGATAAGAGCCAGCAACATCAGTCAATGAGATAGTACTCACCTCGTACGATTAGATGCACATGCACCATGAAAACAACTGTGGCGGACCATGAAGGGGCGGTATAAGTAACATTTCAATATGCTTCAGAAACAATGACTCACGGAAGTTGGGATGAGGTGAAAAATACTGACGACCCGGACATCCAAAAATATCAGCACCTCATAGTAGAAGATATCGCTGCCCCATAGAGGGCAAAACCAGGAACAGCAGTGAATGAGATCCTTGTGTCGTTATGTGGCATTGTCGGGGTGACTTTGCTTTATAAAACCGGGGTGGGCTTACTCACGCTGACGACCTCGGCTCGTTGAGCCTCTTGGTGAGGAAGTAGACTGAAATAATGACGCCACGCCCGGACCCGGTCGTCACTGAGGTGCGAACGGGGTGGAACGTCAGTTCCACGCCCCGAGCCACCACAGGGTCCCGACGTGGATGATGCGGCAACCGCCAATGCCCTGAGGATGGCGCAATGTCAGTGGTGGAGTGAGAAGGGGAAAGTGGAGCGTACCCCCTCATCTCGTGCTCAAGCTGACGGAGCGACAAGAATTTCGAGTTGATGTGGTCTGGGGTGCCTATGCCACGTGCGGGCCAGCGACTAGACCGGGGAGATGCTGAGGAAGGCACGCAGGGCGGAGAGCAGTCGGAGAGCTGAGAGCCTCGGCGAATGTGGCCAGCAAACGCAGTTTGAAGAGGATCAGAGGACGCAAGTCCTATCACCTGCGCACCGTCCACGCCGCGAACGGCGCCCGTGAAGGTCAGCAACTGATTTTGTTCCATCGAGTTATCAACTCGTAGACATTGAGGCGTGCTGGAATTTCCCGTAAAAACCTGGCTGTGGTCGATGTTGGTTAGTAGGCAGGAAATGAGGCGGCGAGAAAAGGACGTACCTGCAGCGTTTAGTGTGAGCTCGCCGCCAGATCTGGGCGCGATCAAGAGAATGTCAGTCATCTGGACACTGGGAGCACTATGAGCAAGACACATACCATGTAGTGTCTAGCGGGCAAAATTTAAGGTGTGCGTCAAACCTGGGCGTGGTAGATGTCGGTAAGAGGGCAGGTAAGAAGGCAGTGAGAAAAAGACATACCTACAGCATCACCTGTGCCGTTTATGCCGCGAACGACGCCCAGTATCGTTTCATTTATCGTCATCGACTCGTAAATCTTGCGGCGCGTTCAGACTCTTCTGCGAAAACCTGGGAGTGGTCTGTATCGGTTAGTAGGTAAGTAAGAAGGCGTCGGGAAAAGATATCTGCGGTCTCGGTGTGAGCTCGCCGCCGCCATACCTGGGAGAACGTTAGCCGTCTGACACAGAGGACGCACTACGAACAAGAAACGTACAATGTGGCGTCCGGCGGGCAAGATTTAAGGTGGGCTAGTGGTGGAAAGGACGAGAGCGTTGGTAGGATGCCATGTACCTCTGAGTCGCACGCCACATACCTGACTCGAACGCCCGACATGAAGAGGACACAAATTAAGAGCAGTGAAGGTGAAAGAAAAGAAGGAAGAGAGGATAGAGGAGTCAAGCAGGACGGAGGTGGGTTATATTCACCAGCACGGCGGCTGACATTGTTTGGTTGGTGACACAACAAAGGGGTGAATTTTCCAAATATGGAGTTGATCCAAAGCTTGAAGCTTGAAGCTTGAAGGCGTCATAATTTGTCACGGACGCCATCAAGTCATGACATACGTTACATACCTCATAAATACATATGGACGTGGATATACAGTCAACGAGTGAATTTGAAATTGTTCGACGCATCCAAGACGCACCGGTCACATGATATAAACCTTCTGATCTTAACAGCACCAAACATGGACGCAATCTTGCGATTCGACCTGAAACTTTACGAGTCCCCGTGCCAGTGCAAAACATTACAAAGTGACAAATGGGTCCTCTGCAGGCCAGGGGGAAGTTGGGTGACGTTCCAGGCCCAAGGCTCCTTTAGAGCTGAGCGCTGATTCGTTCATGTTTCTTTTTGTCAACATTGTTCGAACTTCGAACGGCCTAGGGCAATGACATAGTGGAAATACCCAACAGCGGACTGACCATACAGCATAGCAGGAAAGAATGTCAGCATCTCCCGGCCCAGAGTAGAGCTTCGTCCGCAAGATACCCGTCTGCAGAGAACTCAACGCCCTCTGCGAGCATCTCCACCTGTCTATTACACTGCAAACCAGTGTTCTTCTGTCCTCCTCTTGCGCTTGCGCGAGAGCCCCACTCACCGAAGAAACCGCCAACGTAGAGATTTGATGCGGTGGCAAGGTACAAACGGGACAAAGGGATCGTTTCGAAACACAGAACCAACTGGAAAATGAGGTGGTGAGAGCAGACAAAGGGACTGGGTCTAGACGCGCACCTGATCGCCGTGACCATTGCCCAATAGCAACGCAAATATCCTTGTACGTCGTGACACGACCACAAGGGATTGTTTTAGTGAAATCGTATACTGCCCACTGGTGTGGAGTGACGCGCTGGGAGATCCATGAATTAAGGGATGATCTTCGGCAGTCTCAACGCAAGGTGCTTGTCTTGAAGGCATTGCGTTCGTTTTCACTCAAGGGTTAATGCACCTTGCCTATGAAGACAGATTCATGAATTCGAATCAAATGTCACTCGCGCTTACAGTCTGCTAGGTCCTGCATTTCCTCTGCGACTTTGGAAGCCGTTGAGGTTATTATCTGATGTCCACTGATAGCTCCCTTCATTGACCGCAGTTGTGTCCTGATGGCCTACTGGCATTAACTTGTACTATATACTTATTCGGATGTGTATGCAGACAAGGGCTAAGTGTCACGGCGACATGTGACAGAGCGTGTCAATGCGCGTGACACAATGTGACGCGACGTTCCGCGCTCCGAGGGTAAACACGACTGCACCACGCGCACCACTGCAATAGATTGGACAATAATGGGACCAGCTAAATCTTCCAAGGCTGCCGCAGTGACAGGGAAAGATATTCGATCTTTCTTCGGTGGTGCTGGAGGAGAGCCAGTGAGTGTCCTACCTCAATCTATTCCATAACTTTTGCAGACTCCTAGCACAAGGCGAAGTCGAAATCCGACCGTATGATGCTCGATATCGACGACAGTCCACCGAAAAAGGCCAGTCTCAAGCGTAAAAATATCGTCGTCGTCTCTAGTGACGAAGAGGATGAATCGGCCACGCCGTCGCCGCCAAAGAAGAAAATGGCCGTCGCTGCCAAAGCTGCACCGAAAGTAGTTGCCTCGACTTCGAGATCTAAAGTCACTGAATCGAAGGTAGTCGCATCTGCGTCGACCTCAAAACTAACTGCACCAAAGGTGGTCGCGTCAGCATCGACCTCGAAAGTGGCTGCAGCGACAAGCAAGGTTAAGCCTAGTAGAAAGGTGCCTGTGAAGTCGAAGAGAGCCAAGGACGATGAATTTGTGGTAGATTCCGAGGAAGAAGCAGAGGAAACTGAGGACGATTACGACGACGAGGAAGACGTCAAGCCTGAGAAGAAGGGCAAGGCTAAGCCTTCCCCAACGGCAAAACCGTCCCCCAAGAAAGCACCCCCGCAGAAAGCACCCGCGCCAAAAGCAGACAAGGGTAAAGCGAAAGAGGAGGATGCGGCCCCATCCACGAAACCCTTCAAGTACGCTGACTTTCCACGTTCCGCTTCTCTCTCTGAACCCCGTAACGTAGTTGGGCTGCTGCAAAGGCCGCAAAATTGGCTGGACCATCCGCTCCTGGTTCGAAACAGGTCCCTCAGTCCAAGTCACCCGACTGTCTCGCCGGCCTGGCCTTTGTTTTCACTGGCGAACTCAGCAGCTTCGCCAGAGATGAAGCAGTTGACTTGGCAAAGCGATTTGGGGGGTAAGTTACCTTTCTACCGCAACATTTGCAAAGTCTCATCGTTGTTTAGGCGCGTTGTCGGACAACCTTCGTCAAAGACTTCATTCGTCGTCCTCGGAGACAACGCCGGTCCTTCGAAGCTTGCTGCAATCAAGAAGCACAACATCAAGACGCTTTCCGAAGATGAGTTCCTCAACCTCATCGCCACTCGCGAGGGACCTGGCGGGCCAGGTGGTGCGGGATTAGACGATAAGACCAAGAAGAAGATGGCAAAGGAGCAGGAAACGATCAAACAGGCTGCGAAGGCACTCGAGCAAAGAGAGAAGCAAGCGTCGAAGGAAGCTGATAAGTCCGGAAGGTTAGTGTGCATTCATTTTTTTCAACGCATTTTTCAATCATTGCTACAGTTCTAAAACTGACGTATCAAGTCAACTGTGGACAACGAGATACGCTCCTCAGTCGTTGAAGGAGATTTGCGGCAACAAAGGCAATGTGGAGAAAATTCAACAATGGCTTCATGACTGGTAGGTCGTCATAGTCGGCGTCTATTTTGAGTGGATGTAAATCCTCTCATAGGTCGGGTAGCCTGAAGTGTGGTTTTAAGAAGCCAGGGAAGAACGGGATGAATGTCTACCGTGCAGTGATGATCACTGGTCCCCCTGGTATTGGCAAGACTACCAGTGCACACCTCTGCGCCAAGCTCGAAGGATTCACCCCTATAGAACTCAATGCAAGCGATGCGCGCAGTAAAAAGCTAGTCGAGGTAAGCCGGAAGTTGAGCCTTACTTTTCGCTGTGCTCACGAATCTCTAGAGTGGCATGAATATTAGCAATTTGTCGTTAGACGGCTGGATGGGTGGAAATGATGTATGATCATTCAACGGTCTCTGTCACAAAGACTCTAATAGTATGATAGGCAACAAACGCAGCAGGAGTCAAAATCACTGACAAGACCTGTCTCATCATGGACGAAGTTGATGGCATGTCCGCTGGCGACAGAGGAGGCGTTGGTGCTCTAAACGCTTTGATCAAGAAGACGAAAGTACGTTCCGATCCGTCCAATTCGCTTTGAGCAGCCATCTTACCTCATGTTTTTCAGATCCCCATTATCTGTATCGCTAACGATAAAGGCGCTCAGAAGTTGAAGCCGCTTGCCGCAAATACTTTCGGTATAACATTCAGACGGTACGTCAAACTTAACATCAGCTGTAACAGTACCTTATCGTTGCAACAGGCCCGAGGCTCAAGCTGTGCGATCGCGCATAATGACGATCGCGTACAAGTAAGGTGTCTTGACTTTGCATTGAAATTATGCTGATGGTTGACCAGGGAGAAGATGAAGATCCCCGCCAATGTCGTCGACCAGCTTATCGCTGGATCTCAATCAGACATCCGCCAGGTTTTGAATATGCTATCAACGTGGCGGCTATCCAGTAGCAGCATGGACTTTGATGAGGCAAAGAATCTGTACGCACGGTCTTCATCGTTTTATATCCACTGATTATATCGGTAACGCAGTGCAAAAACCAACGAAAAGTACACCATCTTGTCGCCATTCGATGTGACATATAAAATCCTTGGTCCATATGCGTTCGGGCCGAGCGCTCGAGAGACCTTGGGCGACAAGATGGAATTATACTTTCATGACCATTCCTTCGTCCCACTCTTCATCCAGGTGAGAAACAGTGTTTTCCGAGCACTACAGAAACGTTTACCGTCTTAACAGGAAAATTATCTCAAGACCCAGCCTGTCAAGGTTCGAGACCTCGAAGGTCCTCCAAAGATGTTAAAGCAACTCGAGTTGATGGATCGAGCCGCGTCTTCTATATCTGACGCTGATCTTGTCGACGCTCTGATTCATGGGTGAGTGGAATTGCGACATGCTCTTTGCATTGGATCTCTGATGTCTTTCAGACCGGAACAACATTGGTCGTTGATGCCTTTGCATGCGGTGTGTTCGATGGTGCGACCCGCTTCATTCCTGTTTGGTGCAGGCAGCGGATACGGCGGCCAAAATCCGATGACATTCCCTCAGTACGTTCCCCCCGGTTCGCTATACACGTCATTCATATGATGCTCGCAGGTGGCTAGGGCAAAATTCGAAGCAGAACAAACTTAGTCGACAACTGGGAGACGTTCAGGTCCGAATGCGTCTTAAAGTCTCTGGCGACAAGCACGAGATCCGACAGTCCTATATTCCTGCACTATTCCCCCATGTCGTCAAGCCACTGATAGACCAGGGCGCGGTGGGTCTTTCGTCTGTTCTCCCTCATTACTGCTTATCATGTTCTTCGTAGGCCGCTGTCGACGACGTCATTGAGCGAATGGACGAGTACTATCTGTCCCGCGAGGATTGGGATACGGTAGTTGAACTCGGCGTGGACACGCACAAAGATGATATAGTTACTAAGCTCGTCAAGCCTGCGACCAAGGCATCATTTACGAGAAAGTAAGGCTCACCAACGAACTGCGTCTGGTCGTTGCTAACGGTGCGCTCAGGTATAACAGCATGGATCATCCAATACCATTCCACAAAGCCACGGACCTCGGGAAAGCTCCCAAGAAACTCGCAGGAGGCCCAGCCCCCGATCTAGAGGACGTTTTCGATGTGAGTATTTCAAGGACGATCGTCGATATGCACTAACGTCTCTTCCAGTTGGATGACGAAGTCGTCGATGTTTCCGACGATGAAAAGAAGAATGTAAGGGATGAGGACGAGGTTGCTGCTGACAAGTTGTTCCAGGCTAGCAAGCCCAAGGCTCAGAGCCAGAAGGCTAAGACGACTACGATCAAAGGAAAGAAGGCGCAGAATTTTATGTGATTTATTTTTTACCGTGGACGTTATCGTATCGACATAGAATCATAATAGAATCTTTTCATGGTGTCTGGCTTATCTCTGCTTGATCTCAAGGACGACGCAGCTGCGCGCACGTGAAGGTCACGTCGTCGAGAACGCAATTTCATGGCTGACCTTTCAGTGATTGATTGTCTTTGATTTTAGCGGAGGAATAGAACGCATTTGGAAAAATGATAATTTTTCTTCCATAGAGCGGTCGCTAGCTAGGCTACACAGTACCAGTAACGTTTTTATGTCAATAGACGACAGTGTTTTATATCTACCAGGCTTATTCAAGTGCACGAATCAAGCTTGCTTGGTCACGCGCATGCCAGTGATTCGTTGTAGTAACATTGCTACTTTTCAAGTCGTATGGTCTTTATTTCCCCAGTCCAATGACCTGGGAGCGTGAAATTCGATGAATACTGCGTATGAGTGCTATAAATGGCAAGAAATAGGTGTGCGATAACAAGACAGGCGTGACATGTGGCATAAAACCGACAGCGTCAAATGCTTGACTGAGATGATCCTGAAGCTTGGAGGAAATGTTCCTGTATGCGCAGGTCAGGTTCTGAGTTACGAAAACGATTGGAAACACACATACCTTCACGAGTTTCTCCCCTTCGGATAAAATAATGATGCAAGACCGTAGACCCTTCAAATACCACTGCCTTTCGAACCAAGAGAGGAGATAGCGATTCCAGAAAGACTTAAATATACGGTCGAGGCTCTCGTCCCATGTAATGGGAGCTCGCGAGAGATGAACAGTCCAGTTTTGACATGCGTACTTGAGAGCGTCGGAAGTTGATCGACTTCGTTCCTGTGCTTCGTTCGCGAAGCTCTCAAAGACTCCCATAGCATGGATGATCTTCATGTGCGGTGGGAAATGGCTTTCTGGTAACACAGAGTTGGAATGATCCTGGTACCCTGACGACAAGAACATCGGAAACAAATAAGAGGTGATCATGGATTTGAGCTCCTGGTTCTCTATGCCTGGTGAAGGATGATGACGTGGAAATACGGAGGTGGAATGATCATGATGCCTCAACACCAAGAAGACCAGAAACATCAAGAAATCCGGTAAGCTCTTGAACTGCTGGATTACTTGAAATGGTGGCAGCAAAGGCAATTCTGGGATGATCATGTACTCGCTGATTGCTTCCAATGTGCTCGAGAATCGTTCCATTGTCACCCACACAGACGCTGCAGGAGTCAATTGCCATGCTTGACCGTGGGGCGTCTGAAGCCAGTCTTGCCCGCTCGGTGTCTGCAGCCACTTGTCTCCGCTCGATGTCAGCAGCCACTGTCTCCCACTCGGTGTCTGCAGCCACCTTTTTCCGCTCGATGTCTGCAGCCACTCGTCTCCGCTTGGTGTCTGCAGCCACTGGTCTCCGCTCGGTGTTTGCAGCCATGTGTCTCCGCTCGATGTCTGCAGCCACCTTTTTCCGCTCGATGTCTGCAGCCACTGGTCTCCGCTCGATGTCTGCAGCCACTGGTCTCCGCTCGGTGTCTGCAGCCATGTGTCTCCGCTCGATGTCTGCAGCCACCTTTTTCCGCTCGATGTCTGCAGCCACTCGTCTCCGCTTGGTGTCTGCAGCCACTGGTCTCCGCTCGGTGTCTGCAGCCATGTGTCTCCGCTCGATGTCATGCAGCCACCTTTTTCCGCTCGATGTCTGCAGCCACTGGTCTCCGCTCGATGTCTGCAGCCACTGGTCTCCGCTCGGTGTCTGCAGCCATGTGTCTCCGCTCGATGTCTGCAGCCACCTTTTTCCGCTCGATGTCTGCAGCCACCTTTTTCCGCTCGATGTCTGCAGCCACTCGTCTCCGCTTGGTGTCTGCAGCCACTGGTCTCCGCTCGGTGTCTGCAGCCATGTGTCTCCGCTCGATGTCATCAGCCACCTTTTTCCGCTCGATGTCTGCAGCCACTGGTCTCCGCTCGATGTCTGCAGCCACCTTTTTCCGCTCGATGTCTGCAGCCACTGGTCTCCGCTCGATGTCTGCAGCCACTGGTCTCCGCTCGGTGTCTGCAGCCACATGTCTCCGCTCGATGTCTGCAGCCACCTTTTTCCGCTCGATGTCTGCAGCCACTGTCTCCCACTCGGTGTCTGCAGCCACGTATCTCCGCTTGGTGTCTGCAGCCACTCGTCTCCGCTTGGTGTCTGCAGCCACGTGTCTCCGCTCGGTGTCTGCAGCCATTGTCTCCGCTCGGTGTCTGTAGCCACTGTCTCCCGCTCGGTGTCTGCAGCCGCTTGTCTCCCGCTCGGTGTCCGCAGCCACTCTTCTCCGTTCAGGGGCCCTACCCACCTTGACAGGTGCAGGATCTGCAGCTTCCGCATTCGCTTGCGTAGAATCTGCTGCAACTCCAGCCAGTTCCGTCCACTCGTGGACAGTAACCACTCTCCCCCGCCCCAGGTCTGCAGCCACTCTCCCCCTCCCCAGGTACCCAGCCACTGTTTACCCCCGGAGGACTGAAGCCACTTTCGCCCACCCAGGGACTGCAGCCACTTTTGCTCGCGCCAAATCTGAAATTCTTGCCCGCTCGGGGACTGTAGCCATTCTCGCCCGCTTGGGAACTGTAGCCATTCTTGCCCGCGCGGGGACTGCAGCCAATCCCGCCCATTCAAGGTCTGCATCCAGTCTCTGCCGTTCTGTGTCCGCAGCCAGTCTTGCCCGCTATGTGTCTCCAATTTCCCGTCCCAGCTATTCGAGGTCTTCAGCTCGATTTGCCGCTTCTCGGGATGCAACCATATTTCCCCTCCCTGGGTCTGCAGCCATGCCTTCCCCCCTTGGGTCTTCAGCCAGTTGTGCCCTCCCGAGGTATACAGCCAATCTTCTCCCTCCCGGGTCTGCAGCCAGTCTTCCCCCCCCCTTGGGTTCGCAGCCAATCCGTGCCTCCTTGAGTCTGTAGCCAGGCACGACCATCTAGGGTCTCTAGCCAGGGCTGTAAATCTGGACTGCGATCTCCCCGGAGCCATAGAAGACCTATAAGAGCACGCAGTGGCTCTGGTTGCTGGACAATGAAGGATAATGATTGTTTCAAGTTCCGGGGGTCCTGAGGTTGCATAGCTTGGCTGTGTTTCTTCAATTCCTGCGAGTGCATCAAGGAGGGTCGCGTGTTCTGGACATCCTTGCATCATCAAGTGGAGAGACGAATGAGCGAGTACGGAGTGGGGTGGTTTGATATGTTGTACTTGAGGGAGACTGCAGTTTGAGGGATCGGAAACATAGTCGCGAACGGACGAGTGATAGATATTCACGGGGAGACTGACATCGGTAGGAATATCCATGACAGACCTGAGCTGCACCAGCGCTATTTCTACATCCCTTCCCAAACCAGGGCCAAGAAGTTTCGAAATCTGTGAGATTGGAAGAGGGTCCGCAAGGGCAGCGACGATGGACAAGTGCTGGTATGCCCGTTTGGGGTCAGCGCAGGTGGAGAGGATGCGGTCATACAACCTGTACACCTCTGTTCCCGGTAGCAATTCATTTGATAACTCGAGCATGAGCCGAAGCCTATCACGGGGATCATTGTCTTCATCGTTGATGAACTTCATCATCGTAGATGCCACAATGAAACGTCTACCTGCTCGGCTCGCTAGCTGAACAAGTTGACCCACCGATGGCTGCGGGAAATCGGGATGACGACTTCCCAGTTCTCTAAACGAATGCTCCAAGAAGATATAGATGTCATTGTCGACGTCTGCACCGTCTAGAGAGATGATGGTAGAAATGCCCTTCCCAGAAGTTTTCACTGGTATCTCGCACACCAACGGGCGCACCTCTTCTGTCTGCATGGCTTTACGGATATGTTCCTCTGAGCGACTCGTGAGCAGAATATGGATTATGGGAAGATCAGGCTCATTAAGAGCTTCGGCGAGCAGGGAGATGAGGTCGGCAAGCTCGGTTTCAGACGTGCATTCATCGAGGGCATCAATGATAAATGTCGAAGGCAGACAATCACGTAGCCTGAAGCGAAGCCTCCGGAGAGGTCGGAGAAACAACGCCTCCAACTGGTCACGAAGGGACGTATCGGGGTCAAGAAGAGCAGGATCCTCGCGGATAGCTTGATTCACTTCCTCCCGGACGCTGGGAAAATTCCTGGCAAGCTGATAGGCAAGCGTTGCAAAAAAATATCCAGTTGTAGAGCGTTTCGTGTGCTTGCGCGAGAAAAAGAATGTTCCTGCGAGGCGCTTTTCTGTATTCGTCTGCTCTGTCACTTTCAGACCTCTCATTCTTTCCGCTACAGTGAATGCAACAGCAGACTTTCCGACACCCGCTGTGCTGTGAAGCCAAATAAGTTGACTCTTCTCTTGGTTGTCCAATAATCCGTGAATGTAGTTGAGAAGGTCTACCCGGGTCCCTTTCAAACATTTTGGGTGGGGCTGGCGTTCCCGGGAGTCATACTCCGCACCCTTGACAGCAACCTGGGATAACTTCTCCCAAGTTCCTTCATATGATCGAGGTTCGCCGGGGACTGTCGATGAGGTCAGAGAGAGAGGTGATACAAGATGAAGGTACTGACATTGATCGCAGTAATTCATTGACAAAAGTTGATGATAAAATGACAAAAGATCGAACGTGATGGAACGGAAGAACTCGGCGAATTACTAGTTGACAAACTTTGACAGTTAGGGACGATAGTCCAAAGTAATCTCGAGGGGACGACGTACGAAGATGTTGATCGAAGGCTCAAAAGTTTTAAGCTCCTGAAACTCAGACCTTTGGTAAAGGTCGAGTCGCGAAACAATGTCTTGGTGTTAGGATGTCCGGTACTAAATGTGGTTGACGGTGATGACTGGATAACGATATGATCAAGCAGTAAAGATATTGCGAGGCGTGAGAGCTGCTTGAACTCGAATCCAAGGATGTTTCGACCTATCCCTGTACTATGGAAAGCTCTCTCAGGCTGGATGGTGGTGGAATGTAGTTGAAGGACGAGCGAGCGCTCAGCCACTGGCTGCAGGACGACACGAGGCTGCTGTGCATGACTGGAACTTCGCGGCTATCTCCGTCACACGGTGGGGTCGGTAACTGCGAGTTGGCCTTCGAAGGGAAGGGACGACTGTCTTCGTTCTATTAGATTTGTTTACAGGACCTTCGAGACTAAGCACGAAATCATGGATGGAGCTCAGGATCCGGAAACGAGTAAGTGATATTTTGACATCCAGTCTTCCGAGCATCGGACATTCACGTTTCGGTTATAACGTACGCGGTTGATGATGTTTCCACTTCAGCATGTTACCCACCCGTAATACCTCTTCTAAGGAATACCAATGTTATCTTCAAGGAATACAAGGGATACAAGTCCAACCGGTTCAGAGCCACTGGTCCAAGATACCTCAGTAGGCCCGTGTTACACTGACTTGCTGGTGCGTGTAGGTGGCACCGAGGACGGGTGAGTAGTAGGGAAAAGCGTTGGAGTACTCATTTGTGAAGCCAGTCTGGACTGATGCATGTCATTGCAGAGCGCACGGTCAGTTACATCGACTCGGACACCCGGTGCTCGTGACATGTTACTAGTACTATCGATACTCCCCTGGGTGGCAGTGAGAAGGCCAAAATGAAGTCGATACTGCATTCAAGAGTGTGTGCGTCCCAAGGCCGCGTTATATTTTTCTGTCTCACTGAATGAAGTGTAAAGTGATCCCGGAGTTCATCATGATGCTCGAGCATTATTCATACTTCCCTCACTCTGTGTTGTCGTTCTATCGACACAACAAGCCTTTTATACGACAACTTTTCCCCCATGGTAGTCAGTGGCTCTGTTGGGAAGGGCGTGCTCAGTCGCTCAAAACGGTTCGTATCCTCTTGTGCATGCAACACAGCAAGGCTCTATAGATACCTAGCCTATAACACCTAGGTCGAACATGTAGCGTCAGGCGCACAAACCCTGTAACACAGATGGGCGGAGAAGGCTGGTTGTAGGTGCCAGATATGGTAGATGAGGACCCGGAAGTGCAGTGTTCAATGAAGGAACGAGACACGGGAGAGATGCATAATTCCACATCCATGTCCGACCTGCTCACTCTGCTTCGCTTTCCACCCCGCTTCTCTTATACTCTTCTCCCTGCCATTCGGTTCAGAGACCAGCCAGAGACAGTGATGCAGTTTACGCAAGTCCCCTATTTTCTCGTTATATATACCTCGAAGTTCTATAATGGTTCGTACCACGTCCAGAGTCTTCCAGTTCGTTACTACTGCACCTCCCGCGTACGGCACAATTTGTATACGTCTAAGCTATCAGCAGACTCCGTGCAATGCACTGGCAGACTGACCATCTGTATTTTCCCTCTTACAAACCATGCAGAAACAAAAAGCGGTTCTATCCCGCATCCGTGATCTTGTCTCTGCCCCCAATTTCAAGCCTTCCTCTGTCACCCCAATTGTCAGCGCCTGCACTGCTCTCTCAGTTTCAGTCGCATCCTGCAAACACCCAATATCGAGGGCCACACCGCGCTGTATTGGGCGATTGTAAATAACCGGCGAAAAGTCTTTGATGCGTTTACTGCATGCACTTCCCAATTTTCGTCTATTTGCCGTTCCGACTTGCGTCTCGCATGTATGGCAACTAGCGATCAGAAATGGTTTAGGCAATTGAATTTGGAAAATGTCTTGTGTAAGTGCATAGTAACGTCTACCCAAGGGCGCCTTGATTGATTTGTTGTACAAGAACGAGTCTTTTCAGACGTTTTTTTGGGTTGTCCGCTAGATGACGTTCAGGTAAATGAAGGGGATGGACCATGCCAGTTTGTCGCCCGTGTCCGTATCAGGATGTTACACAAACGCCTGTGCATCACACGGGGTATGGGTGTCGAATTGTTGCCGCGTGGTATGTAGTATATGTTCCTCTTGCTAATCGTGCAAGCTAGAACTCAACCACGCAGGTCTAGATTTCTCGACGAGGGCCTTCCATTTTACCTCATCCTGCTGTTTAGGTATCAGATGAGACGAGTTGTTGTGCGATGTGCATGTCGTATTTGAGGAATTCAGATTCTATTCCCGTGGCAAGTAGTACACGGTCGTCAGATGTCCTTGCTTTGCATCATTTCCCAGGCTGACTCTGACCCAGCTTTTGTATCAAATGGCTACACAACCGTGACTTTAGGTCTGCTCTGGTATCTTTGTACATGACCGGTGAGTCCATGATTTCTTGGCCGTTATATGTATTCATGTTAGACCAAGCGGAGCTCTAATCGCCTGCATTTGATGGCGTATTTTAGGCATGTTTCTTCCTGACAAACTCTGACCGTCATCTCCTTCACCTGTCTTTTCGTGAGCGAAGATTTTACTACACATTGACTCAGTGACTTGTAACGGTTCCATGATGTATCCGTGACTGAATAACAAGACCATCGTGCAGCCGTCCTTTACTGTCTGTTCAACTACACGACCCATGCTTACAGCGGATGGCTTGGACACTGCCATACTCATTACTGGAGTACGGGTGTATGTATTCCTCATCCCATTTGTATGAGAAGGTACGCTGATGTTTTGCACAGGCTTGATCTCTCAATGGAATACTCATACATCTTCCAATCTCGTGTTTCTTTCACCTCTGTTCACCTCTTTTCTACCTGTTAGGTGTCAAGTACGCTCATCTCTGACTCATGAGCCAACAGGGTGCTGGTGTTTCGCGTGGTATCCGATATCAAAATACGAGGCGGCGCAAGCCGTCACCGCATACTTACGATACGAGTACTTAATGGAGGATCTGCGGCTGAGCGCTGAGTGCCGAAGGTGAAACTGTACAGTACATACATACAATAGGGTGAGGCGTTACTTTCGAGTGAATTTGCTCCCAACCCTACTAGTCGACCTAGTACTTGACATGCACGGCTGTCTTCGCCTGACTGAGATCCTTGAAGCGATCTTCTATTTCGTGTTCAATTCCCGACCTCTTGACTCGATATCTAACATAACCTTCATCTTCCGCTACTCCGAACTTCCTCCATTGATATCGCATTCGCCTCGTGAAGATCAAGATCGACGCTCCGTTCTCCGCCTCGCACTTACCTGTCGTGCGTTTCGCGACCTAGCACTCGATGTCTTGTATTCTCAACTGACAGACTCCCTGCCTCTTTTTTGGTGTCTTCCTTCCGAACTCCGTCACTCACACAGACCCGGTTCACCAGTGCATAATACACCCGAGCACTTCCTTCCACAATTGGTCCTTCGTGCTGCACGCGTCCGCATCTTCGTCGATTCTGGTTCCTTCGGTAATCAATACGCATTTTACCTTGCAAGCGCGAGTCCCAACGACACGCCGCTCTTTCCCAAGCTGCGCTCGCTCACATGGTGTGATTCGGATCTCACCTCTATCCCAACACTCAGACTCTTCTTACCCACCCTCGAGGCACTCTCCTTCAAGTTCTACATCGATAATGAACCATTTTTTCAAGGCCGTCATTCCTGGCCTCCGTATCGCCGCCCCACGCCTCAAAGCTCTAGAGTTCAGAGGCATGAGTCCGACTAGTGACAGCATCTCGGAAATTGAGTCGCTGTTGCTCAGTTATCCTGAGGGTCTCACAGCGCTGTCGTTGCCATCCTGTGATATCTCAAGCAGCCTGCTTCATCACATCGCCCCGTGGCCACGCCTTCAATGGCTCACCATGAAGCTGGGCTCCAACAGCATCCCCACTGTACCTCTCCATGCATATGCGTCTCAGCCCTTTCTGGCACTCACTCACCTACATATCTTGTGCGAGGACCTAGGCCGTTTCGTATCTTTCCTGCGCGCCTTCCAGATTATCAGGATGGATTCTGATACGCGTTCCCTTGGATACCCCAACCTCAAAACAATACATGTGACCACACGAAATTGCAGCCCAGGCACCATTTGGTCTCAACTCCTCAGCATTCTCACCCGCACGAACTTAGAGCACCTCATTCTAACCGAGTCGTGTCACCATCAGGCGTGCCCCAATGCATCCTCATCTTTTGATCTTCACCCCCTACTCATTGACCCCACCGCCCTCGCAGACCTCAAGACCCTCGTCATCTCTCCCGTCAAGTCCTCGTCCATTGCGCTCACCGACTCCGACATCCTCATACTCGCTCGCACATGCCCATACCTCGAAATCCTTAGAGTGTGCAACACGCCCGTATCCCTCCATGCCTTACGCATCCTCGCGAGTTGCTGCCGTGAGTTGTGCGAGGTCTCACTCTGCTTGGATGCGCGACTTGATGCGCTCGGGGCGGCACCTCCAGACAACGATCAAGTGGCTCTGAAACCCAACATGCGCCTCATCAAGCTGCTCATCGGGCCGTCGCCCATCGCATGCGTGGGCCCCTTGGACCCTCCGACAGCGCCAGACCTGATGAGGTCAATCCCACGCTTCCTGAATGCGATGGCGCCGCGGCTTTCGACCTTCTTTCGGATGCCAGGTGAGGAGGAGCCCCGAAAGATATATCAGGAGAGATGGTATGCGGTATTAACCACTTTGTCGGCGATGGCGAAAGGTGAAGTTGAGGGTAGTGACTGATGTTTGTTTGGGGTTAGATGGATGTTTAGGCGGCAAGATTGTGTTGGGTGGCCAGGGAGACATGTGTACGTGAGATAATGCGGGGTGGGTTTAGGAAAGCGTTTTTTGATGCACATAACTATATCTTTGTTGTACAATGTATTCCGTTTTCTTGTGGGTCGGTACTTGGGGAATAGTCTGCATTTTTTGGCAGGGTTTTTAGCGGCAGTCAAGACTTCAGGATGTCAGCAGGTGTTTTCTCACTTCATCTGTTCTATTTATTTGCCAGTCAAAGGTGAGCAAATATGTCGCTCTTCTCCCGCACATCGAATACGTAGTGGCCTCTAGTTGTATTCTTCTTGGCTGCTGCCGACTTCCGTGAGTTTTCGATCTATACAGCCCTAGCACTTCCCTACTAACAGGATTCCCCGTAAAAGACGGTAGGCGTCTAAAGAAAGAGAACTAGTATGAGTTCCCCAGTCGAGTATAAAAGACTGTATTATGTACCTAAAGCAAGAGAACTCGTATGAGTTCTATAGTACACCAGTAAGGAATGTGTTAGGTATACTAAGGTATAACTTACCCCCAGTTGAGTATAAGAGACTGGGGAAGAGAGAGCAACGAGCGTAGCGAATCTATGGTACGTGGAAATACTATATATGGTAAGTCCGCTGGCGTAGTGAGCGGAGGTCAGAAACAAAAGAGAAAAGGTACGCTACATTGACGGGTTGATAGGCTTCCAACACCCCGCCCAGTCCTTCTTGTTCCCTTCTCGAAATCAGCCAACGGCGCCATACTACCTGTACGTCACTCTTCCATCACCAAATATCACGCGCATTCCTCATTTTTGGGTACTGCTTCGTCGATTAGACCCATAACCAATCTGGACTACGGGTATACGCCAGGCTGGTCACGAGCTTACTCGTCAATATTAATATCACCATCATGTTGCAATTGACGATTTTCGCTAACTGTGGTGTTTCAACAATACCGAGTATACTCTGATGGCACCCTCCATGTAACGGTGCAGAATCTGCAGATGACATTGAGATAGTAATCACGGCATATTCGACAAAGTGGAAACTCATTTGCTAGTGGTGTTGAGACTGACCGATTGATGACGAGGTAATAATGTGGACAAATAGTTGTCTAACAGAATTGAGTAAGTATGATCTATGCAAGCCTCAAAGGTTGCACAATTTTTCTATATATATGAGTGGTCGATCATATTTTTTTAAGAAGGCATGGTCGATGATTTCTGTATCTCGAAAGCAGCATAGAAGCCAAAACCACGGCGACGGATGGCTCAGCGATAGATGGAGTAGGAGCGGCGGCGGCGAGATCTTGCACTTCCACCTAGGTTCCACAATGCACGACGGCGGTATATGAAGCAGAAACTGTCGGTACTATATGGCCTACTTGCGCCGTGAACCAGGAGTATTTATACTGGTGTCTTGGCTTCACCCGATGGAAAGGATGGCGTCGAAGGCTTTTCCGTAGGGCGATGCTAAACGCCTGGGCTAACCCCAAGAATCTCGTCTGCCTCTGGCGATCCAGCAAGCGGGACGTCTTTCCGAAGCGAAACCTTGACAGGATCCTCACCAGTATTGTACGCCAACGCAAACACAATATCGAGGTCTTCAAGAATAAAATTAGCCAGGAGCCTGAATAGCAACAACGCAAAGCTCACCTTCTAAAGACCGACCGCCGGTTTCGGGGAAGAAAAAGTAAACGACTGGAATGATGGCTACGTTCAAGGCTGCGAAGACGATATATGTCCTCCAGGAGATATTATTGAAAGATGGGCCAACGACCATCACAACAACGAAGTTGAAAGTCCAATTTGATGCTGGGAAGAACGATGGTAAGAGTAATTTCATGTCTCGACGTATGAGATTGCCAAACCTGTGCTTAGTGCATTGGTCGCAGCACGAGTTTTGAGCCCAGCAATCTCGGCGCACTGATATGTCAACAAAAAAGATGAGATCAGCGAACAAGATCAAAGGCGCCGTTGCTGTACTCACATATAACCAGGCCATTCCAAGCCACCCAATAGCAAAAAACGTGTTGAAGCCGAATAACAGGACCACGCTCACAATCTGCGCTGGTAAATTGTTGATATATCCTAAGATAGCCAAAAGCAGCATCACAAAAAATTGACCGACGGTTCCAATCAGCATGAGTTGGCGCCGACCAACGTAGTCTATCGCATAATAGGTAATGAGAGACGCAAGAACATATTCTGTGCCGTTAGCCGCAGCAGTAATCCGTGCGTTGACATCGGAGAGGCCAAGACGCTGGAATAAAATAGTCTGCGTGACATCAGTATCATTGCAGTAGATCATGTGACTGTACGCCATACAGCATAACTGTTTACATCAGTGCATTTTTAGAGTACAGCAGGTTATATCAGGAGACTAAAATACCCACAAGGTAACGAGGTTGATGCCAGTCAGCTGCTGCATCATCTGACATACCATGGCAGTAACTGTTCGTCGCAAGTTCTGGCTGCGACCCCCCGTAGTGAGCTCTCGTAGTAAGCCTTGACTAGATGTTTCAACAGCAACAGCTTCGCGAATTCCGTGGTAAGTGCGGCGAACTTCTGGATCAGATGGAGGTTTGTCTTCCATTGCGGATATGACGGCCATTGCTTCTGCATTGCGACCACGCTTCACCAACCTAAGTTTCTGATCAGTTTCATGAAAATAATGGAGAATGACGAGAACTCACCACCTGGGTGACTCCGGAAGCTGAAGAATCTGTTAGCGCTAGTGAAGCACTTGGCGAAAAAGAAAAACTCACCAATCCGATGCATGTTACCATGATAATTTCAAATACCAACTGCAGAGCTATCGGAACTCTCCACTGAGCAGACGACCAATTTACGAAAAATCTGATCGGATCGTTGTCATTGACTAGATCAAGCTTAACCTGGGGATGAAACCGAGACGTACAGCGCTAGATCGACCCACTAAAGATTCATATCAGCAAAATGAACAAATGAAAATAACGATTTGCATACATAGCTGCGAGACAGCCGTCAATTTTTTTTTTAAAAAAAAAGATCGATACAATAGCACGCTCACGCAATGCTCACTCCAACCACAATCAGAGTTCCCTCCATCATGATCCTACAAAAATTCTGTGAGTCTTTTGATTGTACTGTGTATTAATAACGTGCATTCGACCCCTCTTTGCGGAAGGGGAGAGCTCCGCATGATATGTTGGCACTGTCGACGTCTACAAACTTGATCTCAGCAAGAATTAGAGCCACAGATAGGCACACGACTGACTATCAGACCATTCCCGTAGCCTGTGAAGATACGAGCAAAAATCAGATGTGCGAAAGAAAACGCAGTAGTTTGCAGAATTGCCCCTGTGAGGAGATCAGTTGGGGCTCTTAACGGGAGATAGTTTGACTACCGATGATCATTATGCTGCCTCCTAAAGCAATCGTTCTTCGGCGACCGAGCCTATCTCCCACCCAAAGATTAGACAGTGACCCAAAGAGACAGCCTACTTCCTGCATAGTATGAGCACAAAAGACGAGGTTCAAAAGGTTGTTAACATACGTATATGGCAATTGTAAAGCTCTGAAGAGTGGCATGGTTAGGGTGGCTAGCCTCCACTACGACTTCAGGGAAGGCAGCCTCAAACTGGTAAGATGTGGTGTCATGAACGTTTGCATGCAAGGCTCAATCGAACATAATGTTACCTGATTGCCCGTAAGGAGTGACGACATGACACCTTGGTCATAACTACAATCGTAATATGCTGAGAGTTTGATTGATTGTCAGTCACTTCTTAACGTACCCAAAGAGCAGGAACCCGGTGCCTGCTACAAATCCTACCGCAGCCGTTAGCTTACGACCGCGCAGCGACGGCGCATGAGCAGCGACATCTGCTAGATCCAAGTCGAATTCTATCTGCTGATGGTTAGTAACAGGGTGTTCCACGATAGATGTCTGATGTTTCTCCTGTTCAGATAAAGGAAGAGACATGGTACTGCATAGATCTTGACTACGGAAGACGAGGTTTATATACTGAGGGCGGTTTCCAACTTCGATCCTGACATTAGATGGTCATGGGAGCCCTTTTCCATGTCTGCTGATGACCTTCGGGAATCGGGATGCAGATGCGTACGGGAGGCCGCGGAGCGACGAGTTTCAAATGCCGTTCATGACGGGGGATAAGTCAGATCAACTACTGGGTTGCCAGGGTCGGATTTCATCATGGAGAGCGATAATGGCACCCTGAGGCCTGAGGGACGGAAGGGTTTGTTGTGAGAAACTCCCGACCCCAGTTGTTTTTCCAATTCGTGACACGTTTCTTGCATAAAAATAGGTTGATGAATGTCAGTCTCCATCTTGGGCTTGAATATAACACTGGAACACGTCAGACAAAACATCATGAAGGTCTGAAACGATATCAATGAGACTGAAGGGGATCAACGACTTCACGAAGTCCTCGACAATTTAAAGACAGATGCGAGGTCTCGATTAACACACAAGTTATAATGGCGTGATTAAACATAATGAGAAGGCCTTGATGGAGATCAACTGGATCAGCATGATAGAAGACGCAGAAGCTGATGGCTTACAGCAGATGCCGCTTGCGCAATGCGGCCCCGGTCTTCTGATGTACTGCGACCAATTTCACTTCTCACAAAATGCCCCGACTCCCGGCAGAACGGCCTGATTCCGCAGACTGAGACAGCAATCTTTACCCAGCTGGTAGTTGATATCAACCAGTCCGTGATGTTCGCCGTTGAACCATCCCGTGAAGATGATGCCAAGCTAGGAAGCAAAGAAGGGGTACATAATATAAATACAATCGTTTGCCATTTGATCAATGCCTCAAGCTACGCAAGGTGCCGGCGGACCTAGAAAGTACAGAACGTTAATGAACATCCGATAATGGGGAATCCCGACTCCTGGGATGATCAGATCATGAGCATCGGTGACACTATATGTGTACGAACTTCTACGACCCTCCTCCCCGAGACAGACCCACACGACACTTTAAACGTTTGTCTGTGCGCTTACTTCCTGTTCAATCATTTGAACATAATCTACGATTCTTCATGCCTTCCATCCACTAGCGCACTGCAGGATGCAGGCATACATAAATTATTTTCGAAGACCAATCTAACACATTCACCCCACGAGGATTAGCGAACACGTTACAACAGGTTGTTGTAGATGACGAGCAACGCGTGTACTAGGATGGGGTCGTACGCTTTATCGGCGCGTCCGATTGTCCGTCGACCAAGGTTCAAGTGACCCAACTTGGACACTTGCAATTGTCCGCTACTACTAGTCCCCGCCGCCACAATCATTAATACAATTACTCATGGCCCGTGATTTCAGCATCCCGAAACCTCCTCGAACACAGATGCACCTTAGATGCGCCCCAACATCTAACCTCCTTTGAAGATCAGCCGCGGGGCCCGCATACTAGCGCACCCAACTTCGGAAATGACGGTTCAGGTCACCCATTTATTATACTTTTGGGGTCATCACTCGTGCTTCCTCAAGTTGTGGGTGAGCTCGGTTGACCGTTCCTTGTAATTTTAGAATGTAGGTCGGTAATTATGCTCCCATCGCTGACCTATTTCGGACTTCACGGATGATCAGACATGTCAATTATTAACCCATTCCAACAATTCATTTCGCCAAAATATTACGGTTGTGGGTGTGCAAAGGTGAGGTTTATTATTCTCGATGATGGTAATAACGGCACTTTCATTGATAATAGAATTGGTTACATATCTATTAATGGTGGACACTCGAAGACCAGTCAATCATGGAAGTCAAAACTTCCACTGACATGAGTCCCCGTTCCAAGGTCCAAAATAAGGTTGAGTTCAACCCCCCCATCGGGGTTAAGTCTACCCGCCTGCCCCCGATACAGAGGCGTGGATTGGAAGGGTATGTCCATTGTGGCGTATCCCTATCCACTTTGTTCTGTAACTTGGCTGCCTCGTGTTTGTAGGTAACCTTGGGCACCGCAGTCTGCTTTCAAGAGCCACACATTGTCAAACTAAAGCCTATCCTCGGCCACTTACCTGTGCGCCTTGCATATAAAACCCCTTTTTCCGTCATTTCCATTCAGTCCTCATCCTCAACGATCTCGCAACACCATGTCTTCGTACTTCATCCCCCCTGTAAACAACAATGTTAGCAACAACAAACGTGGACACTCGCAGTTCACTACGCACTCCACATCTTTTCCACCCCCCTCGTCTGGTGGCGGCTACGCGCAGCCGCCTCCATCGATGAACAGAGGTGGATTTATCCCTCCGCCCGTTGGTGCCATGCATGCATCTGGGCAAACTGTTCTCCAATGCTCGCGGTGCCGCGAAATGCTCCCACCCGGCCTTGACCTCGCCACCCATCTTCTTGGATGTGGCGCAGCAGAGCTTTTCACCAAGGCTTTCACACCCTTTGATTATCCAGCTCGACCCAAACACACAGGAGCTTCTCCCAATTTCCAATCTCCCCCACCGAATTATGATGGCAGATCAGGTTTCCACCGATGATTGTTGCGTAAGTGAAGTGTCATCTTGTCCACACAATTCGCTCATCCTGTGGTTAGCTCGGAAGCTATCCTAACACTGCTCTCTACTCTAATTTATTACGCGTTTTCCGCGCTAGACGCTAGACGCCGAATGACACGCATGCTGTCTTGGTTCTTCATCTTTATCAGACAAATTGTCTTCTGTTTTGATATTTGCACTGCCTAACTATCGTATACGTATTCCAGTTCAACTTATTGCTTCTGATCTGCCGCAGTTTTGATGTCGGCTGTACTCGTTTTGTCTCGCTGCCTGAAGCTTAACTTACTTGATCTGCGATTTGTCGTATCACTTATTTCTAGTGTAGCTTGTTTCCGACGTGCTTATTTATGTAATTCAATAATTTTGAACGTTATTCCGCAGTGCGCCCGCATTGCGAGGCCACGGTTCAAGTCCACCCAAGATATATAGGAGAATACGAGCAGTATATACAAGGTCAATACCGCCTAACTGCACTCGCGGAAGTATCATCAAAAAGAGTGGAAGTATCAATTGTAGAATCCAAATTAAGCACACAATAGCATTCAATCATTGGCGGCCGCATTCGTCACGGCCTTCTCCTTGTCCTTCTCCCGCGAGAATTCGTTGGAGCTGCGGGGACTCGCTTGCAGCACGCCATCAAGGTTCGTAAGGCCCAGGCCTGTGACAGCTGACAGAACGCCGCCTTCAGATGGACGATCACCATCATGACGCCCACGACCCTCTCCCTTGAAGCGCTCTCTACCTCTCGACGGGTGCGCTGGTCGCCTCCCTCGTTCCTCTCGCTCACGGTCGGCAGAGTGTCGCGCCTGTAACGTATCGTCCGTACCCAGTAATCGCATTTCACTATCAATGTCCCGCGTACGCCCGTAGTTGTGCAGCGTCTTGACGATCATCATGAAGTCGACAAGCCCGATGACGAACAGGAGCGAGACGGCAATACGCGGGCCCACTACAGCGGTTGAGGACAGTGGTGTGGGGTTCATGTCGGTTAATGTACCTGAGCGCCACACGAAGGAAAGAATGGCAACGATGAAGAAAAACATGGCCCTACGAGGCACAGGTGAGTGTGTGAGAATGCGATGAGAGCGGGGAGACGAACCAGGCAAGCCAGACAGCAGGCATTGCTAATAGTACCCATACGTTCCACCAAATGAATGTTGTCGTTTTACGAGCTTCCTGTGGGGTTGCTGTGAGCTTGCGTGTACGGGTATCAGCGCCACACGTCACGTACCTCAGCCCAGCGGGTAGCTTTGTACATACTTCTCATGGTACCAAAGCGGACGATGTAGATACAGCCGAAAGACACACTCATTAAGGCGGAGGTGAGCGAAAGTAGCGCTGCTGTGCGGATGACAGGATCCTGCGACATCTGGGTATTCTGAAACATCGACAATATGGCACTGTGGGAGGGACGTTCGACGTGTTCTGAACGTCAGATAACAGCGGAAACTTACGAAAGCAGTAGAGCGGAGACAAGGTTTAAGGTCTTCCATTCTCGGAGCAGGGAGTCGATAAATGCCTCCCAGGATTGCTTGAATCGGACGAGAGCTGGGGAGACGTTGGCAGTGGTCCATTCGTCTGCTAAAGGAAGAGCAGGCGGTGGGTGATAGTGAGCCCCCGGCGGGATGGGGCTGGAGGTGAGGGGTCGCCGAGGCGCACAGGCATCAACCAATCGCTGAATGTCCGGACGACTGAGTTCCGCGTCCTCATAAATACGAGCGATGCGTGAAAAATAAAGAGAGGGGAGGCAAAGCAGTAGATACAGGTATACTTGCCGGGGGAGGGTATCCATGAAAAAATCACCAAAGGAGCGGAGAAATCTTCGTGAGATCTTAAAAGGATTGCAAGTTATTGGAGGGGGTAGACAGTGCTTGAACACGTCCTCGCAGCTTGGATCAAAGCTTTCACCGACGCGGATAGGGCTACCGATAGAAAATCTGCGCAACGGATTTCGTCTCTGGAAGGGGTTTTCAGGGACGAATGGTTCTTCGCGCGCTTCCCTACGGTGAAAGCCAGACCATCCGAATATCCGCATGGGGGACGCGCCTCGAGATTGTGACGCGGAGGGAGAATCGTAGCTATCTTTCCTGGGCGTTTGAGCTCCTACGCGTATGACAGAAGGTGGACGAGAGGGCTCGCTTAGCTGCCGTAAACGAGATAACGTTGACTCGAAAAGTGGTGACCTTGAGCTTGAGGGCGGAGCGCCGCCATCGCGAAGCAAGGGGTGGTGTACGTTATTCCCAGTACGAGAATTATTACTGGGAGGAGATTGGACGCGAGAAGGAGCGCTCTCGAAGGAGACGCGTTGGAATGGACTGCCCTTGCCGATGGACCCCTCCGAGGCGGTTGCCTTGGGCATGTCACGGTCAGAGGTGGAAGTGCTGGTAAGATGGCCTATCAGACCCTCCAGGGAAGGAGCCGATTGCGAGCTTTGGACGCCCAGACGTTCCATCCTGCCTACGGCACGGGAACGTGTCAGAGGAGAGGAATCAGGCAGCGCAGATAGTTTGTCTGAGCTAGTAAGCTCTGAGTCGCTGCTGGATCTTGCGGCTAGAACAAATTAGATGACCTTGGAGCGATTATGAAAAGGTAAAGTCGTACCATGAGATCGGAGGGGGTCGGATTGGTTATCAGGTGATAGTGCGTACTGTCTAGTTGCTTGTTCAGATAACGAAGCAGGAGATTGTTTCGGGGAGTCAGATAGTGGGGGAGTGTTATTCATTAAGTTAGAAAAATTACAAGTCGTATAGGTCGTGAAGCTGTCGTGAATACGTGAAAGAGATACGGGAGAAAGGGCCCTTCTTCAGGCGGTCGCTTTAAATATTTAACATGGGTAGCATGCTGCCGTAACTAAACCCGCCTCGAAGGGTTGCTGTGACATGTGGGGGAAACGAATACGTGCACCTTTTTTGGGTTGCTTTGATCATCAAGAGTAAGTCCGGTCACTCACAGTGTGACAATGTCACGGGCCGCGAATTGCCGTTTACGTCATGAGGTTCAGCAGGTTGGAGGCATGCAAACAGCAACACCGACGACGAAAACTGAGCACTTCTTCCCTTGGAACTTCCACCACACCTTGCCAACCACTTCACCGAAACGACCTCATCTGGCTGTATTTTTCCCTTTTTTTTCTACTCAAATCTGTCGATTTCTGCGTGGATCTCTGAGACTACCAAGATCGTAAAGATTGTATGGTATTGCAATGGAGAAACTGGATCATTTGGAGAGGATTGGCCAGTTGAAGGGGAGGGGGAAATGGGGAGGACACCAGTTCGGAGCAACATGGTCACCACGCGCCATCAAACACAAACAAACGCAAACAACCAATAGCAGGCAATAGCCACCTACAAACAAAGGTGTTGTCAGTGCTTCTGCCACTGGCTGCGTCCAAGCCAATTTGCTGTTTCATCCAAATTTTAGTCAAACACGATCAGCGAATTTTCATAGGCGTCGATTCTCGTTTTGCGCAATCCTATTGCGCACTTTTTTTTCGCGATTCTCTGCTGTGACTTTTGTCTATGCAAGATCCCGATTCACCGCTTCCTCAGCAGCACCCTCATTCGGTACAACCACTCGACTTTCAATTTCCCAATACGGCCAACGACGAGCTAGCTCCAGTCGAACAGAAAATCCTCATAAAGTTCCGGGTCCCTCAGGTTCCAATGACTCAAGGTATTCCTCCACGTCGTTCGGGAAGAAATTCAAATCGCGCCTTCTCCCAATCGAGTTCTGAGTACCACGAAAGTGAGATGGATGAGGACGACCACCCACCAGTCTCGGCGGAGTCACCAGAGTCTCCTCCCCCTGCCACCTTCGTCAAATCCCAGAGAGGCCGCAGGGTCAAGTTAACAACCTATCGGGAGTCGAGCGATGACGAGCTCAGCAAGATATTTCAAGATAATGATAATATCGAACACGTCGATTCTCATGTCGATGCGATGGATGGTGATGATGAAGATGATGATCAACCACGTCGTCAAAAGCGCTCTTCCAGCAAACGCAGCTCCATTAATGATGACATTGCAAGTAATCGCCGTGTCCTTCGCAATAGGAACAAGAACCCCCCTCCACCTCCTACAACTTCAAGTGGACGCGTCACTCGTCAACCCAAGCGCTATGAGCCCAACAATAACCCTCCAAAGAGATTAACGCGTGCTCAGAGTAAAGCCGCTGCAGAAATGGATGATGGCTACGTCGACGAACCATCAGAAGGCTCTGTCGACGCGGATGGCTCCCTTGATGATGCGCCACGTACATCCTCAGATAACGACCTCGATGCCGAAGGCGAGGTGGATCTGGATGGCGAGGGTGAACATGATCTTCAGGAGGTGGAGCCGGATGGTCGGCCGTACTCTCTACGGCAACGTGCCAGAATCAACTATGCAATCCCACCAGCGCTCGAGGATATGAAACAAGCCAAACCACGTCCCCCTGCTGGTCGAAGTGGTGCCAATCGGAGGCGTGGTCCAGGATGGAGTGCCTCTGGTGCTGAACTGAGCAGGTGGATGGGCATGGCCCCAGCTGATGACTCTGTGCGTCGCCATACCGTCTTTGCTACATACAACAGTCAAGTGACATGTTTATGCTAGGACTCTGACTTCCCAACTCGAACACCCCGTAAACCTTTCGGAGGTGCCGGAGTTTTTGGTGCCGGCGGCCCTGTTTCAGCGGGTGGTGCTGGTTTACTGCCAGGCGACCTTGCTGCTGCTGCTGCTGGCACCCCTTCAAACTTGGGTAAAATTGGTGATGCAGGTGACTGTCATTGTTGCTTGCAATTCGTCTCGAACTTATCCCATTCGCAGCATTGGCTGACGCCGACCCATTGGGAGTAAACACAAATGTCACCTTCGATGAAGTGGGCGGCTTGGATGATCGTACGGGCCCTTTCATTTTGGTTGCCATACTTTCTTGACCTCCTGTCAACAGACATCCATTCTTTGAAGGAGATGACGCTCCTTCCATTATTGTACCCAGAAGTTTTTCAGCGGTTCAATCTAACGCCTCCTCGTGGAGTGCTATTCCACGGTCCTCCTGGTACGGGAAAGACGCTTCTTGCCCGTGCTCTTGCCGCGAGCTGTCGATCCAATGGCAAGGGAGTCTGTAAGTTGCACTCCTTTCCGTCAGGACACCACCTCTCATCACCTGCTAGCCTTTTTCATGCGCAAGGGTGCCGACTGTCTGTCCAAATGGGTCGGTGAGGCTGAGCGTCAACTTCGTCTTCTGTTCGAAGAAGCACGCAACTGCCAACCAAGTATCATTTTCTTTGATGAAATAGATGGATTGGCACCCGTTCGGTCATCGAAGCAGGACCAGATCCATGCTTCGATCGTTTCAACGCTTCTTGCCCTGATGGACGGTATGGACGGACGTGGCCAGGTGATCGTCATTGGTGCTACCAACCGTCCAGATGCCATTGACCCTGCACTGAGGAGACCTGGTCGATTTGACCGGGAATTCTACTTTCCTCTTCCCTCTCTCGAGGCTCGTGAACGAATATTGACGATCATGACCAAGGACTGGGAGGGCTGGAAGGATGGTGAAGGTGCTGAGAATATCAAGGGACTTGCCAAGTTCACGAAGGGCTACGGTGGTGCTGATCTTCGGGTTCGTGAAGTTTCGTCTGTACGCACTGATGATTATGCTCACCTATACTGCAGGCCTTATGCACAGAGGCAGCTTTGAATGCTATCCAACGGCGATATCCTCAGATATACCAGTCTAGTGACCGACTTCTCCTTAAGCCTGAGACCATCGGCATAACATTCAGAGACTTCATGATCTCTATCAAAAGTACGCTTTTATCATGCAATTCAGATTGCTGTTATAATTAACGGTGCATTGTTAGAGCTCGTCCCATCATCTGCACGCTCTTCGTCCTCGGCCGCTTCACCTCTCCCAAACCAGCTTGTTCCTTTGCTTTCCGACACCTTAGGCAAAGTGAAAGATGCTATCAACAGGGTTCTTCCTGTTGGCAAGAAGCGCACTGCTTTGGAAGAAGCCATGTGGGAGGATGATAGTGAGGAAAATGCTCTCGAAAGGGAACTATTCATGCAGTGTGAGTGCTGATTGCCGGTTGGTCGATAGAGTCGCTGATCGTCCCACAGCCATGGAGACCTTGCGGGTTTATCGACCACGACTGGTGCTTCATGGGCCAGTTGGTATGGGACAGGGCTATTTAGGAGCCGCCGCCCTCCATCATTTGGAGGGTTATCATGTTCAAACACTTGATCTGGGGACGCTCATAAGTGATTCAACACGGGTAAGCTTGTTACATCCTCCTGATAAACGCAGTCCTCTCAACGGTATTATCAGACTGCGGAAGCTGCTGTGGTTCAACTATTCGTCGAGGCTAAAAGACACCAGCCCTCGGTGATCTACATTCCTTCTCTCGATGGGTGGTCAGCAGCGATTTCCGAGATTGCACGATCCACAGTCCGATCTATGCTTGATTCGCTTGCGCCTACTGACCCCGTCCTCGTACTTGCCATTGTCGACGGTCCATTTTCTTCACTACCCCGTGACGTCCGTTCATGGTTCGGTATGACCCGCGAGAATCGCCTCCTGTTGCCGAGTCCGACCGATGCCCAACGAGAAGCGTTCTTCTCCAGTATCATCGCTGACATACGCCGACCGCCAAATCAGTTCGCAGATGGCATGAAGCGGCGAAAACGAGTTCTTGAGGAGCTGCCAATTGCGCCTCCGCTTGAGCCTCGTCAACCGACGGCTGCAGAGATTGCTGCTCAGGAAGATAATGACCAACGTGTCATCACGCTACTGAAGTACCGTCTTGGCCCTATTTTGACGGAGCTCAAACGCAAGTTCAAGCGATTTACGAAGAAAGCCAGGGTAAGTTAGGTCATTGCGACTACATGCGCACAGCCGTTGATAATTTTGTTTAGGAGGAGTACAACTTCGATCCAATTCCTGCGGTCAATGAAGTGGAAATTATTGCTACCACTACCGTGACCGTACAAGCTGAGAACGAGGTCATCGACGTTTGCGAGCAAGTCACCCAGGAGCAGCAGCAGCCAAACGGCATCGTCAATGGCATCCACCCCGATCCTCAACCAGTCGAACACCCAGAGCCACCTCAACCACAAGAACCACAGCTGTTCGACATGGACCTCGAAAGGATGCACGTTGACTTGTACAAGGGCAAGTACCTCACTCCGCAAGATTTCCTAGACGACATCAACAAGATCGTTTTTAATACCATGGCACGTGCGCATGAGGATACTGGTGCTGACCGGCTGTACAAGGCACAGGCTATGCTTACTGCAGCTGAGGTCAGCATTCAAGACTTTGATCCTCAGTTCAAGCTTGAGTGTCAACGGATGGCTGAGCGGCAGCGGAAGAGAAGGGAGGAGCACAAGAAGGCAAAGGGGAAGGGAAAGGCCGGAGAGGACGCTCAGAACGGCGCAGCAGCGCCTCGCCGAAGTGCCCGCCATAACGGCCAGCAACTGGAGATCACCATCACAGATCCATTGCAACTGGAGAGGCGACTGAAACGGGCACGTTCTGATGAGCGGCACAGTGGTTCTCCTGAATCAGGTGACGATAAGGGAGAACCCAGCACTCCTCGAAACTCGAAACGTCAACGGACGGCATCCGATGATGACCATGACCCGATGGACATAATCGGTGCATCCCGCGCTCAGAATAGAGGCTCGGCTGTGCGCTTCGCCAATGACGTGCAGCCGCCTCCTGACAGTGATGCGTTGCCCATTTATGGTGCACCTACTGTCGACGGCCCGTCAACTTCAAACGCGATGGCTGTCGACTCTCCTGTCCCGCGGAAATCGGCTGGCTTTGATCCTATGCTCTTGAACCCGATATCTCCTGACAACGGGTTCCCAGCAACCTCGATATCGCACATGTCAAATGGTGCTGGACCATCGACGGTGCCCGGGCAAGACGGATATACTACTCCTATTCCTTTGTTGTCCCCAGCGATCGGAGTCATGCCTTTAAATCCCTCAATCCCGCCTCCCCGCACACCCTCCCCACTAGCCATCCAACCATTAACCCCTGTTGCTGAAGTTATCGAAGAACCCATGGTGGTTGTGCCCCCAGCCGAAATAGAAAGAACACCCACTCCTTTGCCAGACTTCCATGTCGATGAACACCTGCTTTCGACACTTCAGTACGACCTATGTTCCAAAACCGCGCAGCTCTCTGTCGAGCTGCTCGAACAGCTTCGTGCAACAGTGCTTGGATGCATCTGGAGACACCGTACTGACTGGGATCGTGACGAGCTCATAAGAGAAGTGAAGGACGCTCTAAAAGAATTTTTGGATGACTTTGCTGCTGGGGGTGATGATCCTGACTCGCCTTGAAAGAAGTGTATTGGGAATAATATGACGTGGTAGATTATTGTTTTTATTTCGCAGTCTTGTGTATCTTATATACATCGTTAGTACTTGTAGCTTTTGCCAGCAATATCCTCTTGGATGACATCTTGATGGCATTTTTACACGACGTTTACGGCGTCTAGCTTCTTTTGCCGTCTGCCTATGCTGACCGTGAATCTGATGCCAAGGCAGTGTATTCGTGAAGTTATCGGTGTTCTTGATCTGTCCCCCCTCGGGACGAACGTCATCCTACCATGTAAGCTAGTCTCCCGTAGTCATATGCATACCTTGATAGAAGGAAGACCAGTCGTTCATGTACAAACGAGGGGACTGTCCGAACTACCTAAGTCTGGCCCTCATCGCCGCTGCACTACCGGTCGGGCAGCACCGGCGGATTTCCTACTATGATGTCAAATCAACAACCGTTGAAGAAAGGCCGTCATCATTCCTTCTATCAATTTGTTAATTTGGCATATGATGGCGCTCAGCGGGTACTTATGTAGTTCCAGTGATGAACTCCACTAGTACTGATATGAGATATCCTGTAGTACAATTACCTGTTCATAGGGTCATCTCCGGTGAGGCTGCTGTAACTTTCTGGAACACGATGAGGGTCGTCCCAGCCGCAGCGCTTCTTCTTCACACATGATGCATGATGTTGGAATCTGGAAGCTACTCATATTGCAAGTCTCCCGAATCTTGTACGCACTGTGCTGACGTCCAGCTCCTTCGAAGCACGTACTATGGCAATTTCCTCAGCGAGGTGCTGTCATTGTTGACCCATTCTTCAAGTAACGACTTTCGTAACTCGAAAACCATTGTTCGCGATCACTGATAGTTGACGCTATCGTCGGGACCATCGCATGTTAAGCCTATGTACGTAGACGCATTTATGTCGCCCCAGTTCATGAACAAAACCGCAATGCGCCGTCTCATTACGCCAGGTTATTTCAGGTTATTTCAAATCACTGCACGCCTAGGCCTCGTTTCCCGCATGATATACACCAGTTACATCATAGAAGCTGTTCTCATTCGGTTCCCATGCGTCTTCGTTGTATGGGTCTTATCAGGGGCTGTACACTCTATACCCTATATGAAACAAAACAAGGTTAGCATCTCGATGGACGGCATCACTCTCAGATCAAAGTACTACAAATCCCGCGTTTCAAACCGCCTTATAGCTCTCGCTCGGGAGGTATTGATTCTAGCACGACATTTAACATGGCGCAACTCGATCTGAACAATACCTTCGGTGCCCTTTATATCGGCGCTACTCTTGGTTCAATGTCAGTCTGATGTTCAATATGTCGATGGTTCCTTGCTAACTGATCTTGATAGTTTTTTTGGTTTGAGTAATGTCCAAGCATTTCTTTACTTCCAGGCACACAGGCATTCGGGAGTCACATTCTACAAACTGGCGGTAAGTTCCTGTGTGCTAGAATGAAAGACGGACCCTCATTATACTAACGCAACGGTTTAAGGTATTCTGGCTCTGGTAAGCGCTTTTAGGGCTTGTTACTGGTGCTACAGTTGACTCGGTAATCGCACTTGCTAGGCTCCTCGATGCCTCGCATGTCGCTATGGTTAATCACCTGATATATTATTATCTGATCATCAACTACGCAAATCCGTCGGTACTTCTTGAGATGGTGTGGAGCTTTAAGGTGCGCAATGATCTGGACTCACTGTTCCTTTCTGATCTCACCACCCGCAGGCGCTAGTACTCCTCGACGTAAGTTAGAACAAGCGAGCTACCACGTGATATGCCTCATTTCATGGCTTCTCAGGTGCTTATTGTGTTTAGCGTGCACCTGTGAGTATTACCTCGGCCAGTATATTTTATTTGCTGATATACTTTCGTACAGTCTGTATGTGCAGCGGATATGGATAAGTATGCATCCGCCGAGGCCACAATCACACTGATGAACTGACCTGATCGTCTTAGTTAGCAGAGGAAGAACCCGAATTTTGCCAATGCTCGTGGTAAGTGCTTGTGCCATAGCTCCTCTTCTGTCAGTCTGAGAAAATCACAAGACGGTACTCGTCGTCAGTACCCTAGGCAAGTATATAGATAATGTTGTGAAGATTTCTATTGACGATAACGCATCTCTGTCCCGCAGGTGTTGGCATCGGTGAATAACATGCAAATTTTTGTAGATTTGTTGCTGACCCCTATTCCTTTCCAGCTCTGCTCTGGGTCATGTAAGTCAAACTCTCGCTGCAGCTATTGCTTTTCTCACCAAGCACATTAATCTAGATTCAAGTGCCATTATTTTTCGGACCTGGAGAGCATTCGGTGGTCCCTCTACCTAAGTTTAGGCATCACCACACTGGTTGACTTCCTCATTGCTTCTTTATTGTGTCACCTCCTTATCACTTCGAAGACGGGGTTCACTAAGTATGGCTTTTCCTGATGTTTTCTCTCTGACTGACATGCAGTCTCGTAGAACGGATATGACACTTCGGACGCTCGTGAGATACACTATAAATACAGGGTGCTTAACGAGGTACGCGTCTCGCATCGTTTCTTTCACCAGCCTGCCTCTGATTCCCAATTCTCTAAAGTGTGTGCTCGATAGCGTGTATCATTACGGTGAGTATCCTCCATAGTACTTACGATATCATGTGACTCATTACCTCCTGCAGGACGCACTAATGCCAAACAACTTCGTCTACCTCGGAATCGAGTTTCTACTGTCCAAATGTACGCTTTGTCAGCTTCGTATCGCATGCAGAAAGCTTATTCGATGCGCTCAGTATACGTGAACTCCTATATGGCTCTACTGAACGCGCGTCAATATATGGGGTCGGATGAAAGCCCACACGCTTCGCACAACCGACCTCCTCGTACCTATCTCCCAGAGCTACAGGTCAATCTTAATGTTTCGCAGGACAGATCTATCCGAACCTCCGAAACGGACAAGTTCCAGTTATCTGAAAGGGCTCTGGAGCACCCCTCCTACTACCCTCCTACCGTGGTCCGCGACAGTGTGTATATCGATTAATGGAGGATTCAGATGGGATGTGTCCATCCCATCAAAGTAGTCGTAGGAATGGAGTCGTTCTCAATGTTGTTTTTATTTAGCGGCCTAGTGCATCTTATGATATCATTGTAGCTTTTACCAGCAGTATCACCTCATGAATGAAATCGTAATGGTATTTTTGCATGATGTTTGATACCTCTGTAGCTTCCTATGCATAAACTTACCGTTGTGTAATTATTGTTAGGTCTCGGGTCTGTCCCTTCTTGGGACGAACGTCGTCCTCCGATGTAATATTCATTACTTGCCACCGCTGGCCTTCTGAGCGCGACGCCACCAGCCGGGCAGCACCGCTGGATTTCGAGCAACAAATTTCGAACAACAGAAAAAAGACTGTCATCATTCCTTCTATCAAAATTTTATTAAGGTTTGTTGGCATCATTAGATGCCCGCTCGGTGCTCTACTGATGGACCATATCCTTTGCATAGCACAATCGGTCATAAACCATTAGTATGTCAATTCTCCGATAGTCTTAACTTGCACTGTACCTTAGGCTTCATCCTGTGCACTGTACCGCGAGTCTCCCGAATCTTATACGCGCAGATGAGCGGCGCTGACAGCTCCTTCGAGATATGTACCCGTGAGACTTCGCTGCATGGGTCTGGTCGATATCAAGCGCTGGATGTTATATGATACTATCATGACTCGGATGAACCAATCAACAATGATAGCTTCTTGATGGGCGCATCATTGTCAGAATGTATAAATCCCGAAGTGTTTCATGACCGCTTTATATCGGTGCTACTGTTGGTGCACATCAGTAAATTCACACATTGCTTATTTCAACTTATTTGGCACTTATCCCTACTTTTGTCACTTATCAATAATGGGATCTACTTATTTTTCTTCAACTAGCCACCTGGGCCCACCACCCTCAACTAGAGTACACCAAAATATTTGTTAGACTATAGAAGCTCATTTGACAATATCAAAACAACCACATTGGTTGTTTTAGTCAAGTGGAAATGCCAAAACAGTAGCAAGAAGATTTTGACTTAAATGCTTTCCCTAGGCAGCTACACTTGAGAAGACTATATTCTATCATTATCAAACATGTATTTGATAGGTTATCAGCAATTTGAAACACTCAAGTGGAGGGTGGTGGGCTGGGGTGGCTAGTTCAAGAAAAATAAGTAGATCCCATTATTGGTAAGTGACAAAAGTAGTGACAAGTGCCAAATAAGTTGAAATAAGCAAGGTGTGAATTTACTGATGCAGTGTCAGTCCAAGATTCAATATGGCAGTTGTTCTTTACTAACAATGATCTTCATAGTTTTTTTTGGTCTAAGCAGTGTTCAAGTGTTTCTTTACTTCCAGGCACACAAGGACTTGGGAGTCACATTCTACAAACTTGTGGTAAGCCCTTGTGTACTAGAATGGAAGGTAGGCCTCCAGACTGTGATATGCATGTTGAAGAATGTCATTGATCATTTTGAACATCTGATGGTATATTGGGCCATATTCCTTGGCGGAGAACTTGGGATAAGATTTGCCATGACTGTTTTTGGCAAGGCCGTCAAGGATGCAGTTGTACTATAAAAACGTCAATGCATGATGTCAGGCAGAGGGGAAGAAAGTACTGCGGCAGAAACCAAAGCCAAGCATGAGATGGGCAATTGCTTGTGAAAGATATCTGGTCTCTTCCATGCAATTTGGTATGGCCCTGTGTAAAAGAATCCAATAGCAGCATCATGAAGGCAGGGATGAGCGAAGTTCCTTGTTTTACCCTAATGATTTTAATGTATGTTATTGCAGTCGGCGTACAATCACTCACCAACACATCTGATCCAAACTGTAAGGACTCAGATTCCACAAGTAATTGCGAAGCGGCACTTTGGACCCACACTGCACATTCTTGAGCAGGGACTGACACAGGGGGAATAAGTAAGTATGCAAGAGGTGCCAAACCTATGGCAGTTTTCTTTAGTTCCAATCGCCAAGTTGAAAGATTGTCATATAACTTCAATGGTATCAGCGAGACATTGTGAATTAAGAGAGCGAAACATGTACCAATCGAGCCATGTTACACTTTTGCTCTGGCCAAACCCCTGGATTGCACATCAGTAAACTACTAAACCTTGCACAGTGTTTGCTAATTTTCACAGCTCTCACACATCTACAACTTTAGCCGCTCATTGAGTGCTCACTTTGGGATAGTCCAGGGATTGATTATGGACTTGTTACAGACTCGAGTTTTTTTGGAAAGGATAGACTAGCCGAGATATGTAACGATCTGAAGGACCAATTCACCGTCCGGCAAGATGAAGATACCAGATTATTGAGTTATCAGGTTATCAATCAAGACTCAGATCAAGGATAAGATTGAGAATTGTAGATAGAAACATGACTGCGCAAATTGGTATGGTAGGACTAGATAAAATCTGCATGCAATGTGTGGTACCACTCTTTATCAGAGAATGCATTGAGATAAAAATTATTGTAGTGTTCAAGAGACGTTACTGATGTAACAGAGCGATCCATTGTTGTCCCATAGATGGGTATCAGTTCTACTGCGTGTGTAACATCGACAAGCCGTACTATCTTCCTGATCCTTGTGTGACTCAGAGAACCATCAGGCATGGGATAAAATGAACATCGAACTTGGTACATGGCAATGTGCGGCTCAGCTTCAGGGGGCGCAGCTATTTCAAATAGCTGAACATACAGAAGAGGGTCCTTGAGGTCCACTGGTAGCTGCGACCCTTGTGGTGACAATGCAAAAACCATTCAAACTTGAGCGACGCACAGCACTAAAGCCAGATCAGTACGTGGAATTGAGCAGAAACTTGAGAACTTACCAGACTGCAGGTGAGCATTTGTAGGTTGGAGCAGAACAATACCACAGTTTCCAAAAGGATACATATCAGATGGTGGATATGCCTGAACTTGCTGGCTCGGCATGATGTTGCATGGACAAAGTTGGGAATGGAGTTGAAGCCTGAATTTGAACCAAGATTTGAGGAGGTAACTGTGATAGAGTGAGTTCCGACCCGATACACTGTCAAGATACTGTGAAAGGACCTTTGGAAAATCTGGGAGATGATAACGTTGAGCGAGAGCGGTGGCTGAATGATCAGCAAGATCATGAGCGATGGTAACATGAAATGCGGTGTTGGCCTCGCTGGAAAGGATGCCTTTGAGAAAGTGATTACGAACAGGGTGAATCACCTGAAAATGATGCATCTCTTGCGGTGCAACATGCGCTATCCAACTAAATGTTGGATCCATATCAATTACTTCGTCGAACTCGTTATCCATAATGTTGATGAGAGATATTCCTCATTCATGCAGGAGAGCATATAGGTCGAATTGTCTCATCACGTCCTCGTGGTTAATGATGTTGATGATCTGCTGTGTGAACGTGCCTCATTGGTGACTTGTCCGTTGGAACGGCATCTTGCAATGCGTAATCAGCAGTCGTTCACTGACATCCACGGAATGTTGTATGATGGTGCCCAATTGTTGGATTGAACGAGCGAACAAATTGAAAGACTCAAGTTTGGGGATCTGAAAATGATTGATAGGGCCAGAAGTTCCCGTGTGAGCTTCCGCCTCTAAGACAAAGTGTTTGTAGGAATGGAATTCATTCAGGGAGGACACCATGCTGTTAAGAGAGGAGGGGGTGAAAGTGGGAGCTTGTGCTTTGTATATGAAATCAATTAGCGCACAGATCACACAAGTGAACCCAGGAGATGTCACACCCACAATAGTGGGGACAAGCATTCGCTGGATGTCATGATGCTCGTGTCCAGTCATCTGGTTCACATGGGAGACACCATCGCTGAAATGGCATGTCCCAATACGTTTATGCTGGCTGCAGAACCTAGCATTGAGCTCGCTAGCGCCTATCACCTCCTTGCACCACTTCAGTGCATGGTCGAAAAGAAACTTATGGCATGCATGCAGTAGTTCTGGGACGAGGAAAATTGAAGGGTCTGCAAACCTCCAGTCCTGCCAATATGGGTGTTGAACGCCACTGAGACAATACTGCTTGGCCAATTCCTGAAACTCCCGGACCTTCCAGGGATTGGTAGTCTTGCAAAGCTCATGCAGCTGTTTTATTGTATCCAAGCCATGACAAGGAGGGTATGTGATCCCATCGCCGAACTGTGCCTGTGTGGCTAGAGTCGTTGGCAAAACATTTTTCGAGATGCATGCAATCATGAGTTGCTCGGGAAGATCTGCAATATGGGCAGCGAGTGGTGTGAATACGTAACACCGGCAACCCATGGGGTCTACCATGGGTTTGCCCACCTGAGCGGCAACCTTCAGATTTTGCAAGACCAGATCCATACACTTATGCCAGACATGTGCCTCCAATAATCCTGAAAATTCGCTATTCACCACATATTCTGGGACTGGAATGTATGTGATGCACGCCCATGTGTGCAAAGTGGCCTTCATGCAAATTTCGGAGTGGATGTTGTTGATTGTAAGGAATGTTGGGTGCATCTTGAGTGTGCCTGTCTGTTGGGTTACTGGTGTCTTGTTGGATGCAAGAATGATGGGCACTATAGTTGCACTAATAGGTAATTGATCTTAGAAGTCAGTTGGATTAATGAATTGTTTATGCAGGAAGTATGAAAGGCACTTACCTGAATTTCGGACACATGTTCACATGACATCCACTCTCCATATTTGCGCTCGCCACTGTCGTTGATTTCATAAGGATCGTATTCCATATGGTTGGCAAAGATTGGATTGCCAAAAATATTGTGCACAACTTCTAGGGCATCTCGCCAAATGAGATTGATGGGGTGGGTAGTTGTATATCCATTAGTATGGATGGGCATACACCGCCATCTAGGGGTCACCAGTAATGTGTCCATGAAAGTGAAGAGTTGTTTTGTGTTCTTGAAAGATAGCGGCTGCGTCGCCTCTGAAACCACCTGGAAGAGTATCATTAGTACAGGCAATGTAAATTAGTTCAAATGAACCCAGAGAAGCTTCAGAAATTGGGTGATCTGTCCCTGATTCAAGTTGTCACATAGAAATTTTGTGAGTTCCCACTCTGCTCTATCTGAAAATGGGTAATATGCGTTGTGCTCCCGCATTGCCTCAAAATCATCTTTCTTCATTCATTCAAAAGTATTAGCCTTGCCAAGATCATGGATGTACCCAGATTTGGGATGGAATTGCCCTTGCCGCAGCTGGTTCTCTGATGTTTGGGGGATGTGGAATGCAACTGGAGGGGGGATCAGCCGCCGAGAACATCCTAGATAGAGACCCTAGTAGTCAGTGCATTCAAATTCAACAGTAAAATATTCGGACCTGGATTGTCAGAAAGATGAGCACATATATCATCTGCAGAATCAAAAACATTAGAACAGACGGGACATTTGACTGATTTGTTGAGACTGTGTACTTATCAACCCGACTGAACCCAGAATCTAGACTGATCAGAACTTACTCGAGGCCACTAGATCAATCATAAGGGTGACTGTTGGGACCAGGAGGATCGTTTGGGTTCATAGTAGTACTACGACTCTATGAGTGTGCGTGGTGTGCAGGCCTTCAAACAACTTTCAAAAGTTTACAAGTCTTTCAAACTCAGATGCCAGTCAGCCTATCCATCACTCACTCATATGCTGTCCCACCATATCTATCATCATAGCTACGCCACCAGTGACTCCATGAGGGGATCTTCCAGTACTGTATTGAACCGTTCCCTTAGCCCCACAAGCTCTCAAACTTACGTGGAAGTTTCGTCCTCCTTCCACAAAGATAAACCGAGCGTCAAATCAGAACACGTCATGGATCTCTTTAGCCCTCCAAAAGTACACTCCATTCCATCATCCCCTTCTTGAGAGGCGAGGACTAGATCCCCTCTAATATCCCCAATCAAACCAAGGTTTCACCCATATTTGAAAACCAGGGCAACCACAGCTGCCACAGCTCAATTCACGATGAATTCCTTGTGAGGCGAGACTGCCCATGAACTGAACCCAGGAGCTGCGTTGATGGTGACATTTTCCGCAAATTTGATTAAACATCGATTAAATCAAATCTACAGGCCAAGGAGGTTTTCACGTGTGGTCTTGCAGACCTGCCAGATGACATGCTACATGAAGGTGCAATGGCACAATATGCCAGTTGCGAGGTAGCTAGACATGAACTTGTGACAGCTACTTGGAAAGTTGAAGAAAATGCATGCTGGACAAAATTCCTTACCAGTGCCTTGGCGCACTTGAAGATGCAACATGACTACTCCAAGACAGATCTTGAGATCTCGAAACAGGCCTGTACTAATTGCGGGGTGAATGACCTTTACAAAGACAAAGCCTTCCACGAGTATTCAGCTACTCAAGGGACTCTGACGTTGGTGGTCCTCCAAGAACAAGCTTGTCAATTGAAAGAGTATGTCGAGGTGCGAGGGGCAGATGCAGAGGATCATTCAGATGGCAGCCGTTCAGGTGGCAGTGACTATGCACCAAGCAAATATGACAGCCCTACTTTTGGTTATGACGGTGTAGGGAGTATCCCTATGCTAGGCTCATATCCACTGCTTTTCCGATGCATCAGGTGTCCATCCGACGTCCATCCAACATCTATCCATTCCATCCGATACCCATCCACTTTGCAGATGACAAGCGGATGCCTTCGGATCTCCCCCTAAAGCTCGCGCATCCACTGCATCCGTCCTGTCCATGTCCATTCTACCTCATTGGTATGTACTCACACACATTTCCTTGTTACTGACTGAACACAGACATATCCTCTCACACTCCACTATTTTCCGGATAGCTTATGGCACAGTCTAGACTCGCTACCTATACCAAGTGTTCCTTGAAAATACTGTACCCTATAAGCACAGAAGTTTTCAAAAAATACTTCATGTAACTTCCTCCCACTTTTCCTTCACCTTACCAGAAGATCACTTTGACTTATACCCACTATCCATCCAACCTTTAATGAACTTCCTTCAACTTTGATTCACATCCTGTCTGATCCACAAGTATCATCCGCTCCATCTGATGAATCTGTACGTTTCACATCCTATCTGCTTCTTCCGCTTTTGCAGATCCTTCATCCTATAGGGTCACTTTAGACAGAGACTAGTATTCCCAAGTAGCAATCCCCTTAAGGGTCGAACGTGCTTGTTCTCAAGCGAGGCAGCAGGCAGCAAAGACCCAACTGTGTAGTAGATCAGATTCTCGCTGTTGCACTTGTTGTACCCACAACAGTATTACCTTGGAAGTTTGAATGTAGTATGCATTATCCATTGCATATCTTTTTCCTCATTTTTCCGAAACTGTTGAATTACATATGAATCCTTGCAGTGTGTCATGTTTTGTATGCATGTGTATTACCTGTATGTGTCATATACCTGATCCGACTGCTCCAATATTAATATCTGCTCCGCTTTCCGACCACCTCCGCTCCATCTATCCTCTGCTCCATCCAATCATCGTCCACATTCCACCCCTACGCCTCCACTCGACCACCCAACCGGTCCCCTTCCATAACGTCTCCATTCAACTGGAACCTCTTTCCCCTTTTAGATATATACTTTCCCCTTCGGTACATAGACCCTTACCTCTGGATCACCGGTAATTCTCCTTACCGCTTGATCACTGATCCGACGTGTACATATCAATATCTGCTCCAACTTATGTCTTCGCCTGTGTAAGTACTTACAAATTATATCCTTGGTACATAGCTTTACAACATAGTTATCCTGGTCACTGCCTCCTACTTAGAAGTATATAACATATCCTGTACTTAGATATTTTCCCCAGTCTTAATATTACTTGTCTTCTTGCAGTTTCTACTTGTCAGAATTCTCAGGAGGACCTTGCCTCCTCCGGACACAAGTTTCACCTTGTTGTCACCTCCGACCCTCTGCTCCAACTTAGAGCCGTGCTCTAAGTCTTCTCCTTACTTCTCCGTCCCTATCAAGTATTCCCCCTGCTCCTTTCCCCCTTCCGCATTATCCTCCACCTTCTCTGCTCTGCTCCTAGTTGGCCCACCACTAGTAGCACTTACCTCCCGACCCTCAAAGCAGACCTAAGCGGTCCACTCATCCTATTGTTGGACAATGTCAGATTCGCTCCAAATTCGGGGCACGTACTCAGCTAAGGGTGCAGCACAAGAGCTGAAGCCAAGCCCCAACCCCTCCGCTTCCTGAGTTGGCATGGTACCTAACAGTATGTCTCATTGAACTGGTTCATAGTAGTGAATTTGTCTTGAATCAATTGTCAGTTCCGTCCATGTGCTGATCATTATTATACATTTGTGCCCGTGTGTCATTGGTGAGTAAATTTGAGTCAATGCACATGTTACTGATTCTCGAACTTTATCGCAAATTAGTGGACTTCTCACTGATCTGCAACCATCATCATGCCCCCAAAATCCTCCCAAAGCAAGAAACTGCGACACAAGAAAACACAAAACACTCGGGTACGAGTTTCTTACTTTAAAAGAGTACTGATCTAATATATCACGGGCCACAGCAAATCCAAAAACCAGCAAGGAGAAGTAATGAGAACCCCTGTTTGAATGCAGACAACAGCCAAGTGGGACGCACAATTGAGCAAACAGAGGATCCAGGGTTGGAGTATGACAAAACAGTATTGGTCATGCATGAAGAAGAAATGTTGGATTTCGAGTTGAACGACTTCAGTGACATGGGATCAGGACACCAGCAGCCCCAAATTCAGCCCCCATACAACGACAACCACGACAACCAATACCCTTCAGGGTACCATGCCCCATTCCCACAGCAGCCTCAGTACACACAAGACCCTCAACCTCCATACGTGCCTCAAATGCAACATGTTACCTTGCAGCCGCCACATACACTCCCGAACTATGACCCACATCAGCAACATGTTCCCTTGCAGCCGCCACACACACTCCCAAACTATGATCCACATCAGCAACACGCTCCCTTGCAGCTGCCGCACACACTCCCGAACTATAACCAACATCAGCAACATGGGCCTCAGATGAACCAGGCCTCATCCCTGCAGCACACCATGACTGTGGCAGACCTCTTCCTCACTTGCTCCATCAGTGAACCACCTCCTCCCACTGTGCGCGGTGCAGAGCGCCTCAGCAGACACCTGCAGGACCCACAGGCACGACCCATCCGTCCATCACCATATGCCCTCCCAGGGCTACGCAAGGTGACAGTATTGGGCCCCTGTTGTCAGCACGAGCATTACCGTGGCAAGTGGCAAAACACAGGTGTCGTTCATGTGCATTCAAACACATCTCAACCCCACCACTCACCTTAATTCTAGCTAGGCCAGAAGCAGCACAGATGTTGCTCAGAAACGCCCCATGGCAAAAGACCTACCACCCCATCCCCATCCCCTCCCCACTCAGTCTCATAACAATGGCAGTTCTGATCCTCATCCTGGTCCCCCTCAGCAGGAAGCACCAGACAATCCTCAGGCTAATCCCCCCATTCCCATACCTGCTGAGCAAGTTGAAGAGGTCTGCACCAGTGCAAGGTCAAAGATGCGATGAGCGGTGCTGTCAGAAAATGGGATGCTGTCTAATGATGCTAATATCATCATGGCACATGCTGCATTAGCGGATGCCATTGCGAGCACGCTGGACACTCACACAGGCGAATACTACCTCCCAGACATAGAGACATTCATCGTGTCACTCACCAAAATCACCAGCACCGTCTGAACGACCATAAAATCTGTTGCACGTGCTACTGTGCAGCACAAGTACGAGCTCAAATTCCATATATGGGATACATCGTCAGAAGTCACGCACAAGTTATGGATCATGCCTGTGCTCACAACACACTTGCAGTGCTTGTTCACCTCCGAGAATATGGTGAGTAATTTTGTACTGCTAATGGGCTGTCCTGACAATTAACCAGATGCTCGATGGTGTTTTACAATCTGTCCCTGTGCTCGAACATGATGGACTCGTTAGTCTCGTCATCAAGATCTTGTGGACCCATGGGTTTTACAAAGACATTGATTTTGATGATCTGAATGCACTTGATGGAGTCATTGCACTTGCTGCGCAGCACTCTGCTTGGCACTTTTGGAGTACAAGACTGGTGTATACCAATGTATCAATTTTTCAGCAGCGAAGTCAGGGGATACTTATTGGAGCATTCTCACTTACATGTCAGACAAGATTTACTCCTGTGCTGAGCTCGCAGCACGTTTCAAGGTGTTGAAAGCAAGGATGAAGGAATGCAGAGAGGCAAGGCTGGGGTTGTAGTAGTACTATAGTAGATGCCCAATCATGATAACAATGAGATCGCGCACGATAAAGCAATAATTAGTCTGATTGTTCTGTGATCTTTATTTTGTCCGAAAATCTATCATCAATATGATCTCCACCAATTGGCAAGCCACATCACTGAACCATAAGCATTAGTAACAGATCAAACTTCTTCCACTACTAAGCGAGAACTTGGGTGTTTTACAGATGCAGCACCACAGAACCTCACAGAACTCAGCAATGCTGATGTAAGTCATTGTTCAACTTGTCGAAAATTTCAGAAGTCTTTGTTCTACACTTTGACTCTTAACTTCTACCTGCACCACTGCCATCCTTCAAGTAAGTCTTTTATTTTCTTTATTTTCTTATTACTGCTTGCTTATATTTACCTTAACCACCCTCTCCCACTCTCTTGGCACAGTTGGCAGACTCAGCACTAACTACTTTGACCTTAGTTTATCCGTTCCCCAGCACTGATGGGCCTCGCGCCCTCTCCTCTCGTGCTGTCTCTCGTGCTTGTATTCCCTGTCTCTCACCCTGTCTCTCGCCCCATCTCTCACCTCATCTCTCATGTTCCCATGCCCTATTTCTTGCCTGTCTCTCATGCCCCATCTCTTGCCCCGTCTCTCTCGCCCTGTGCGACATGCCATCTCTCTCACCCTGTGTGATCTCTTGCCCTGTCTCTTGCCCGTCTCTCATGCCCTGTCTCACCTGTCTCTTGTGCCCCATCTCTCGCCTGTCTTCTTGCCCCATCTCTCACCTGTCTCTCATGCCCCGTTATGCCCCGTCTCTTGCCCATCTTTCTCACCAGTCAAAGGTGTGTTTTTTATGTATGTATGCATGTACATTACTTACTAGTATTTTCATGCTTGTTTTGTGTTTGCACTTGTTTGTTCGCAGCGCGCGCAATAGGTGCATTTTTTCTTTTTCATTTATATATACATTACTAACAACTTGTCTTTATGACAGCGCTATCACGACAATGATGGTGACTCAATGACACAACACAACAACAACATGACAATGACGAATGACTACGACTATGATGACGACCCATTCTCTTGCACTCTTGCACTTTGATTATCTCACATCCTTACTCACTGTTTGTATTGATGAGTCCAGTAGAGTAGTTGCTTCTTTTGCAATCCATTTGTTTAAATTTAATTTTACATGTTTGAGTTGAGTTAATATAAAAATGAAAAAGCGATTTCTAATATGTTTGGGAAGGTTCTGTGTAACTAGAGGGCTACTGTGGAGCTCTGGGAAGCTCTGTACAGACCATTGTGGTTTACTGATGCAATATGAAACAAATTAACTCAAGATGGCTTTCTGAGCTAGCTGAGGCATGAGGCTAGTACAGAATATAGTGTTTGCACGAGTGAGCAAGGTGGCGCAGAGCCTCTTGCTCCTGCCCACCTCACAGCAAATCCTCAAATTCCTTGCATGCAGTTCTAATCTCTAAGCTCTCACTCTTTTGCACCCACCTGCCACGCCCTCTCTCAGGACATGGGCAAATGCCCAACAAACAAGCAAACAAATGTCTTGCACAATCAATTGTGCTCCATTTGCCTGATGCATAGTGCCCGCTCCCTAAGTATCACAAACACTATAGGTCTCCTGTTCGGGCCCACCCACCGTCACACAGCTCACCTTAATACTCAGGCTCAGATCCTTGTTTCTGCCCGGAAAAGCCCTTTGGGCTCTTGCCTAAACTCATGAACCCTTTCCAGCTCATTGGAGCTTGAAACACCTTCTCGCTAGCTTGAACTCACTTGTAGTTTTGTGATCATAGCACATAGTAATGTTACCCTTGCTTCTTAGTTAGCATCACATAGCTATAACGTGCATAGAAGAAACAAATACTTACCAGCTTCAAATTTTTTTCCTTCCTTGTCCCAAGCAACCAAAGTTGCAATGAGAACTTCAGTTACAGACCCTGGAAGATCCTCAAAAGTTGGAAACAGGTTCTTAAGCATGTGTTCCATGCAACATTCTCCTTTGGTGTGCTCAAGGAAGCTTTTCCAGTGCAGCCTGTATCAAGCTAGTGTAGTGGGTTTGGGCCCATCATCTGACTGTTTTGTCTTCCTGTTTCTCCACAGAGCCTGCTGGTTATCAGCATGCTCGGCTAACTGATGAAGAAGCTTGAGGGTTTCAGGGTCAGGAAGGCATGGCTGGCCATTTTTCTTGTGGTGGTGTGCCAACACGTCACTGGGCTTCAAGGTATGCAAATAATATGAGCCTCATTCAGAATAAAAACCATCTGCTCACCTCAGAACATTGTACCTATTGTTGCTGTTGTGCCCCTGCCAGGAAATTCAGAGAGCCCTTGAACACAAAAAGAATAAGCGCAATGCTGGTAAATCCACATCAGCATACCTGGGAGTCATTGTTCTGCTGGATGGACAATGAGGATTGAGAGTTTGCTGCAGAGTTTTTATTGAGATTTGTGTGAGCAGTTGTGTCATCTTCATCATGAGAGTACTGAAAATTGAATTCAGGCGTGAGATAACGAGTGACTTGAGGTTGTGAAGGTAGCAATTCTTTTGAAGCCTGTAAAATTGAAATCAATGAATAGGGAATGACATTGGGTGGAGTTTAGCATAATGAAAGAAATTACCTTGATGATCATCATGACATTGGTACTGGTTCTCATTGGTGTGCTCATCCGACTCGTCCTCTTCCCTCTCCCCATCCTCTTTCCTATCCCTGTCCTCATCCTTGTCCCCATCCTCATCATCATCCTCATCACCATTGCTGTTGTCGATGCTGCTGCTTTTAGCCCTGCTGTCCAACAGCTTGGATTCTTGCAGCCCAGATTGATGCCTAATATTGTTGCCCTCCTCAAACAGGGCCGGATCTAGGTGTTGTTCCATCAAGGTAGTGTGTGGCGGTACAATATTACACGGGGTTTGACCACTGGCTACTTCCATAGCATGCTTCTTGACAGCCTTCAATCCAACAGTGACATGTGGATTGTTAGTGTCTTGAAGACTACGTTCAGTACTGGGAGGGATAATGAAACCAAACCTTCCACCAGGTTGCTGCATTGAAAAACCAGGACCTGTGTTATCAATGCTTGAGGCAGGACAATTGGTAATAGCAAGTGAACTATAAGGCAGAGGAACAGCCTGAATGCAGACATCAACATCAGTAAAAATGAGTATTTACGGTTGTTCCACTTGGTTCCACGTTGTTCCACTTAGTTCCGTGTAGTGGGTGAGTCAGATATGAAGGTATTGGAACATGCAGAAAGGTACTGGTAAAATCCAGGGAATATGAGGAATACGGGCCTACAGTGGGGAAATTCCCCACATCGGTTTTGCCACATGAATTCCAGTGTAGGTCAAGATAAGGAATCATCAAGACTTTGACCTGCTTATATACAATAGTAAGTCAGGGTCCAGGGTCTAGGGTAAGTAAGTAATATGTCCATATAAGTATAGATAAGTGTCCATGGGAATACACACAGTGTATGCATGTTTAAGGGTCTGTGAGAATACACTAGGTATCAGCATGTAAGTAATATCTGAGGACTTGCCAAGGATAGATCGAGATTGATCTCAGATAAATGAATAGGGGTGTGCACTTGTGATAAGGTGAAGTCAGAGAGTAACCCTAGATAGGGTGATATCAGGAAATGGTGACACTGTGACATAGTGTCAATTGTGAAGAGGTGAAGATGTGAAAGGGTGAAGAGGAAAATGAAAGGTGTCACAGACAACTGTAACAGTTGTCAGACAGCTGAAGACTGATGCATCGAGTGGTGAGTCTAAGTTCAGCTGGTTGCGAAATGAACAGATGAATTTGACAGTGTAAGGACAGCATTTCTTATGTTTTAAGGTATGAGGTGTGAGGTTTTCTGAAGCCTTAAGCAGGGCATTTATCTGCATGTAATTGAGGGCCCAATCTAGGCCATGGAGGATGTGCCATGCTCGAATGCCAATCACATAGTTCAGGATCGTTTTGCCCAAGTAGGAACTGGCTACCAAGATGACGAAGGCAGCAATGAGAACTGAAGAAGCGGGGGCATGATCCAGTTCTGGAATTGCACGAGAGTTGCAATATACATGGTACACACAGAGGTTAGAGCTGTAAGACTCGTGGGTGCTCTTGGCCCATGTATGGCACATTACATCTTAGATGCAGGACATATCGTCTGTCATGAGGGAACTTAGTCTGGATCTTGATGAAAGTGGGATCCAGAGACAAAGGTGGTACTTTGCTGCGCAGTGTGGTCATAGAGTGGAGGGCAGCAGATTAAGATCAGGCAGATAAGCTGGTGCAGGTTAGTGAGTAACTTCTGTATGTTCTTTCAGTGTGAGCAGGGACATACTATACTTGTGACATTTGGAAGAGTTCTTCTCCTTGTCACTCAAGTGTTTGGTTCTTGAGGATGCACTTGGTGTCCTGGTGCACAGGATGTGCTTTGGGGGGTGTGAGAACCATGATAGGATGATGGGGACCTGTGCACTCATTTGTCTGTAGAGAGGTGTCAAAGTTGACAATGAAGTTCCTGATAGCAATGTGGGTACAATAAGTCCTGTGAGGGGTAGGACAATTGTTGGGTCTTGCTGCCTGCTGCTATACCTGCAAGGAGGTGTACTCGACCCTGGAGGGTTTCTTGACTAGAACTAGGTAGTGCTCAGAGAGAATATAATATCATGATAAAAGCTAGTCACTCCAGACTGATGCTGGTAACTGGTGAAAAATTGATTGATTATCTAAGCAGTAAAAATGCGAAGTCAAGGTAAGGAAAGTGGTGTGTAGGAAACTAAGTAAAAACCCTAAATACTAGCCCAGCCAGATACTAAACCTCACAGTGGGAAGGATAGGAATGGGGGGGCAAAAGAAAGGCATGTGGAGGGTATCTTCTGCATAATGGGCCATCTGCAGGGTTGAGAGTGCTAGGGATATAGCACATGAGGATGAGACATGAAGTGGATTGAGTGGCATTGTGAATAGTGTTTTAAAGTCCAGTCCAGTCCAGTTTTTTGACCATTTTTGGAGGCAACCAGACCAGGACTGGTTTTTTTGATCCTGGAATATTCCAAAAACCGGACTGGACTGATGGCAACCATATTTTCATGCCATTGCAAAGCAAAACCGGTCCAGGACCAAAGACCTCATCAATACGAATATTTTGAGCCTCTCATCTTGTCAAATGGGTAAGATTTGAGCAAGTTATGAGCATCACAAGACAGGCTCATATGACTTTTACAAGCAATTATTGAAATGCTCATAACTTTCCCAAATCTTGACCGTTTTTCATGATCTGACCAGTGATAAATGTGCCTCAATTAGCACTATCATACACTATGATATAGGCTAGAGTTAGGGTTACAAAGACCGGTTGCAACTGGTTTTTATTGGTTTTTCATTTTTTGCTGATGGGAGGCAACTGCAACCGGACCTGTCCTGAAACTGAAGGCAACTGCAACTGCAGTCCAGTTGCAACCACTTCCAGTCTGGTCTGGCAACTGGACTTTAAAACACTAATTGTGAACGTGTTTGAAGATGGAGTTGGTGGGGTGGTTACAACTGCATCCTTTCCACCATCTCTCCACAACTCCTTTGTTATCTCCATAAACCTTGAAGCAAGGGACTAGGTTGGGTTGTGAGGCTTGTATGATGCTGAGGACGAGAAATTTGAATCTGACTGCTTTGGCCCAACCAATGTCATGGCCGTTGGCTTTCCACTCTGGTATGAGGTGCCAGGCACACCACCATCCATTGATCCAAGTTGTGATGCCCACGCCTGAGCTAGTATCAGAGAAGATGTTGGGGTTGGTGATGATGCAAGGGCCTGGCATGGGCCTACTAACAGTGGGTTGGTGAAGAGTCATGGACCACCATCTGAGGTTGGCAGCACAATTTCTAGGTGGGGTATGAGGCATGAGAGGATGGGCACCAAAAATGGAGAGCATAGCTTCCAATTTGGTGATGTAGGCTCTACCTGTGAGAATAATGAATGAAGCATGTAGTAACTTGCCATGGAGTTTCTGTACCTCAAGTGGAATGTGATGGGGTTGGGACTCCCACACTGATATGGCTTCCAGGTACTTTTTCTTTTTGCTGTCTGGGATCTTAATGGTAATGGTTGTCAAGATCCCATATGAAGCCTGTGAATAGTGGGTTGGAGCGAAATGAAATGTCCTTGGAAATTTCCCATGGGTGCCTGTCTTGGTAGATATAGAGTTCATGTTATCCATATAGAATGAGAATTTAGGGTCTTCAGTGGACTCTTTGGGAGAGATTAAGGATGGGGAAAGCATAGTCCTCATTGTACTCTTCTGGCTGGTCATTGGGTAGAGTGGCACCTTGATACCATTTTTGACTACCATGGTCTCAGATGCTTTGGGCCTAGACCCTGTACTGTTCATTGTATTTATCTAGGTACTCTCGCAAGATGTGGGAAAAGTGGTCATCAACCCATTTCAACAGAGGGCTGATCCCTTTGCTATGGAAGATATTGGTACCCACATCTGCAAGTCCTCCACAAGATCCAGTTGCTGATGAGCATCCAAAGCAAAAACTTGTGTCAATAGCAAAGTAGTCCTTGCTTGTGTGGATGATGAGTCCTGCATACTGGGACAGGTGGAGGGGAATGGTTCTATATGTCTCTGTGTTAGGTACCGTGCTTGGACAGAGAAGCAGAGGGGTTGGGGCTTGACTTCAGCTCTTGCACTGTGCCCTTAGCCAAGTACATGCCCCAAATTTGGAGTGGGACCAACATTGTCCGACAATAGAACAAGGGGTCTGCTTTGGTCCGCTTTGAGGGTCAGGGAAGTAAAGGCTTCTAGCAGCAGTCCAACTAGTAAGTGGGTGGAGAGGCGGAGGAAATAGGTTGGAGGCAGAAGGGATCAAAGGGGATTGGAGGTAAAGTATTTTTTGGACAGAGGGGAACAGAGGTGAAGACTTAGAGTGCAGCTCTAAGTCAGAGCAGAGGAGTGGAATCAACAACAAGGTGAAACTTGTGTCTGGAGTTTGAGCAAGTCTTACAGAGAATTACCACAGTAGAAACTGGGAGAAGACAAGTAATATTAAGACTGAGGAAACCTACAAGCTAAGTACAGGATATTATATATACTCTAGGTAAGGAGGCAGTGATCACTAATACATAGCATAAGGCTGTGTGCTGAGTGTACAGTATGTAAGTAAGTTTACCGAGAAAAAATACAAGTTGGAGCAGATATCAATATGTACAAGACAGATCAGTAATTGGATGACTGTAGAAATAACTGATGATCCGAGAAGTAAGAGCTATGTACTGAAGGGAGGAAGTATATACCTAAATGGGGAAAGGGGTCCAGTTGAATGGAACCAATACAGGAAGTAAGCTGACTGAGGCGGCAGAGTGGGAGTGCTGGGGTGGGGAATGAGCAAAGCAGAAGTAAAGGGAAAGCAGATGATAGGATCGGGCTGGGCAGATATCAATGATGTTAGAGCAGTCAGATCTGGTATATGACACATGGTCCTTTTACAGAAACATAAACATAGAAAATCACATTTTGGACATTTTTAATGTTTTTAAGCATCTTACCCTTGCATACATGGTCCACCTTGCCTATATATCAACATTGGTACATATATACATGCATTGTGTGCCAAGGATCAGCTCAAAATAGGCCGGAGGTTTGAGCTAGTGTATATACTTTTTATTTTTACTGATAAGGGGCCCATATGTCATATACCGGATCCAAGCACCTCCAATACCACCTGTGAACATCCTACTGCTGGTCCGAACCCCTGGTCACTGAAGGACATCAATGAATGCTTTATCAGGATGTGACCCCAGAGAGTCACCATAAAGGATCTGTGAGCTTGAAAAGCCAATGACTGTTGCCACCCAGTAATTTCCATTTATGTTGGTGACAAAACCAACAATTGACTTTCTTCCAGACCCAGAGGCGAGTGCGTGGCCTAATCCATAAGCTCAAGCAAAACAGTTTCATCCAAGTGTGTATGCCTCAGACTCTCTCTCCTTGTATGCTGACTTTAAGTAGGCATGAAAGTACAGACTCTCAATTTCAACATTGGTATCAGGTAGATGTCGTTTGATGCCAGTTTGGAGGAGATCCAACATCTGATTCTCATGCACATCAAATAGCCAATCATGTGTTATATATGTGGTGAGATGGTGCATGGCTGCATAATTTTCGAAGCCTAGGACATTTCCTGACCAGGGCAAGCTTCCAAGCAAGTTATAAACTTGTTTGATCAGGTCATGAGTGTCCTGCCTATAGGCTGCTTTCCATGAGCAGCTCCAGCTCTCCAGAATGTGCTCTGCTTCAATCCAGTGCTGATGGCAGTTTCTTCAAAGGTGAAGGACCTCTGCCCAATAGGTAATCACCCACAATGGCAGGCAAGTTGTACTGTTTATTGAGGTATGTGGGCATTGAACTGAGACCTTTTGTTGCTCAAGGGTAGCTCAAAGGCCTTGATCAAGGAGTTTCTCAAGAAGTGAGAAAGGTGGCAGAGGTATAGATTTGATTTTGTTGAGATCTTCAACATTTGGCTGATCATGGCTGAAGTAGGCTTTCACAGAGATATTGCAGTTGATTTTTGAAATCACTGGAAGTGGGAATTTCAAGAAGGTAATGATTGATAGGGATGGATCTGGAAGGAGCTCAGTGATAGCAGTTGAGGGAAGCTGTAGTTGGTGAGGGATTTTGGTGGGGGGCATGTTGTATATGAGTGCTATGAAATATTCAACTTGAAGTTGATCAGACTCAGACAGTGGCAAAATTGTTGCTCATTCACAACTCGGATATTGCTTGGGCATCTCTACTTTACTTACTACATGGGTGACAATAGAAGATGTGCTTAGAGCTGTGGAATTCATGATCTGGCAGTCAAAATTAACATGGTTGAAATTAACTTTTGCCAAAATTTTCTGCACTGTCATGTGTCACACCCTCAAATGCCAAGGTGATGAAATGGTGTAGTGTGTCACATGTCACAGGGGGTGCCGAATCAGGGTGTGGTATCAGAAGGCTAAGAATAACTCAGTAACAAGTGATATATCATTGGGTCCATTGCTCTTGTGCTTTAACTCAAAGGTAGGGATGTAAGATGGATTGACTTTGATCACAGTAATATGATACACCATACCCCCAGGATATTGTGTTTCCTTGACCTTGATGGTGTGGATGATGACGAGTAGTTTTGGATGTCCTAGTCGTGGTCTTGCATTGATTGCCTTTACAGTTCGTTTATGGGTACAAAACACTTTCGCATTTTTGCCCCTTTGATAGGTAAGTGTTCCAGGGCATTCAGAACATGTTTAGGAGCATACATGAAGAGATTACCATCTTTATTTGACCCCCTGAAGCGCCCTACATCAATAGGTACAGTATATGCATGGAAAAATACAAAATAGGTTCGCATTTTTTTGTTTCTAGCTATATAAACTTGAAAATATTGTCCCCAGCATCTATTTAACAGTAGGAACAATGTATAAGGAGCTCAGAACCATAGGACAAGATCTTGTTGTGTAGTGCATCCCCCCTCTCCTGGTGGTTTACCCCCTGTGAAATTTTTTCCTGTAGGACCGGACCTCAATTGAGGTAGGGGGTATATTTATATGTATATCTGGAGTAGATATATCATATAGCTAGCCCAGGACACACACAGGATCCTTCTACAATAACAAAAACATAGAAAATCGCACTTTTGACATTTTTGATGTTTTTCACCCCCTCACTCTTGCACAAATGATCCAACCTGTTCATATATCATCAATGGTACATGCATACATGTGTCATATGCTAAGGTTCAACTAGATGTAGAGCAGAAATTTGACATCTGATGTACAGGAGGTATTTCTACTGCTTAGAAGCCTACATGGTAATCAAGCCTATGATAAGTTATTAGAGACCTATGATACCTCTCATATATGTCCCTGGTGATAGCCCTGAAACTTTAGAAAGATCCATCAAGGATTGACTGAATTACAGGCAAAATGACATATGTGTGAAAAGTGATAATTGACATCTTTTCACACAAAGTCACATTTATATATGATACAGGTTGAGGATTTCATTAAAAATATGTAGGATAGATAGTAAACTACCTAGGAAACCTATAATACCTAGTGCCCTGAGGATAGAGGGTGGGTGGAAGGGATGTAGTGTAATTATGAGTTGACCCATTGAACAATAAAGTCCTACCACTTGTAAGCATGCGCTTACACTGATTGGACACCACACCTCATTTGTCTGTGTTTGGCTGCTGATGTTGATTCATTATATATGACTCATTGCTGATGCACCTGTATCTTATCTCTTACCATACTGCCAAATCCCATAAGCTCATCCATGTTATCTCTGTCCGATTGCATGTTAGTGTTTGCCGTCTACTGTGATGGTGTTCCACTTTTTTTTAACGTTCAGCTGAGTGTTACTGAATATGTCTTTTCTCACTTACTGTCACCTTCACCGTTCTCCTGAACCAGCTGTTGGGTATTGACCGCTGGTCAACCTATCATTGTCTAGATGACAAACTGCCTCTCTGCCACCCTCAGAAATCTGTACCTCTGTCTGTCACGACATGTAGTCGTGACAAACTCTTGGCAGCACTTGCCGATATCCCACCAGCGACCATGCTGCCAACACGTGTACCGACACCACCCATCTCTCTCGACTCATCCTCTCAGCCGTCAGCCTTGACTTCTCTGAATACCACATGTTCGCACTTGCGAATTGACACACATATATCCACAGACTCAGATGATTCCCACCTTGACAGTACGCCTATCATTTCAACCACCTCAAAGGCTGCGCATGTCAAACAGTCATCTGCGAGCAAGCTGCCATTTCTCACTGCAGGCAAGTTGACCCCCAAGGTACTGCACTCCTGGGAAATGGGCTGCACCCAATTCTTCCTTCATAAGGAGGTCAAGGAGGACAAAATGGTAAAGAAGGTCACTTGGGGCATGCAAGAAGCTGTTGTCCAGGATTGGTACAGTAATGATTGCGAGCACATTGACAAGCTCACCTTCGCGGAATACATGACTGAAGTCCACAGTTACTGGCTCCCTTCTGGATGGTCCGATACTGTTTGATGCAAGATGTTGGCGTCTACTCAGGGACAACGCCCCTTCCATGAGTAGGCTGTTGATATCCAAAGCCAAAACACCCTCCTACGTGGGACAATGTCTCATCTTGCGGATGTCAACATTCTGTACCACCTCAAATCTCACATGAACTCCAAACTAGCTGCTGATTACCATGCTGAGAATGTTACTAAAATAGACTTGCGCAAATGGATCAAGAAGGTATGCTTGCTTGACGAGAAACGGTTGTGTTATCTTGTCTGGCAAAAAGAAGCAGTAGAGGCAGCCTTATATGGAAGCCCAGACACTTGCGCTCAATTACTAAGCTAAAATTACTATATATGGTAGTCAGACCTCTAACACCACACTTGCATATTTGTCTGTGTTGAGTGGTGCATACCTAGATGAACGAAAGTGGTGAATGTCAATGGCATAGTAGCAATGTTCAAAAAGTTCAACAACAAGTTCAATATACAAAGTTCACATATAATACAACTTCAACGAGTTCAAATGCAATCAAGAAGAAAAACTCCCAAGTTTAAGCCTCAAATGTCTTGAGCGCAAACCCTGGCCATCTGCAGAAGTCATTGCAGATGTGACACTTCTCAAATTCACTAACCGCCTTGCTAATGTTCCCCTCCCCGAATATATCGTCACTGTCACTTACTGATGGGTCCGTCATAATTTGTGGGTCTGTTAAGAGCCCAGTATTGCCTATATTGCGGTAAGAAAATTGAGTAGGAACAAGGGTAGAATACAAAATACCTTGATAGTCAGAGATGAAAGCAAGGCCACTGGTTTTCATATACTGTACATGCTGCGTGAAGGCCAGAAATAATGCAAAGTCATAGCCATAGTCTTCTGGGTCAAGCAGCGGGTTTGGGTCCATATTATGAATAAACTTGGTGAAATCATGACCCTTATCTCTGTCTCCGCAATCAATAACTTCCTCAAGGAGGAAAACTGCACGTGTTGTACCAGTCTTCAATGAAGGCTTGCCACCACCTGGAAAGAAAGATAGTGCAAGGCCGGCCTTGATGAAGCGTACATGTGGGATATTGAATGGTGGAGACTCGGATGTGCTGGCCATAGCACAATCAATGAAGTCATAGACAAGACCTAATAGGGCCTTCGCCTAGTATAAAATGTTTGCCTCTCTGAATAGCTTTGGCATCTTGTCTATAAGTGTGAAGTGTCCGATTCTGAAATCCATACTAGTAGCAGGCACGCCTGGTGGATGCACCCTGTAGAACGGATGTTTCACAACTACATTGTGAAGTGTCTCAGACCCAAGACCTGCGCTGCAAGGGAGCATCAGCATGAGCCGTCCTTTATGGGCTGTTTTGAATCCACCTATCCCAATGATGCCATCAGTAGATGTATCAATGGTCAGGTGGCCGACAGATGAATCAACAGTGTCAACAGAAAATGAGTGGTACTCGGGATATTCCAAGAGGTCACTGAGGGATCATGTAGGGATTGAGTAGAAATGGATATTTTCGTTCTGTAACTTGCCGACTGACACACAAATGAGTGACTTGAACACGTCAAGAAACTGAAACATACCCTGCATGACATTTAAGTCAGCGCCTCCCCCGATTTTCAAGACCTGCTTGAGTTGGCCGCGATTTGGAGAGCAGAGTTGAAGTGCAGGAGGAATACTCGATTTCCGGGGGGGGGGGGGGGTGACATAGTACCAGAAGTAGAAATTATGGCCCGCTCATGTGTTTGCTTAGTGGATATAGCAGTAGTAGCAGACACCACAGATGCCCTTCGTACTGGTGAGCTTGGAGTGGTAGACATCTGTGGTACTGATGAAACAACATTGGCATTAAGCTGAGGGGTGGTTGTAAAGCTGCTCGCAGTGGTAGGCACCTGTAGTACTGGTGAAACAACATTGGTGCTAAGCTGAGAAAGCCAGTTGACCCACTGGATTATATAAGGGTAAGTCAACATCAGGTCTAGCATACAACTATTAAACTCACCACTTTGGATTCTTCTTGCCAAAGTTCAAATTCCCACCACTGACTCTCTGGGACAACCACTGAAAGTGCAAACTGCTTCATCTTGAAGATCAGAGCTTTACCAGCTCCTCATGCTGGCTGCATGCACTGCAAGAGGAAGTATGGTTCGAATGGTGGATGAGTTGAGAGGTCCACCCATGCGGAGTCTCGCACAGTGAACTCCTCGTCACACCATGCAAATGTGTCACCGAATGCACGTAGTTTAGGTAATACTGTGTCTAAAGCCAGTCTCATGAGATCTGGGGCATCGATGTGGGCATCTATATCCTTTTTACCCTCACAAATATTCTAAATGAACATCAGAGTCAGCGGCACTGTTGAGAGTCAACAGAACTCACTGCAATAACACTTCTTTCCTTATGGCCACCTGTTTCATGAATAGTGGAAATCTCAAGGGAGATGGTGTCAGCAATAGCAATGGGAGTTGAATATGCGGCCTTTGCCCATCGCTGATGCTCGGTGGCATACATGCCATGGTGTGACGAATAACCAACAGGTCCTGCAAGCTTTGATGGAGCAGCCAATGCTGCTGAGCCCTGCCAAGAGGTAGGAATGGCAACACTAGGGCCTGAGGTGCAATGTGGACGGTGAGACATAGGCGGTGGGCCCATAGAGGCATTGGTCCAGTCAGACACTGTGACCACGGGAGGTGGATTGACGCTGGCTATTGTGGTAATGATCAGCCTGAAATGGTCCTATGAAGTCAGATTGTTTGAACTTACATTTTCTTTGTGCAGCATTCACAGATTGCCAAATTATATGAGGATTGGGAATAGTGTGATAGGAAGATGCTGAAATAAAGAGTTCATAAGATATCACTACATTTGATGTGCGCCAACCCAACTCACCAGTAGGTCTCCTTGATGTTGCTCTTTTATTTTCATATCTTGCATAGCAAGCGGCACAGACATGCCAACCTACTTGTCCAGGATTGATGGTAGCAATGTACAAGCAAGGCTCACCTGCCCTGATTTGAATACCGCAAGATGGACGCTCACAGATTCGGTCCTCTGTAGCATACACATCCTCAGTAAACTGGGAGACAAGTTTGGTGTTCATGTGTTCGGCCATGGGATTGAGTGGACAATGGAGTTATGCTGAGATGGAGATGACAGAGTAGCTGTATGGTTTAAATACAATGAGGGATGGCCTGCAAAGGAGGATGATCGTGCACAGTACAAATGACGAACTTTCAGAACTCAGGGTCCTCCCAACAGACAACCTCTGAGATGCAGCCTATAGATATCAGCTACAAGTAAATAGACTTCTCACTGAATACAACTTAACAAGAGGAGTTTGTTGGAATATGATGCGTCGGATGCCGTGGGGTGAGATGTGGCCTACAGATATCAGCTACAAGTAAATAGACTTCCCACTGAATAAATCTTACCAAGAGTAGTTTGTCAGAACATGGTGTACCGGAGACATTCATTACTTCCTGTTGTGCATAGACATTCAATGCTTCATGTTGTGTGTGGACACCCATGAAATGAAGATTGTGCATCAAGTGCTTCTCAGGGGTCGGAATCCTTGGGGGTGAATCAGAGTAGGCCCATGGGATTGCGGATGGAAGTTGAGCTTCAAAGGGGTAACTTGAAGCACTTGAAGGATCCGACAGAGGCACCACCCAGGATGGCTGCATCCATGCCATTCGGTAGGAGTGCGGTACAAACGGTAGGAGTGCGGAGGATTGTGGAAAGATTCCAGATGCAAATGGCTAGCTCAGGGCCTAACATTACAACAATCAGTGGTAAGTTGACCTAATCAGTGGCAAGTTGACCTTGTATTGGTGCTTGAGCTGAGCTGTATCCATACAATAAATACACTGGCAGTCACCCTTAGCTCTAGTTCAACAGACCAATCTGATGCCCAACCAAAACAAACCCCCATGTACCTCCTTTCCTGTTGTTGTATTGCACTCAATGCTAACTCATCTCTGATCCAGCACCTTTAGACATAATTACACCGCACATCCTCCATCTCTGGAAGGCACGTCAGACGGACAAACAGATTGTTGAGGACTTACAGAAATGTTTTGATACCTCGCACTATGGTCTAGGGTGTGTCCTTTACCTTCCTCCAATGCTAATTATGTTCTTACAAGGGTTGTATTAGGCTCACCAAATTTCTCGAGATTCACAATGCAATGGGCCTTTGAAGAACACGACAGCAAGGCCATACGGTCAACACTGTCCATGATGCAATGGCCAACCTGCATGAAATGTTTCCGAATGCAGGAGCACATGAAATGGTAAACTTGTTATTTCATGAGTGGGGCATGAGTGTAGCCAGGTAATGTTTGTTTGTTTTTAAAATTTAACTTATTCATTGACTCTTATTGTGTAGGAGCATTGTTATATCTTATTTTGCTATACACGAGCCAGAACTCATCCTGTAGCATAAGGCCAATCACCTCCTTCGGAGGCAATTCTGGGCTGCAGGTGTGAACGACCTATTTGCAGTCAATCAACACAACAAATGGCTCAAGTACAGTCTTGGCCTCCATACTGGCATTGAGCCATTTTCAGGTCAGATCATGTGGATTAGGGTCTGGCACTCAAACTGAAACCCACAGCTTATACTTAGTTATTACCTTGACACACTCGAAACACTTGGATGTAAGGCTTTTTTGTCTTCTAAAATTATTTATTTACTGACACTGTCTAATCTACCCACCCAGATATGCCTATGGTAACTCAGAGCGACCCTGGATCCGAAAATTTCGGAATTGCCAATGCCCATACCATGCTCCGCCAATGGCATGATCCTGCCCTACAGGGTACCCTGCAGCACTGCTGGATGCAGAGTGAGAAGAATGAAATGCCTGAGATTATGTGGTCGCAACTACGATGCCGTTTCACGCTGGGATTTGAAGCACTTTTGGATCATGGTGTCCTGTCAGGCTGGTATGATACCAACAATACTCTCCAGCTGTGCGTCTGTTTTTTTTCTTTGTTCATCTCACACTGATACTGGCTCGGGATCTTAATATTAGGATGCTGTTCTGATGGGTGTTTATACCCTGGTTACAGCAAGAATTAGATGCATACCAGGACCAACTCAATAACACCGCTAAAAGATGAGACCAAAACAAAGTTCTCCCTCATGGCATGCCAAACCTCATATACCAGTTGGCAGAGGATTTCAGTGCATTGGACTTCAAAGTAAGTACTATCTTGCACACTATTTTATTGTCCAGTATGATAGGACTTGTTTTAACAGATCAAGGTGGAACACGAAGCGCTGGACCATGTGCGCAACATTTACATCAAACCATCTCACGTCGTCTTCAATCTGGTACCACAGCCTTTTGGTGACTGCGTCCAGCACTGCTACGATGAACTAGGATCTCCGTTAGTTACAAGGCACACTGTCTGGGACATTTATTTGCACTTGCTTGGCATGCTGCGAGTTCATGATGAGATACCGCATCATATTGACCAACTTGACGATATAGAGGAAGATCTTGGTACACTACTGCTTCTGGAGGACCACAACAAGTTGCCATATCGTGAGAAAAGTAACAGCGCCTACTACATGGGTGGAGTAGGTGGAGGTCTTGGACTTGGTGTGTTATCTTCTTCATGACGTGAATTATTCGTTCCAAACATTTACCTAGGCATTGAGCATTTGAATCAGTTAGAGGGTCTCACTCATGATGATGAGCCTGAAATAACTCTAAGCGTCAATGAAAACATTGGACTGGACCATGCAGGTTTAGTCATGTGGGAGTTCTCAGATGGCAGTGGCCCGGATGATGTGTCAGATACGCCAGATGCTGACTGGTGACCTACATCAATAGATTTCTTGTATTTCTTGTATTTCCTTATCAATCATTTTTGCATCAGAGGTGCTCACACTACTACATAGTAATTTTTATTTACTCATCAGCGGATTCACATCAGCAGTGTCTATGGTCCTGACTGTATTTTAGCTTAGTAATTGAGCGCGAGTGTCCAGGCTTCCATAGCCTTGCGCGCAGAACGTGCACGCTCAAGTGGAGAGAAGAAAACCACTATGGGCACACGCTTCAATGCGAAGGTGGGGCAGTCTACTAGTGCTTCCACCTCCTCCACAAAGACCTTTACACACCTCCCATCTCTCACCGATAACGAATGTCAACTCCTTCAGGACAATGACGGTTGCTTCAAGCGTCACAAACCCTTTGCAGGTCACACTTCCACCAATTGTCAAAAGGGCTTCCCAGATGCTGCTTTGTATAAGACTCTTACAGCTGCCCTCATTGCTTTGAGGAAGCCAAAGAATACTGGAGAAGTAGTTGCTGCAGTAGATGTTGAAGAACGACACACGGTTGCAGTTGTGATGCTGTCAGCAGTACTAGGTGATGGTACTGACTCTGGCGAAGAGTGCGTGGCTCCACTACAGACCCCTCATTTACGTTGGGACTGTCTCATTAATGGGCCTGCTGTTTCTTCTCCTGCTGTCGTATCCGCTCTCATTGACCATGGTTCTTCTCTAGTTCTGATTGATGAAGCCCTCATCAACAAACTCAGGCTACACCATCGTCAACTCTCAAAACCATTGCCTGTATCACTCGCATTGTCTCAAGATAAACAATCCTTTCTTCTCTCACAATATGTCAAACTGTGTTGTTCCTCTCTTGACCAAGCATACACGTCTTGAACTGTACGTGCAATAATTGCACCGAATCTTTGTACTCCCCTGTTACTTGGAGGCCCGTTCCTTCAACATAATCACATTGTCATTGACCACGAGCTGCGTACCTGCATTGCAAAAGACACTAACTATGACCTTCTATGACCTCCTGCAGCTGTTGTGGCTCCTCCGCATGTCTCACCATCTGGCCCACAACTATATTGGATGAAGAGAGATGTTGTTAATGAACTAAAACTTGTTCTGCCCGAACTGAAAGCCATTGTTGATGATGAATGCAAAGCGGTAAAGGAGGTTGACATTATTGCAGCTATCCAATCGCAAATTAATGGGCTTGTGTACCAAGATGAATTGAAGGCATTAGATGCGAAGCTCAAGACAGAATTTAAGGATCGCTTCCTGGCAGATATTCCGCACAATGACACAATGCCCTCTGACGTCTTATTTCGCATTCATCTAAAAGACACTAACAAAATTGTACAATAGCGTTCTTATGATTGTCCAAAAAAGTATCATGCAGCTTGGAAAATACTGCTGGACTCTCATCTCAACAGTGGGCATTTGTGACACTCAGAAAGCGAGTGGTCATCACTGTCATTCATTATACCAAAGGCGGACCCAACTGTCTTGCCACAATGGGTCAATGACTTCTGGCTATTGAATGACAACACCATGCCAGACAACCACCCCTTACTGCGTATTGACAAAATTCTAAAAGACTGCACAAAGGGCAAGTTTTTCGGAAAAATTGATATGACTAATGCGTTTTTTCAGATGTGAGTACACCCTGATGACATGAAGTTCCTGGCAATTCATACTCCCTTTGGTAAGTACAAGTGGACAGTAATGCCTATGGGGGTTGTTAAGACTGTGCTCAGGGGTAAAGCGGATTCTGAGGGGCTTGGCTTCAGCTCGTACTCTGTGCCCCTTACCTGAGTACATGCCCCTAATTTCGGAATGTAGTCCAACACAAGTTCTATGAGTTCCGACAGAACATCAGAACGGGGGTCCTCTGAAGGAGGACCGATGGACTACTAGGTGAGCGCGGGAAAGTCAGGCAGGGGTTGTTCTGCCCAACAGGAGGGAAGCGGGAGACTACTGCAGTCGGAACCAACAGTAGAAGTGGAGCGGAAGGAACTGCTTTGGACGAAGTCTGAAGCAGAGCGGAATGGAGGGGACGGATGCGAGAGTGCGGGGTCTAGTTCCGATGCACGGGAAGTCAGAGGAGCGGAGGGACGGAGGAATGGGGGAGCGGAGGAGCGGAGGAGCGGAGGAGCGGAGGAGTGGAGGAGTGGAGGAGTGGAGGATGGCTGACCTAGGGAGTCAATCCCCTAGGCTGGTTTTAACAGGAGTTGACTAGGATCAGGCCCAAGTCAGAGAACAGAAGAGCAGGGCTTAGAAAAGATAATATTCAGACTGAGTATCTACAGACAAATGTACATATGTTTATATACTCTAAGTGATGAGCATAGCATAGCAGAAGGCTATGTGCTGAGTGTACAGGAATACAATAGGATGACTGAGACATACAAGAATAAGGCTCGGGGAACAGTATGTACGCGACAGATCAGAATCGCTAGGGTATAGGGATTACCAGTGATCCGAAAAGCGGAACTATGATACTAAATGGAGATAGGACCAGTTGAGTGGTTCCTAGTCTAGGAGTGGACCGGTGAGGTGGTCAGACGGACTAATAGTTGGGTGGGGGAATACGAGCGGAACTGAAGGACCCCCACATGGGTTGGAAAAGTGGAGGGAGTAGGAGTAGGATTGGGCAGACCGATAGGGTGGAGGAGCAGAACCCCAGGTAGGGTCGGATGGAAGGGGTATGGGGTTGGAGGACATAGGGGTAGTGTTGGAAGAGTGGAATGGGGTCAGGCGGAGGTAGCAGGGCTAATCCTGCTGAGATGCACTTCGTGCATTGTCGGAGAAGGAGGAATGGAGTGGATGGGGAAACAGGGGGTCGGACCAGCAGTAGGGATGCTTATAGGTGGTACTGGGGGTACTCGGATCCGGTATATGACAGGGGTACGGAATGCCTCAGCGGTACATCAACGTCACATGACAACAGCACTACATCATTTGATTGGTAAGATCTGTCATGTGTACCTTGATGACATCATCATTTGGTTGCAAACACTTGAGGAACACGAAGCAAATGTGTGCCAAGTTCTGCTGGCCTTACATGCAGTGCAATTGTATTGCTCACCTAAGAAGACATCACTTTTCAACACTGAAATTGATTTCTTGGGTCACCACATCTCTGCTCACGGTATTGAGGTCAATAGCTCAAAGGTTGCTAGAATCTTAGACTGGCCACAATCCCGCAAGGTGACTGATGTATGTGCCTTCTTGGGTATCATTTGGTATCTTTCAGACCATCTACCGGATGTTGCTAAACACACTCATATCCTTACTGTGCTTACGACAAAGACAGCAGAGTTGCAATTCCCGGAATGGACCAAAACACATACAGGAGCCTTCCAAGCTATCAAGAACTTAGTTGTCAGCCCACAATGTCTCATGACAATCAATCATGATCATCCAGGAGACAACAAGATCTTCCTTACTTGTGACGCTTCTGACTATGCAATGGGTTCCATGCTATCCTGGGGTCAGACTTGAGAGTCTGCTCGACTGGTCACCTTTGATTCAATGCAGCTGTGCAGCGCAGAGCTTAACTACCCAGTACACAAGAAGGAACTCTTGGCCATCATACGAGCCTTGAAGAAATGGTGGTTGGATCTGTTAGGTGCGCATGTTGACGTGTACACTGATCATTGGACACTTCAGAATTTCAACACACAATGTGACCTCTCTCACCATCAGGCACGTTGGGCAGAATACATGTCGCAGTGCGATATAGCCATCCACTACATTAAGGGTGAAGATAATGCAGCTGCTGACGCTCTCTCGCGACGAACAGACACTGCATCAGTATCTGACCTGTGCACCACTCTACTTGCAATCCAATCTGATGGAGACCTGTTGGACCACATTATCAAAGGGTACGCTGCTGACCCCTGGTGTAGTAAGCTGAATGGTCTACTAGAATCCTTACCTGGCTTGTCCCGTGACAAACGAGGGCTCTTCTATATTGCAGACTGTTTAGTGATTCCACAGGTAGACGACCTTCGGGAACCCCTCTTCAACACAGCTCACAATGCCGTGGGTCATTTTGGCACAGACAAGTCTTATGCTCTACTGCGAGGATCCTACTATTGGCTGAACATGCGATGTGATCTGATCAACTCCTACATCCCATCATGCACAGAGTGCATGCAAAATAAGTCAAAGACGACGGCAATGGCAGGACCACTGCATCCCCTGCCAGTCCCGGATGCTCATGGTGACTCAGTGGCTATCAATTTCATTGGGCCACTGCCCGAAGACAGTGGTTACAATATGCTCATCTCCATGACAGACAGACAGAATTCTGACATCCATCTAGTGCCTTGCAGAGATAACATATCTGCAGAACACTTCACTGGCTTGTTTTTTGACCATTGGTACTGCAAGAATGGCCTGCCACAAGAGATTGTATTGGACCACGATAAGCTCTTCTTGTCAAAATTCTGGTGTGCACTACACAAACTGACTGATGTTAAGCTTAAATTGTCGTCCTCATACCATCCTGAAATGGACGGCACAAGCAAACGAACCAACAAGACTGTCAATCAAAGTCTTCATTACCATGTCAACTGGAATCACAAGGGTTGGGTTTGTGCGCTCCCCCGTGTACATTTTCACATCATGAATATGGTGAATGCAAGTACTGGCTTCTTGCCTTTTCAGCTGCACTTGGGACAATCCCCTCGTATGTTACCACCATTAATTCCAAATGCCACCGTCTCTGAGGAACCTGCAGAACAAAGTGCCTGCACCCTGCTGTCACAACTCAAACATGATGTCATGGAAGTACAAGACAATCTACTCACTGCAAAGGCAGCTCAAGCTGTGAATGTCAACAAGAGTCATGTGTCATCACTCACATTACAGGTCGGCAATCATGTCATGCTCACCACAAAACATCATTGATAAGAATATATGCAGAAGGGAGACAAAAGAGTTGCAAAGTTCATGCCTAGATACGATGGTCTATACGTTATCCTGGATGCACACCCAGAAAGCTCAACATACACTCTCGACCTACCAAACTCCCCAAACATTTTCCCAACCTTCCACATCAGCCAACTATGCCCGTACCACGCAAACAACCCCACTCTTTTCCCTGCACGCGAACATCCGCGTCCTGGACCTGTGGTAACTGAGGACGAACAGCTAGAGAACTTCATTGACAAGATCATCAACAAAAGGAAGATCGGAAGGGGGAAGAGGTACCTGGTGCATTGGGTTGGCTATGGTGAGGAAGATGACGAGTGGCTGCCGCAGAGGGACTTGGAGAACTGTGAGGCTCTAGACACTTGGGAGAAGGGACATTCTGAAGGATAGTGGGGAAGGGTGTAAGCATGCGCTTACGCTGATTGGACACCACACCTCATTTGTCTGTGTTTGGCTGCTGATGTTGATTCATTATATATAACTCATCACTGATGTACCTGTATCTTATCTCTTACTGTACCACCGAATCCCATAAGCTCATCCACATTATCTCTGTCCAATTGCCTGTTAGTGTTTGCCATCTACTGTGACGGTGTTCCACCACTGCTCAACTCTTTTCACACAAAGTCACATTTACATATGATACAGGTTGAAGATTTCATTAAAAATATGTAGGATAGATAGTAAACTACCTAAGAAACCTATACTACCTACTGCCCTGAGAATAGATCGTGGGTGAAAGGGATGTAGTGTAAATATGAGTTGACCCATCAGTAAAATCCTACCACTGCTCAACTGGCCATTTTCGATATTTGGGTCTTTGAAGCTTCCCACACTCAATTTCTTATCTATTTCACTTCCTCAGCACTCAATTCTTGTTATATTGTTCTATAAATTTACATATATGATACTGAATATGTTTGAAATGTACTCCAGGTTTCTGATTATTAAAATTCGATGCTTTGAAGGTATGGGCCCCTTATCAGTAGAAATAGCAAGTATATACACTATCCCAACCCTCCAGCCTATTTTGAGCTTATCCTGGTCATACAAAGGAAGTATATATGCTATAGAAATGATATATGAACAGGTTGGATCATTTGTGCAAGAGTGAGGGGGTGAAAAACATCAAAAATGTCAAAAGTGCGATTTTCTATGTTTTTGTTATTGTAGAAGGATCCTGTGTGTGTCCTGGGCTAGCTATATGATATATCTACTCCAGATATACATATAAATATACCCCCTACCTCAATTGAGGTCCGGTCCTACAGGAAAAAATTTCACAGGGGGTAAACCACCAGGAGAGGGGGGATGCACTACACAACAAGATCTTGTCCTATGGTTCTGAGCTCCTTATACATTGTTCCTACTGTTAAATAGATGCTGGGGACAATATTTTCAAGTTTATATAGCTAGAAACAAAAAAATGCGAACCTATTTTGTATTTTTCCATGCATATACTGTACCTATTGATGTAGGGCGCTTCAGGGGGTCAAATAAAGATGGTAATCTCTTCATGTATGCTCCTAAACATGTTCTGAATGCCCTGGAACACTTACCTATCAAAGGGGCAAAAATGCGAAAGTGTTTTGTACCCTACCCTATTTTGAATGGCCCCTGGAGCAGGAGCAGGCATACAAATAAACAAAAAAAAGCGGTCTATTATATTAGGGGAGCTCACAGTAGGTCGCTTCTGCTTCTGCATCCATGATAAATCGATATTTTCACATATACAGCAAAATAAATAAAAACTAAATTGAATATACCATTTCTGGCCATCACACTTGGAGTGTGCTAAGTCACATTGTTACGGGAAAGCCCGGCTTTCCAACAGTGCACTTGATAGGGTCGATCCCGTGTCCACTTCATGGAGCACCGGACGATGGAAGACTGAATGGAGGCTGTCCATTCAGAATGACTGACTGAAGTTTCAATGATAGAAGCTAGAGTTGTATATCACAAGTGAAGATCAAGTTAGAGAAATACATGGTCTAACTACTGGGGTATATATAGGTATCATCCTTTGGGTTCAGGGTAGGCTTGGGTAGCCAGAAAGTATCCCAACTAGGTAATCGTCTATGTGAGTCATAAGGACTCAGAGATAAGAGTACCGGTTCAATGGTAAGGGTCCAGGGTATGGTACCATCACAGCGGTAGGTGTCCAAGTCAGATAACGCTATCTGTCATGATAAGTGATAGGATAAACGATAGTCAGTACCAGTGTATCGGTAGAGGCGATAAGGGAGAAGTGCGCGGCTTCAATTGATCCCGGTCTAGGTCGGTTCCAGAGCTGTCTTGCTCCAACAGCTGTCATGCTGTGCTCTGCAGTTTAGTCACATGCCGGTGATGTCATCTGTCATGTGTTGTGACGCGGTTGTGACAGCGATGTTTGGCGGAGACGATAGGGGTCTGAGGGTCCCTGTAACACACATTGTACTCTACTTTATACTCTCACATGGCTAAATTGAAGAAGACACAGAATCTACCCGGCATCCACTGGAACGAGAATGAGCACTTGCGTGTGTGGAAACTCATCGCGGAAATCAGCACAAAGGCAAATTACAAGGTCTTGTTTGGTAAAAAAGATCAACATGAGGTGAGCACGGATATCTGAGTCACTAGTACTGATTCACAGAGCCATCAGAACACATCTGGCGAGACAAAGGCCAGCATTTATAAACAGATTGGTGCTATTGTGCTACCAGAGTGCTACGAGATTGATCTGATGGCAGCCGGTGACTGTGTCAAGAGCAAACTTGAATTGTTGTGGAAGCAACGCTCAGTGTACTTCTCAACAGCACCTTCAGAGCACCCTGTAAAGAGATTAATCGAGCAGCTGCAACGAAGAGGGAGCTGGAAAGACAAATGTATATCTCAGACTCTAGGAAAGATCTCGTTGTACGAGTATAGTACCTGGAAAGACAAATGTATCTATGGTATGTTAGCTCTATAGTTTAGCGTAGAAATGAATAAAACATACATCTCAGACTCTAGGAAAGATCTGAGATGTTCGGTCGACGCGACTCATTCTTTATAGTATGGTTAGCATAGATAAGTAAATTAGCGTAATGTAGGAATAGACATCTCAATATTGACGAGCCTCAGCCGACGTCAATGCGTCGCCTCATCATACCTGGATGTTGCACTCATATGGTTTCACTTTCATCTCTCCGGTCCGTTCTCCTCTGACTCTCTCGTTTCGACTGACTCCAACACTCCCCCTCAAGCGCAATCTTCCAGGCTCATCAATGCACGTAGCTTCTGGAGGTGAGGTCGTGGAAGTGGTTTGGTGAACGCATCCGTGACATTGTCGTCTGTAGGACAATACAGCAGCTTGAAGGTGCTGTCTTTGACGTGACCGCGAACAAAGTGATAACGGAGCTCGATGTGCTTGGTGCGGGAGTGGAATTTGCTGTTGGACGCTAGGGCTATAGCTGCTTGGTTATCACAATAGATGGGGGTAGGAAGTTCGACGGGACCATAAAGTTCGCCAATCAGCAACTGTAAGTAGAGGATCTCACATGCGACTGTGGTAAGGGCGATATACTCAGCCTCCGCGGTCGATAGCGTGATCAATGGTTGTTTTCGTGCGCTCCATGCAACAGGTCCCCCATTTAACATGACGACATACCCTGACATTGAATGTCTGTGCGGTTGCAATGCCCAATCTGCATCAACATACGCCTCCAGTCCTCCTTCACTCATGCCTAGGGTGATACCATGATCTGCAGTACCTTTGAGGTACCGCAGGACGTGTTTGGCCGCCTCCCAATGAAGCGGTCCCGGGTTGCGCATAAACTGGGATAAGGTTGCAACAGAGAAGCTGATATCTGGGCAGGTGCTCGTGGCTGCATACATCAGCGAGCCTATAGCGCGCTGGTAAGGCACATAGCGCATCCCTTCATACTCAGTGTGCGTGCTAGCAGACTGGTCAGTAGAGAAGGTGGCGCCTGGGTCCATTGGAGTGGTAGCTGCTTTCGCCTCGGTAAGTCTGAAGCGTTCAAGGATGGTGTCCGTATAGGCTCATTGCGAGAGGGTGACGGTGCGCGCCTCGCGGTCCCACTGGACTTTAAGTCCCAAGAGCCAGTTGAGCTCACCAAGGTCCGATATTTCGAAGTGGTCGCATAGCTGCGCCTTGAATCGCTGGATGTGGGAGATGTGATTCGCGGTGACGGCCATGTCGTCTATGGATACCGTGACAGCCATGTCGTCTACGGATACCGTGACGACCATGTGCTCAGTCGGGGTGCGCTTGAAGTATATGGCTTGGTCAACCTGTGAGCGTTTGAACGCTAACTTCGCGAATACGCCCGCTAATTCTTCTGCCCATTCGAAACCAGCCTGCTTCAACCCTGGCAGACTTCTCTTCAACTTAAGTACCTTCCTCTCTTCTCCCTGCTTCAAGTATCCTGGCGGTGCGCACATATAAATCTCCTCCTGGACGTCAGTGTACAAGTAAGCACTTTTAATATCCACCTGATGGATCTCCCAATCTCGCTGAGCTGTGATCGTCAGGACGGTGCAGATCGTACTCATGTTGGAGGTAGGTGCGAACGTATCGAAGTAATCCACTCCATATTGCTGACGTTGGCCGTTCGTGACCAGCCTAGCGCGAAGTTTGAGCTTCTGCCCATCAGGGCCGCGCTTAGTAGCTAGGACAAAGTGGCAAGGGATTATGTTAGCTCGTGGCGGTGCGTCAACAACTTCCCATGTGCCAAGTTTCTCCAACTGACTGATCTCATAATCAACCGCTTCCTACCACTCAACTCCATCTGGGCCATTTAAAGCTTGCTGCAGGGTAGGCTTGGGTTGCACAGCGGCTGCCGCGTACTGATAGGTGAGTAGTTGCTCGTCTACGAGGTCTGCATCTGCAGGATGGAAAACTAAGGAGGTGCTCTCCCCCTGGTTGAGTGCGCTATAATAGCCAGGCGGTGGTCGGGTCTGTGTTACTCTGGGTGCGGGCGGGGTATCGAGCTGCTTGGGCGCTTTGGTCGGTGTAGAGGGTGGCTGGGGCAGAGCGTTCTGGACGATACTGTCACTAGGTGCTGGTGCTGATGGGGCTGCTGGTGGGTTGGACTCCCCCTCGTCCGGTATGTCAACTGCCACAGTTACCGCGATCGGGCTGAAACTAATGTTTTGCTCTACAGATACGTGTCTCTTACCAGGCCAGTAGATCCGATAGCCCTTGCTTTCGCCATCGACTCCGACAAACACAGCTTCATCAGCCCTAGCTTCGAGCTTGCCTCCATTGAGAACGTGCACATACACTGGGCAACCGAACTCATGGGCCTGCTCGAGTGACGGACGTCGACCATTGACGAGATTGAAGGGAGTATGGTCAGGGATTGTGTGAGATGGTAAGCAATTTTTTAACCATGTTGCATAATTAACAGCTTCGCTCCAGAGGAACTTTGGCATGTCCTGGGTGAGCAACATCGCTCTAGCGTGCTCCACCAGCGTGCGGTTGAGCCGTTCGGCTACTCCGTTCTGCTGGGGCGAATCATGAACCGTCAGCTGGCGCTCAATCCCTTCCTCTCGCAGATGCTTGTCAAACTCATGACTAAGGTACTCGCCTCCGTGGTCCGAGCGCAAGATCTTGATTCGCATACCGTTGCGCTGGCGTGAAAGCCAGGCTTCGTAGTGCTTGAACGACTCTAGCGCCTCGCTCTTATGAGCAAGGAAATTGACCCTAGTCTCGCGACTATAATCGTCAGTGAATGTCATATAGTACAAGCTTCCTCCTAGACTCTCAGTTCGAGCTGGGCCCCATAAGTCCGTATGGACGACCTCACCATACATCTTCGCGCGATTCTCTGATTCCTTGGGGAAGGGCTTACGCGTTGCCTTTGCTTTAGCACAGGTATCGCAAAAATCCGGCTTGGAGGTGGAGTCTAGCTCAACACCTTCTACCAGGCCCTTTCTAACCGCCTCTAACACAGCTGTGTGTGAGACATGTCCAAGGATGCGGTGGAGTTTGTTAACGGTACGTTTTGAACGCGCAACATGCGCATGGTGCTGATTCTTCCCCATGACCGCGTATAGGCCGTCTACCTGGGGGATCGTCGCGATAACACTGCGCTTGGGGCCAGGGGACAAGATTTTACACATCTTGTCCTCGAAATACATGGCTAGGCCGCCAGCTGTGATCCGATTAGTGGAAATGAGAGTGAATGCCATTTTTGGTGTGAATAGCGCGTCCTTGAGCGTCACAGTAGTGCGCTCCTTTCCATTCGGTAAGTCCAGCTTGACGTCACCTTTCCCTATGGCGCTAATGGTTGATCCGTCAGCGGTATGTACCTCCTGGGCATCTATCTTGACATAGTTAAGGAACTTGGTGTGGTCTGGGCAAAAATGCGAGGTAGCCCCTGAGTCGATGATAGCGCCCCGGCGCTCAACAGGGATGTTCAGCTGATTTGCGATATTCGCTAGGTCACTTGTAGTGAACGCATAGTTCTCTGCTGGAGTGGCGTCAGATGCTGCCACGTTAGCACCTGCCTTTGGTGGGTGCCCTCCCTTCTTCTGCCGCTGATTGGGTCCTTGCCCCTCTTTACCTCCTCCTGGTCTCCAGCAATCGCTCTTATAATGATCCTTACGATCGCAGTTATAGCACGTTATGTCAGGATTGGTCTGGGTCGTCCCGTTCGACTTTTGACCTTTGCTGCCGGGTGTCTTTGCCATCAAGGCAGAGTTTCCACCCTTCTTGCCACTGCAACGGTCAGTGAGTTGACGATGTTCATACTCTTCAGTGACTACACTGATGAGCTCATTAGGGGTAAGAGGTTTCTGGGCAATCTTCGCTGCTGCATTGATAGGATTCAGGAAGGGAACCTAGTGCAATCGCATAAAAGTCGCGGTCCTCGATGTCCGCGCCCATTCCAGCCAGCAATTCTTGTAATCGGAGTAATTCACCGAAGTGAGTCTTAATGTCTCCGTTCTCGTCGCATCTCATATCCTGCAGACGGCGATGCAGATCTATCTGCACTAGCTCGGTCTTGCCTTCATGGATATCGCAGATTTCATCCCAGATTAACGAGGCACTCTCGAGCTTCTGGACGCACAGTAATAGTCGATTGGTGATCGTACTAAATATCTGCTGTCTGACGAGTGAGTCTTTCTGAAAAAATTCATCTGTTGCCTTTTCCAAATCACTGATCTCCGTTTGCATAGCTGCCGAGCCGTCAGGCTTCGTAACAATGCTTGTTGTTGGATCGATCTTGAATGGGGTATGTTTTGTTTCATGGCCATCGACATAGCGCATCATGCCTCTCGCACCAATGGCTGTCAACATACGTTCCTTGTAGGTGATCCAGTTGCTGGCGTCTTCGGCTAGCTTTGGGACGTTGAACATTGGGGAGTTGGTGCTGGGGAGCGCGGAGTCCATGGCCGTGACAGGGCTCATAACCTAAAGAGATTAATCGAGCGGCTGCAACGAAGAGGGAGCTGGAAAGACAAATGTATCTATGGTATGTTAGCTCTATAGTTTAGCGTAGAAATGAATAAAACATACATCTCAGACTCTAGGAAAGATCTGAGATGTTCGGTCGACGCGACTCGTTCTTTATAGTACGGTTAGCATAGATAAGTAAATTAGCGTAATGTAGGAATAGACATCTCAATATTGACGAGCCTCGGCTGACGTCAACGCATCACCTCATCATACCTGGACGTTGCACTCATATGGTTTCACTTTCATCTCTCCGGTCCATTCTCCTCCGACTCTCTCGTTTCGACTGACTCCAACACCCTGCAGTCCAGGCTATGTCTTCTAGTGAAGCACTGTTTCCGTACCGCCCCATCCGGTACAGTGTCACACCTAACTGAACCTCCACTGACTCCTGGGCTTGGTTTGAGTTGTTATGAAAGACTGGGTGGTCCTCAATTAATCCTAGAATAGCTTGAAATACCTCCGGAGAGACTCGCAACATATTGACAAAGCAGTGGTGGTCAGCTGGACTCTGTGCCCATTCCCATGCAAGGTGTAGACTGCCGGATTTAAGGACCGGAGGGTGAGAATTCAGGTAGCGAGCTTGTTGTATGGCTGATATGCAATTTATATCTATAGTAAGCTCTCATGAAAGGTCTTTGAGTGTCTGTGCAGGTCGAAAGAGTGCTTGAATGATCATGAAAAAGATATAGGATTCTAAGTATTGCTGATGTAGCGAGCTGCAAGGCATGTGTAGTATGGTGAGGGAGTTAAGTGCTTACATAACACACCACTAACCCTTGTCCCTCACGTGTCAGCAGAAGCAGAAGCAAAAGCAGAAGCAGAAGTGACCTATTGTGAGCTCCCCTATTGTATTATACATATATATACCAAGCTACTACATATATATACAGGGGAGCTATTGTGATGTGGTGGTGAAGCTGCAGTGAGGTGGGGAGGGTGTGGGAATAATTGAAATTGTGGGGTATACCATATTAGGTGATGTTTTGGGTGTTGTGGGGTAATTCCCACACTGTGTGATTGAAAAATGCGGAAATGTAATGTGTGGGAATAGTGTGGAGAGGCCTAACATGAGGAGGTGATTACACTGCCAGTTTGGGTGAGAAGGTAATGCAGCCCACACTTAGCATCCCCCATGCATCACCACCTACTGATACTTAGCTGTTTTAATGCATTACCCCTACAGGATCTTGTGGCCAGACTTCCATGTCGATGAACATCTGCTTTCGACGCTTCAGTACGACCTGCGTTCCAAAAACACGCAGCTCTCTGTCCAGGTCCTCGAACAGCTCCGCACAACAGTGCTCGGATGCATCTGGAGACATCCTACTGACTGGGATCATGACGAGCTCATAAGAGAAGTGAAGGATGCTCTCAAAAAAAATTGGATGACTTTGCTGCTGGGGGTGATGATCCTGACTCACCTTGAAACTTGAAGTCTGTTGGGAATGATATGACGTGGTAGATTATTGTTTTTATTTCGCAGTCTAGTGTATCTTATATACGTCGTTAGTACCAAGTTGTAGCTTTTGCCAGCAATATCCTCTTGGATGACATCGTGATGGCATTTTTACACGATGTTTACGGCATTTAGACTTTGCCCTCTGCCTATGCTTACCGGGCCAAGGCAGTGTACTCGTGGAGTTATGAGCAAGTTATCAGTGTTCTTGATCTGTCCCTTCTTGGCCCTTGGGACGAACATCATCCTACCATGTAAGCTAGTCTCCCGTAGTCATATACATACCTTGATAGAAGGAAGACAGTCATTCATGTACAGACAAGGAGGGGACTGTCCGAACTACCTAAGTCTGACCCTCATTGCCGCTGGCCCGCTGCGCTATCGGCCGGGCAGCACCGGTGGATTTCCTACTACGATGTCAAATCAACAACTGTTGAAGAAAGCCCGTCATCGTTCCTTCTATCAACTTGTTAACTTGGCATATGATGGCGCTCAGCGGGTGCTTATGTAGTTCCAGTGATGAACTTCACTAGTGCTGATATGAGATATCCTTACTAGTAGTACAATTACCTGTTCATAGGATCATCTCCGATGAGGCCGCTGTAACTTTCTGGAACACGTCGAGGGACGTCCCAGCCGCAGCGCATCTCCGTCACACATGATGCATGATGTTGGAATCTGGAACCTACTCATCATGTGTGCATATTGCAAGTCTCCCGGATCTTGTACACACTGTTGACAGCTCCTTCGAGGCAAGTACTATGGCAATTTCCTCAGCGAAGTGCTGTCATTATTGACCCATCCTTCAAGTTGCTCTGACCTTAGTAACGGCTTTCGTAATTCGAAAATTGTTGTTCGCGATCACTGATGTTGACGCTGCGGTCGGGACGATCGCATGTTAAGCTATGTACGTAGACGCATTTATGTCACGCCAGTTCATAACCAAAACCGCAATGCGCCGTTTCATTACGCCAGGTTATTTCAGGTTGTTTCAGATCACTGCCGCATACCTAGGCATCATAGAAGCTGTTCCCATTCGGTTCCCATGCGTCTTTGTTGTATGGGTCTTATCAAGGGCTGTGCATTGTATACCCTATATGAAGGTTAGCATCTCGATGGACGGCATCACTCTCAGATCAAAGTACTACAAACCCCACGTTGCAGACCGCCTTATAGCTCTCGCTCGGGAGATATCGATTCTAGCGACATTTAACATGGCGCAACTCGATCTGAACAATACCTTCGGTGCCCTTTATATCGGCGCTACTATTGGTTCAATGTCAGTCTGATATTCAATATGTCGATGGTTCCTTACTAACTGATCTCGATAGTTTTTTTGGTTTGAGTAATGTCCAAGCATTTCTTTACTTCCAGGCACACAGGCATTCGGGAGTCACGTTCTACAAACTTACGGTAAGTTCCTGTGTACTAGAATGAAAGACGGACCCCCATTGAACTAACGCAACGGTTTAAGGTATGCTTGCTCTGGTAAGCGCTTCTAGGGCTTGTTACTGGTGCTCCTGTTGACTCGGTAATCGCACTTGCTAGGCTTCTCGATGCCTCGCATGTCGCTATGGTTAATCACCTGATATATTATTATCTGATCATCAACTACGCAAATCCGTCGGTACTTCTTGAGATGGTGTGGAGCTTTAAGGTGCGCAATGATCTGGACTCACTGTTCCTTTCTGATCTCACCACCCGCAGGCGCTAGTACTCCTCGACGTAAGTTAGAACAAGCGAGCTACCACGTGATATGCCTCATTTCATGGCTTCTCAGGTACTTATTGTGTTTAGCGTACACATGTGAGTATCACCTCGGCCAGTAGATTTTCTTTGCTGATATACTTCCGCACAGTCTGTATGTGCAGCGGATATGGATAAGTATGCATCCGCCAAGGCCACGATCACACTGATGAACTGACCTGATCGTCTTAGTTGGCAAAGGAAGAACCCGAATTTTGCCAATGCTCAATGTAAGTGCTTGTGCCATAGCTCTTCTTTTGTCAGTCTGAGAAAATCATAAGATGGTACTCGTCGTCAGTAGCTTAGGCAAGTATATAGATAATGTTGTGAAGATTTCTATTGACGATAACGCATCTGTGTCCCGCAGGTGTTGGCATCGGTGAATAACGTGCAAATTTTTGTAGATTTGTTGCTGACCCCTATTCCTTTCCAGTTCTGCTCTGGCTCGTGTAAGTCAAACTCTCGCTGCAGCTATTGCTTTTCTCACCAAGCACATTAATCTAGATTCAAGTGCCATTATTTTTCGGACCTGGAGAGCGTTCGGTGGTCCCTCTACCTAGTTTTAGGCATGACCACACTAATTGACTTCCTCATTGCTTCTTCATTGTGTTACCTCCTTATCACTTCGAAGACGGGGTTCACTAAGTATGGCTTTTCCTGATGTTTTCTCTCTGACTGACATGTAGTCTCGTAGAACGGATATGACGCTTCGGACGCTCGTGAGATACACTATAAATACAGGATGCTTAACGAGGTACGCGTCTCGCATCGTTTCTTTCACCAGCCTGCCTCTGATTCCCAATTCTCTAAAGTGTGTGCTCGATAGCGTGTATCATTACGGTGAGTGTCCTCCATATCACTTACGATATCATGTGACTTATTACCTCCTGCAGGACACAGTAATGCCAAACAACTTCGTCTACCTCGGAATCGAGTTTCTGCTGTCGAAATGTACGCTTTGTCAGCTTCGTATCGCATGCAGAAAGCTTATTCGATGCGCTCAGTATACGTGAACTCCTATATGGCTCTACTGAACGCGCGTCAATATATGGGGTCGGATGAAAGCCCACACACTTCGCACAACCGACCTCCTCGTACCTATCTCCCAGAGCTACAGGTCAATCTTAATGTTTCGCAGGACAGATCTATCCGAACATCCGAAACGGACAAGTTCCAGTTATCTGAAAGGGCTCTGGAGCACCCCTCCTACTACCCTCCTACCGTGGTCCGCGACAGTGTGTATATCAATTAATGGAGGATTCAGACGGGATGTGCCCATCCCATCAAAGTGGTCGTAGGGATGGAGTCGTTCTCGATATTGTTTTCATTTAACAGCCTTGTGTATCTTATGGTATCATTGTAGCTTTTGCCAGCAGTATCACCTCTTGGATGAAATCGTGATGATATTTTTGCATGATGTTTAACACCTCTGTCTTCCTATGCATAAACTTACCGTCCTGTAGTTATTGTTAGGTCTCGGGTCTGTCCCTCCTTGGGACGAGAAACTGAATGATGATTTTCGATTCATGTCTAAACGGTATAGATAATAGTATCGAGCGCCCGACTACTCACGTCCAGACGATGTCTAGCTACATACGAACAAACGTCACTTCGTCTCACACGTCCTCGCCTTCTTCGCTGCATCTGGTAGTGTTATTGATCAAGGTGAGTTTTGCATCCTAGCCATGATGCATTGATGCAAACTGAATTGCACAATAGTAATCAGTCCGCTACTGAGTACAGATAGCGGCCTAACACTCATAATAATCCATGCAGACACCTCGTGCCCCCCACCTATTATATGGTTTGTTGTGGTTCTCGGTGCAAAATGCAGCACCTGCTCTTTTTTCTTGTTCTCGTTCATCGTCATTCCCCAACTGTCGTCTCATGGCTAGTGGTAAGAAGAAGACTTGGAGTACTAATCGGGGCTGGTGGTGAACGGAATTTACAGAACACCCTGGCTATGAGAGTTTGGAACCAGCATTGATGGTGCAGCAAAAGGCTAAAGTAATCTGCGATAACTCAAGCATTACGTTGCGGCAGAATGGGCTCGTGATGAACGTGAGGTACAGTTTGGATCGCGGGATCATGTACGAGATGAGCACGCAATTAAGGGAGCAGGTAAGCTTAAATTGTGCCTGATCCCCAGCAGACAAGTAGCGAAGTTCACGAGCACAGAGGGCTACGGAAAATTGCTGCACACTTGATTCAGGATGAGGAGTCATTCACAACCTCCGAGATTGAGGCAGTTACTAATCCTTCAGACTTCTAGCGAATTCCTATCAAAGATCTCTTCGATTTCTCTCGTGCTCAAGATTGGCTAGGATCCTTCTACCAAACAGCCATCCGAGGCTTAGATGCTGAGATTGAGTTATACCAGCTGTTGGATTTGGATGCCGATGGTATTGACGACCCAGAATTCCGTCAGGCGGATGAGATTTTGGATGAGTAAAATTAATGACAAGTTCTCAGTTAGGCAGGACTTAGCCAATCAGATGTGATTATATAATGTTTTCCCTTGGACTCCCGGTACCATAGCTGTTCACGTTCACCCATAGACATAGAGACGTTCACCGACTTTTGTGAACGTTCGGCGACCGGCCGAACGCTGCTTGAACGAGTAAAGTTACGATGACTTGAACTTCAGTTCACCTATAGTTTCCCACGTACCTGCTTTAGTTACGCAACTTCTACGAACCGAAAAAAATCGGAAGAGTAAATTGGGGTCACTCCTGGCCCAGTTCCATCGAACCACAGAAGCTGTTCCCGTGGGACTTCGCTACATGGGTCTGGTCGTTATCACGCGCTGGATGTTATATGATACTGATGATCATGACTCGGATGAACCAATCAACAAGGATAGCTTCTTGATGGGCGCATCACTCTCAAACCATGTATAAACTCCGAAGTGTTTCATGACCACCTTATAGCGCCGGAGATCTGGATTCTAGCACGGCATCCAACATGGCACAACTCGATCTGAATAACACCTTCGGTGCGCTTTATATCGGTGCTACTATTGGTGCAGTGTCAGTCCAAGATTCAATATGGCGGTCGTTCTTTACTAACAACGATCTTCATAGTTTTTTTGGTCTGAGCAATGTCCAAGCGTTTCTTTACTTCCAGGCACACAAGGACTCGGGAGTCACATTCTACAAACTTGCGGTAAGCCCTTGTGTACTAGAATGGAAGGCAAGCCTCCATCGATCTTACACGATGGTTTAAGGTATGCTGGCTCTGGTAAGTATTTATAGGGCTTGTGAGTCACTGGTGCTACGGACCGACGGTTGACTCGGTAATCGCGCTTGCAAGGTTTCTCGATGCCCTGCATGTCGCTTTCGTTAATCATATGATATACTATTATCTGATCACCAACTATGCGAATCCGCTGGCGCTCATTGAGATGGTGTGGAGCTTTAAGGTGCGCAATGATCGCAACTATACTGGGCTCGTTGTCCCCTTCTGATCTTACCACGAGTAGGCGCTGATACTCGTTGACGTAAGTTCGAACAAGCGAGCTACTGTGTGACATACTTCATTTTGTGGCTTCTCAGGTACTCATTGTGTTTAGCGTGCACCTGTGAGTGTTATCTCGGCCAGTGAATTTTATTTGCTGATGTGCTTCCATATAGTCTGTATTTGCAGCGGATATGGATATGTATGCATCCGCTGAAGCTACAATCACACTGATGAACTGACCTGATCGTCTTAGTTAGCAAAGGGAAAAACGTGAGAATTTTGCCAATGCTCATGGTAAGTGTTCATACCATAGCTCATCCTCTGTCACTCTGATAAACTACAAGACGGTTCCCGTCGTCTCTGCCTTCGGCAAGTATATCGGTAGCGCGGTGAAAATTTCGATTGACGATAACCCTTACGTCCCACAGGTGTTGCTATCGGTGAAGTAAAATGCGGTTTTGTGTCGATTTTTCGCTGACCTTGATCCTTCTCACCAGTTCTGCTTTGTGCAGTGTAAATCAAAGCTTTGCTGCACCTATTGGTTTTCTCACCAAACACATAGATTCAAGTGCCATTATTTTTCGGATCTGGAGAACATTCGGTGGACTCTCTACCTGAGTTTAACCACGGTCACTCTGGTTGACTTTCTCGTTGCTTCTTCATTGTGTTATCTCCTTGCCATTTCCAAGACGGGGTTCACTAAGTATGACTTTTTCCTGATGTTTTTTCTCTGGTTGATATATAGTATCATAGAACAGATATGACCCTTCGGACGCTCACGAGAGACATTATCAATACAGGATGTTTGACAAGGTACCCGTCTCGCATTCTTTCTTTCACCAGCCACTGATTCTCACTTCTTAAAGTATGTGCTCGATGGCGTGCATCATCACGGTGAGCATCTATTGCACGTACAACATGATGTGACTTATCGCCTCTTGCAGGATGCAGTAATGCCGGACAACTTCATCTACCTCGGAATCGAGTTTCTACTGTCCAAATGTACGCTTTGTTAGCTTCGTATCATGTGCAGAAAACTTATTCGATGCGCTTAGTATATGTGAACTCCTATATGGCTCTATTAAACGCGCGTTATGATCTAGGGTTCAATGAAAGTGCATACACCCCACAAAGCCGACCTCCACATGTCTATCACCCAAAGTTGCAGGTCAACATTTCGCAGGACAGATCTTCCCGAACCTCCGAAGCGGACAAGTTCCAGTTCTCTCACAGGGCTCGGGAGCACCCCACTTACTACCCTCCTGCCGTCGTCCGTTCCAGGGCAGCTGATAGTGGGTATATGGCTTAACGAAGGATCCAGATGGGACTTGACCATCCCATGGATGCGGTCATAGAAATGGAGTCGTTCTCGATATAAAATGAGGTCAAGCCAACCTGTCGGCACCTCTTGTGAGCTTGGTTATTTGTAGACCACATCTCTGAATATTTAACTCAGTGCCTTTACGAGCCGCCCGGCGCCGGTTTCGTGGAACGTGCGACATATCGCAGCCTTACTTGCTCCTGTGATCGTTATATAGCAGTCAGTCTGGCCGCTCATGCGACAATACTACCTCTTGAATGCGTGATGGTATTTTTACACGATGTTTAATACCTCTGTCTTCCTTTGCGGTCTGACTGTTATGCATAGACTTACCGTGATGCTACTGTCAGTCGGGCGGCAAGGCAGGAGGATTCATTATTAGATCTTGATCCATCCCTTCTAGGCACGGACGTCGTCCCGCGATATTGGAAGACCATCACAACAGGGTCACTATGTACCTGTTGGTAGCCCCCGCTCGCCGCCATCGTTTAGCGCCGCGGCACTGGCTGGTACCCATGGATGTTCAGCAACAAGTCTCACTATAGTGCCAAAATTAACAACAGAAGAGCTTCAGGCCGTCATTAATCCTTTCCTGTGCTTTCATGAACCTTTTAATTTCAGGTTTATTGGCATCATCATTCAGGCCTCCCAGTCAAGTCAACATATCCAGTGATGCCCAGCATATCCATTGATACCGGTCATATATTAATAATCCTCGATGTTACTTTTCTGGAGTACGACGAAGGACTCTCGTACGCAAAGTTTAACAGGCCCGTTCGGCTTTCCCAACTGGATTGGGAGGCGTGGCGTCGCAGGAGTTCCGAAATGACATGGAAACTTGTTTGAAGGTGCGTTGTCGTTGATCTTCTTTACATAAGAGGGTGCAGCCTGATGACGATTCGACGATCCCTTTGGCCTCGGCGTACGTACTCGTACCCGTTGTTTTACTGCTGATTTGCTCACGGGAAGCTTCGCCGATACTGGGCGGTGTTTGCACAGTGCTTCGGGTACAAATTAATGAAGGCTTGGGCTATACATTGACGCATTTCGTCACATCAGATAAGGCTTCCCGTGGGACTTCGCTGCATAGGGGGCTGTATAATATGAAACCAAACAAGGATATACATCTTCTTGGTACGGGCATCACTCTCATAAAACAAAGTACTATAAACCCCGAAGGTTTCAGACTGCCTTATATGTAGCTCTCGCCCGGGAGATATGGATTCTAGCACGACATCCAACATGGCGCAACTCGATCTGAATAATACCTTTGGTGTGCTGTATATCAGCACTGCTATTGGTGCAATGTCAGTCAAATATTCAATATGGGGGTCGCTCATTCCAACTGATCTTTGTAGTTTTTTCGGTCTGAGCATTGTCCAAGCGTTTCTTTACTTCCAGACACACAAGGGGTCAGGAATCACATTCTACAAACTTGCGGTAGGTCCCTGTGTACTAAAATGTAAGACAGGCCATCGATCTAACACAATGGTTTATTTATTTATTTAGGTATGCTGGCTCTTGTAAGCGTTTCTAGGGCTCGTCACTGGTGCTACGATTGACGCGGTCACCGTAATCGCACTTGCAAGGTTTCTCGATGCCTTGCATGTCGCTCTCGTTAATTTTACGGTATATCATTATCTGATCACCAACTACATCAATCCATTAGCACTTTTTGAGATTGTGTGGAGCTTTAAGGTGCGCAATGATTGTAACTATAGTGGAATGTCCCTTTCTGATCCCATCACGCGTAGGCGCAAACGATCATCGACGTAAGTTAGAACAAGCGATCTATTGCGTGATATACTTCATTTCATGGATTCTCAGGCACTTATTGTGTTTAGCGTGCACCTGTGAGTATTACCTCTCGGCCAGTGGATTTTCTTTGCTGATATACTTCCCTATAGCTTATATCTGCAGCCGATATGGATAAGTATGCATCCGTTAAGGCTACAATGACACCGATGAACTCACCTGATGGTCTTAGTTAGCAAAGGGAGAAACATGAGAATTCTGCCTATATTCATGGCAAGTGCTCATACCATTGTCCGTCATCTGTCACTCTGAGAAGACCACAAGATGGTATTCATCATCCCTACCTCAGGCAAGTATATATAGATCGCGTCACGAAATTTTCGACTGACAGTAATTCATCTGTATCTCCAGGTGTTGCCATCGGTGAAGTAAAATGCTATTTTTTGTTAATATGTTGCTTACTTCTATACATCTCCACCAGTTCTCCTCTTGACAGATATGTAAATCAAAGCCTTCCTGCGCTTATTGGTTCTCTCACCAACACATTAACCTAGATTCAAGTGCCATCGTTTTACGGACATGGAGAACGTCCGATGGCCCCTCTACCTGAGTTTAGGTATGGCCACTCTGGATGACTTTCTCATCGCTTCTTCATTGTGTTACCTCCTTGCCACTTCCAAGACGGGGTTCACTAAGTATGGCTTTTCCTGATGTTTGTTCTCTGGCTGATATATAGTATCGTAGAACGGATATGACACTGCGGGCGCTCGTAAGATACATCATCCACACAGGATGCTTGACGAGGTGCGGGTCTCGCATCATTTCTTTCACTAGCCTGCCACTGATTCCCAACTTTTGAAAGTATTTGCTCGATAGCGTGTATCGTCGCAGTGAGTATCCTCTATGGCACTTACAACATCATGTGACTTATCGCTTCCTGCAGCTTGCAGTAATGCCAGACAACTTCATCTACCTCGGATTCGAGTTTCTACTGTCCAAATGTAAGCTTTGTTAGCTTCGTTTCGCATGCAGAAAGCTTATTTGACGCCCTTAGTATATGTGAACTCCTATTTCGCCTTGCTGAACGCGCGTTATTACTATGATGGAAGCGCACGCACTTCACAAAGCCGACTCCCGCATGTCTATCGCCCAGATTTACATAGCAACACTTCGGAGGATGGATTTCCCCGAACCTTCAAAGCGGACAAGTTCCATTCAGACGGGATGTGTTCATTCCATTGCAACCATAGAGATGGAGTTATAAACCATGAGGTCACGTCAGTCTAACGGCACCTCTCGCGAGCTTGGTTATTGGTAGACCAGATTTCTGAATATTTAACGCGCCTTTACTACATTGTCGGTTTCTTGGAATAACAGACTAGCGACAGCTCGCTGGTGTAACTTTATCCCGAACCCGCTTTATCCGTCGGCCTGAAAATTCAGCACGGAGATATGTTTCGTAAGTCGATTCGGGTTCAGGCTGTCCACCACAACCATGCCATCCTGTTGGGAGATGTATGGCCACTCCTTACGCGACGACCTGCTGATGCCTATGTAGTAGTACCACCTCGAGCATATCCCGCGGATCCTGTGTATTTTGTACTATCTTTGTTTTGAACGATACCATATCCAACTCACAAACGCGACAATGATCAAGTTAATTAATGCTCGCCTTGTGCGTTCAGAGTCGGGGAATAGGGAAGGGAAGGTCATACACTTGACATGCCGGTCCGTTCTACCGATCGGCATATTATGGCACCCAGTCACAAGTATACTTATATTAATTATCTCCGATGTACTTTACCGATTGGTCTCCATGGCTTCCATCTTGATCTCGGCGTATACTCATTGCTCCATTGTCGATTTGCTGACCCCGGAAGCTTCACTGGGCGGCGTTTGCGCAGCATTTTGGGCACCCAAAATTGATGAAGGCTATGTACACAGACTCATTCATCATGTCAACATGCCTCACTTGCACGGCGTTAATCAAGCTACAGAAGCTTCGCACGACCACAGGTCTTATCAGGGGCTGTATACTATGAAAATGTCTTCAAGTTGAAACTTGATGCGGGTTTCACTCTCAGAACAAGGATAAACTACAAAGTGGTTCATGACCGCCTTACTGCTATAACTCTCGCTTGGGAGATCTGGATTCTAGCATGGCAGCCAGGGCCAGGCGGACCCCCCATTTATCTAGCACGATGGTTCAAGGTATGCTGGCTCTTGTAAGCATTTCTAGGGCTTGTCACAGGTGCTACGGTTGACTGCGTAATCGCACTTGCAAGCATGTCTCGATACCTTGCATGTCGCTTTCGTCAATTACACGATATACTATTATCTGATCGCCAACTACGTAAATCCACTAGTACTTGCTGAGTGCATTTGGAGCATTGAGGTGCCCAATGATCGCGACCACTATTGTCCCCTTCTAATCTCATCACGAGCAGGCGCTAACACTTATGGACACGAGTTAGAACAAGCGAGCTATTGCGTGACATATTTCATTTCATGGCTTCTTAGGTACTTATTTTCTATAGCGTGCACCTGTGAGTATTACCTTGGTCAGTGGATTTTCCATGCTGATCTACTTCCGCATAGTCTGTATCTGCAGCGGATATGGATAAGTATGCATCTTCTGAGGCTACGATCACATTGATGAACTCGCCTGATCGTCTTAGTTAGCAAAGGGAGAACCCGAATTTTGCCTGCTCATGGCAAGTGCCCATGTCATAGCTCGTCTTCTACTCTGAGAAGACCATAAGACGGTATCCGTTGCCCTATCTCAGGCAAGCATATAGATAGTGCCATGAAATTCCAGCCCACTTTACGCCATGTGTATCCCCCAGGTGTTACCACCAGTGAAGTACAATGCGAATTTTTGTCAATCTCTTGCTGACCCCTATTTCTCTCCAGCTCTGCTCTTGGTAAATGTGTAAATCAACGTCTCGCTGCGGTAATTAGTTTTCTCACCCAATACATTAATCTAGATTCAAGTGCCATTGTTTTTCGGACTTGGAGAACATTCGGTGGTCCGTCTACCTGAGTTTAGGCATGGGCACACTGGTTGACTTTCTCATTTCTTCTTCATTGTGTTACCTCCTTGCCACTTCCAAGACGGGGTTCACTAAGTATGGCATTTACTGATGTTTTGTCTCTGGCTGATATATGGTATCGTAGAACGGATATGATATTTCGGACGATACATTATCCACACAGGATGCTTGACGAGGTGCGGGTCTTGCATCGGCCTGCCGCTGATTCCCAACTTCCTAAAGTATGGGCTCGATAGCGTGCATCATCACGGTGAGCGTTCCCTATGGCACTTATCGCTTCCTGCAGCTCGCAATAATGTAGGTGGCCTTTAGGCGAGTTAAACGAACTTACCCCTATTTCTCGTGTCTGATGGTGGCACAGTCCATGTCAGATACCGAAAAAGATGAACGAGATCAAGCTTGGCGCAGTCTCCTCACAAAAGGTAGAGGTACTCAAAGGCAAGAGCTGGCAGGCGTGGAAAAATGGCATCACGCGTGTACTACGCCTGTGTCAGGTCTTCGAGTACGTCGAAGGGCAGGTTCCGCAGCCTGACCCAGACAATAAAAATGACACTGAGACATGGAAGCGGAATGACTTACATTCTCAGTTTCTCTTTCGGAACAATATCAGTGATGAGGAGATGATGCACGTGTATGAATGCAATACTGCCGCCGAGATGTGGAGGCATCTAAAAGCCGCACACCATATCGTCGAATGGCAGGCTATTAGTATTGGCACACGTGCACTCTATCGAGAACGTACTCAGGACAAGAACATACCTGAGCACCTCAATAAGATGATGAGACTGCGGTATAAACTGCATCAAATGGGGCACCATGTCCCAGATGGCACATTCAGGTGGCTCCCCGCTACCTCCTTGCCAGCCTCGTGGGACTCCTTATCAGAGTCATATCTGGTGAAAAAAGGAGATGCCAAGGAAGGCGAGGTGCAGTGCACGTCTCAAGAATTGATCTCCGTCATTATCAACGAGTGGAATTGTCGCAATTGTCAAGGGTTGTTGAGCACCAAATGATTTGCAAAAGAGGCTGTACTTGAAGAGAAAGTGTTCGATCTGCGGATCTGGAATAAGAGTGCTGGAAATTGGGACACTGAGCTGCGGAATGTCGGGGTAATGCAAGGTCCGCCAGGTATGTCGAAAGAGGGAGGGATTATTAGTGCAATTGTTGTGCCATTCGTACTCAGCCTTCGAAACTTGATTTCGTTTTGTTAAAAGGCAAAGGAACGAGCTACCCATGTATTGTTTCTGTTTTCCTGGCTCGCCAGACTACTTGTCGACTATACGATCGGCTGCGGATGATGGGTTCGAAGCGATGGGATGCTGCGAAATCACTGGACCTTGCAGTATGATTATAAAGAAAATACAGGAAAAGCAACGATTACGAAAAACCACAGGTTAAATTTTTAGCACGTCGGTACGTCGGGAACAAGACTAATAGCGGCGACCGCCGCGGGTTCCTCCCCCAGGTCCTTGGTACGGTCCATAATCCGGAGGTGGACGACCACCACCTGTGTATGAATCAGAAGATAAGTCCACTAAGATTAATCGGAATACGCACCTGTGCGGGCAGCAGGCGGCGCGGTCACGGGCGGCGGGGGCGGTGGGGTAGCACGTCTGGTAGCGCTAGGAATCACAGCATTGCGTAATAACATCATCAGATCGTCAGTTCGGAACACGGGGCCTAGAACATCTCGGCATCAGTAATTCCTCAGTTTGAAAATGAGCGTGACTAACCATCAAAGGAACCTGCGTTAGGCAGCTGTCCAACAAACCACGAAATAACAGCGGGTAAAGTAGACGCCTTGTCATCTTCGCGATCTTTCTTGACATGCTGCAATTCTCTGTCGCGCTCTCTTTCCCAGCCTGCGGGGCTTCCGAATCGCTTTCTAGGAGGACCTTCCCACCTCTCTCGATCACGATCGCGAACTGGAGGAGATGACGGTCTCTGCCGCTTGCTAGGTGGACCAAAGTCAGGTCTAGCAGAGCCCTCGCGTCTCTTGTAGTCCGGAGTTGAGGCTCTCTTTGTAAGTGGCTGACCGGTTGGCATGTGCGAGGCTGAGCTCAAAGAGAGCATAGAGTCTGTACGTTTTTCGATAGAATTCGACGTGCTAGCCGAACCTAGTGCAGCAGGCTGACGAGCTGCCATGGAAAAACCCAGATCCCGTGCTGCAATGGCATCAGTTCCCAGATATGTATGTCGTTGAGCAAACCGTTTGATGGGCGGATCTTGAGAGAACGGTGAGCTTCCGCATCCGCATTCAAGCCTGCATGCGCGTACCAGAGGGATAAACTTCAGCGATTCTCTTTTCAAGCTTCTGTGCTGCCTCAAGATCACCATACTGGTACTCATAACGCGCCCACCTTTCCCAAAGGGGACGAGCACGCTCAGGCGGGAAATTTGTGATGACCCGTTCAAAAAGAGCTCGAGCGTCTAAGTGGGGAAATATTGAGTGGAAGAACAGCACTTGAAAATGGAACGCAACTGTTCTCGTCGTTCACAGATATCAAAAATCCGAGATATCTCAGAACAAATTCAATCTCGTCACCGTAAGTTTCCAAACCTTTCTCAAAGATACGTGATGCCACGCCGGTACCACCATCCTTGTTGCAGTGGTATTCCATCAGAGCTGGAGAGGGATCTTCGTTAGTTACGGCTCTAACTTGCAGGCCTTCAACGTACCAGCAGCTTCATACACCTCCCATGGTGTCCATCGATCACGCCTAGCTTTCGCAAAAACTGCACGAAAAGTCTTGAGGTCCAGAGCACGGCGTGCAAACCGAATGTACATGATCCAAACAACACCATATTCTTGTCGTCGGTCGGAGAGTTCTTTGACTTTTGGAGGCTTCTCATCGGAAGCTTGAGTGGCAAAGGACGACGTATTGGAGATCGTTCCAGCCTCTAACGACCCTGAACCATTCCCAGCTGGAGCACTCGTGGGCACAGCACGACCGAAGCCATCAGACGTAAAAGACGAGTTGGCGGAATTAACACGATTTTCGAGCTCATCCAACTCAACACGCAAGACGTCAAGGAACTTGTCGAACGTCGTAGTGACCTCAGCGTGTTCCTTGCGGGACTCTTGCAGCTCACAGTATGCAAAGTGGAGGAGGAAGCTGGTAGGATTGGCTTCCATGCCAGACTTGAGGGTATTCAGCGCCTCTTCCGTCTTACCCACGCTGTTTGTCCACACGAAAGCCATATACCTGTACAGACGGTGAGCTATCTATTACATAGTGAAAATTGGAGACAAACCATATTTCCGCATAGAACCTCATTCGTATAGCAGCTTTGCGATACACGCCCTGTATACGTGAAATAAGGGTTGCTTTATCCTTGTCCTCAAACTCGAGTGGGTTGCTCTCTTCCCACTTCAAGTACGTTTTCCAAGCCCCGACAAGTGCCCTTTCAGCCGCATTGAATGTAGGAGTAGGAGGTAGGTATAAATGTGGTCGTACTGACGAAGAGGCTGGCGGCGGAGGGAACAGTGGTCCGAGGTGACGTTGGAGCTGACGAAGTACTGTACGAGCCTGCATGTAAGATGGGGATAGATCTGACATGAACTTCTTCGCCTATACCACTGTTAGCACAAGATCGAGTGATCAGTAAAAGTAACTCACTGTTATCTTATTCAGGCTATTCTCGAAAGTCTCGAGTTCTGACCAGAGCCTTTCGACATTTTCAAGAGGGATTTGAACAGCACGATGGTAAACCTTGCGCAAGGCATCCATTTTTTGCTGTTCTTCCCATGTTGTGGTTGTCTGTGGCGGGCGTCAGTGGCACATTATCTGTGGCAGGACAACAACGAACCTCTCCAGCCTTAAGGAATTGAATATAATCACTCCAAATATCCCCGCTATCTTTGTCTTGGCCTATACGGCTCAAGGCGAACTCGTATGCTTTGCTAACGGCTTCGCGACTTGCTGGTGATGTATTAACTCGTCTAGGCAAGGAGTTCAATACATGTGGGATTGGCGTGCACGCATCACACTGACCTGACGTAGGTGAGATAGAACTTCCAAAGGTCAACTAGAGGAGAGGATCTCAGGAATCTTCTGAAGAGTTCTTCGGCATACGGGAAAAGGCCAGGACTCAGGAAATGGTTGAGATAGGCAATTTGAGCTGACGACTTGATATTGTGACATATGTCAAGGTTAAGGACTGTCGAGTGCAAGGCTGGAAGATGCATACCGTGTTGGGATAGACTTCGAGCAGAGCTTCATAGGTCTGTTTTATTTGTTCAATTTCACCGCGCGCCTCGGCGAGGTCGACGAGTTTGTTCCAGCCTTCTGGATCATGAGGTTGCTCACGCAGCTTCTCGCGCAGGACATGCCATTCAGACGGGGTTTCTTGACTCGGAGTATCTTGCCGGGCATTGACTTGCTGAGCTGGAGGTGGCTCGTGCCCGTTTTGAGCGGTTGTCTGGTTGAGGGCGTTCAGGGCATTCAGAATCTCTTCGTTTGGCTGAGTCTTGTCTCCAATATATTCGGTATCGTTCGTTGCGACTTCTGTTGGTGTTTCGATATCGACTATACTGTCCTGATGTTCCTCAGACATGTCCGTCATGAAAACGAAAAAAAAGAATAGTTTGGAGGAGAGTTCATCCTACACAACAACTCCCCCGGCTGCTATTTCCCACGGTTTTGTTCAATCATCGACATCGATCACTGTCTGCCAGCTAGAATTCGTGTCATGCCTCTGCAAGGAACTGGACATGGAAAACTTGTTGGCGACGAGGCACCGTACTTTGAGTCTCTGGCAGAGCTTGATCAATGGGCTAGTCTCCCCCATGAAAAGTTGATGGCTGTCTTGGACTATCAGGCCCGTCCTCAGCACGTAGAATCATCTGAGAAACACAGAGGGAAGCTTTTGGTGAAGAAGCAAAACTCATGCTCTTCCACGATACCTCACTGACCCTCCATCAAAGGTGTGCCACGATTATAAAGTCAGTAGGTGACTCGATTGATTTATGTCATGATCAGACGTAAATGAAATGACTCGGTCTTCCATTCTGCACAGGGAGGGTATACAGAATCTCCTTCCGGCCTGTGCTATACATTCAATTTTTGGCCTCTTTGTGACACATTTGTATAGTACGTATCGTGATCTAACTCAACTGATTATCTTATCACATATCATCACTTGCGCCAGCTTCTCGCATCACAGAGTTACTGTTCCTCCATCAGGATGGGTCAATGCTGCACATCGGCAGGGGGTCAAGATGCTCGGAACAATGTGAGTGTCCACAAAGCACTGGATGGCGCTCACTCCGCTCACCCCATTGCAGAATCTTTGAGGGATCTGGAGAAGCTGATTGCCTCCAGCTGATAGTAGGATGTCCTCAAGCGGGCGCAGGCCCAGCTTTACGTACAGATTCGATCCCTTTGTCAAAGCACTATGCCTCTGTCTTGGCAGAGCTTGCTCGTCAGCGTGGATTTGACGGCTATCTCCTCAATGTTGAATGTCCGCTTCAAGGGGGCCTGGAACAAGCGCGGGCCCTCGCCGGATGGATTTTACTCTTGAGATCCGAGCTCGTAACCAAAGTTGGTCCCCATGCCCAAGCTATTTGGTAAGACCAAGGCGGATCAAAGGTCTATATTAAATCATACTTACCCAACTTATCACAGGTACGATAGTGTGATATTCAATGGTCAACTGAGGTGGCAGGATCGATTGAACAGTCTGAATCTGCCATTCTTCCTCTCGTCTGATGCCTTCTTTACGAACTATACCGTAAGTGGGCGTTCGCGTTCGCTGTCTTTATCTCAAAGGTATTCTATAAGTGGCCGCCATCTTTTCCAGCTCTCACTGCCCAGTATTTCATGAGCTTGGATCCAGTGCTCATCAGTGATGATACGAAGGGGTCTTCGCTCTCCTCCGCGAAGTCTCTTCAGAGCATCTTTACAGGGGTCGATGTTTGGGGCCGAGGATCGCACGGTGGAGGAGGATTCGGTTCCTACAGGGCCATGGCGCATATCGATCCGAAATCGCTCGGCCTGAGCGTCGCCCTTTTCGGGCAAGCATGGACATGGGAGAGCGAACAAGACAAGCCAGGTTGGAACTGGGATCAATGGTGGGAATATGAGCGCAAATTATGGATCGGTCCCGCAGACCCTCATGAGGTGGTCCCCGTGCCTGATGCTCCCGGACGTCCTGGAGAGCCTGAATGCCCTCACGGCGCGTTCAAACCAGCGTCGTCATTCTTTGTACATGCCACCCCTCCTGACCCTGCCCAGCTCGTCTTTTACACATCCTTCTCTCCAGGAGTTGGGCGTTCGTGGTTTGTCGAGGGTGTGAAAGTTCTTCAGACAGAGGACGGTTGGACTGATGTCGACAAGCAAAGTTCCCTTGGGGACTTGGTATGGCCACGACCATCGTTAATGTGGGAAGACGATGGCCGGTTAGAACCTCCCCCTTCAGCGTTGTCCATGGTGGACATGAGGGATGCATGGAATGGAGGGAATACTCTTAAACTTTCCATTTCTTGTGCTGGCAGTACGGCCGATGATGCATTTTTCCGGTGCATCTGGCTACCTGTGCAGTCCTTGAATGTGACTTCGCGTACGTCATATGACGTTAACATCGTTTACAAGACTGTCGCTTGTGAGGGTACCGACCTTGACCTTGGACTTTCTGTGAAGCCGTTGATGACGGGCGGTGGAGATCTCTCAGAGGTCAACGTTGGGGCATCCACTCAATTTGATCTCAAGAACGGTTGGACCAGACAAGTTCTTAGCTTCTCCCTCCCTCCCGGCACGACTAATGCATCGATTGCCGTAGGCTTGATCATCGGTTTTACTGCCGAAGATCCATCTCAGTCACTTGATTTTTCAGTCTCGTTAGGTCAACTAGCTGTATATCCTTCTTCCACCACCCACGTATCGAAGGGAACCCCCGGCATTTTGTGGACGAAATTCAAGAGCACCACACCCCTCACCTTCCCCTCAACTGGTCTCAGTGGGCTCCTCACCTGGGACATCTCATCCTCTTTCCCACGTCTCACTCCGCGGATGATATCCTCACCCGAAGACCCGAATCCTGTGTGGATTCTAGACGATACTAATGATCGATTCCCCTCATTCCTCTATTTCAATGTCTACGTTAACCCGCACCCCCGCTCAGGAAGTATCGCGGGGCCCGCGGCTGCGATATTCATTGGAACGACAGGTTTAGATGGGCGTGCTTATAGATTTTATGTGGACCCGACGATCTTGCCGAAGAGTGTGATGGATGGGAGAGGGTTACGCTTTTATGTACAAGGAGTTACTGACAAAGGCGATATCTTACCATGGGAGATGTGTGCGCACGTGGATTTCATGTTCAACCTCAGAGGCCGTTGATGACCGTGCAAGACGTTGAACACGTACCATACTGCGAGAGGAATTGTTTGTCATGTATTTGTACGTTGCTTGTTGGTTGCTTGTTGGTTGCTTGTTATAAGAATGCGATGTTGGATCCGCAGAACTTTTTTGCACGACACACAGCACCCTACCCCATCTCATAGCTTAACAGAGGCTTATATCAGTATTCAAGCAAGCGTAAGGATCTGATCACATTTGACCTCACGGCCACAGACTTAAAGGTGCGATATGATGGTCGAGAGAGAGAACTTGTCATACATCTTAATGGTCCATCTTGACTCGTCATTTCAACGTCTAACGCTTTGTCTTTCGCGTTCATTGCACCTATAATAGAGCCCGCGCAAAAGTTGCTCACCACCTTAATTGAGAAATGTAAGAAGCACACGGTGGACCAATTCCTCTCGTTTCAAGAGCTTACAAATAATCCATAAGCTGTTTGCGAATGCTATCTTGTGAGGAGACAGGCAGGTGCATACCAATCCATAAGTTATTTGCGAATCCTTTCTCGTGAGGAGAGAGGCGGGTGCATCCCATCCATTACACTCAGGAGACGGAATCCATTTCCATCGTCACCGCAATCGGATGCTGTGGAGCGTGTCATTTAGCTCGTTTTCATCGACAGTAATGCAACTACCAACCATGGCGGCAGCATGAACGGGCCGAGTGAGATGCAGCACTTCATCGCTATGTTGTCTAATTACATTCTTCTGGGATGCAGGAAAGTTCTCATCTTGCGACGAAGAAATGCACAGCTCAGGGCGGTAAACACCATGGCGGTTATGGAATTCTGAAGAATCAATATTGTCTGCATTGGCCTGTAGGCAGTATCGCGCATTCAGGAGCGCAATGTATGAGTTGACACATACTGGAAACGGTACCAGTGGTTAGCACAATCATGAGAGAACACTTTGGTCATACATTTCGTCACCAAAAATTCAACACCGAGGAAGACGAAGTTTTTCGGCATCACTGCGCACTGTGGAAGACACTCAGAGACGAGACAAACATTATGACAATTAGAACCTCACTGTAATGATAGCTGTCAATGAAAACATACTGTATGAAATATCAGTCTAAGGCATGAAGTAGGTGGGAGAGGGAATACCTTGTCACGCAGCCGGTACTGATGGTATAACCCACCAGCTTTGTCACGAAGGAATCGGTGCTAAGCACTCCACGTTAGTATATCAGATTCTGACAGGGAAAGGACTGCTCCTTACCTAGAGAACCCAATACGGGAGGTAGCGAGGAGATAGCATAGCGATGATGCAATAAGAATATCGAGAAAACTGATTGTGCCTAACGTCGAGTATGTCGCCCAATCGATTTTTAGTAAATCCGCGAACCTGTGACACCGATACCTACTCGCTATTAGCACTTCGTGGAGTTAGTACATGTACAGTATTTCACTTACACTGCCCAAATAAGACCTATCATTGGTTAGGGTAATTCAATATATAACAAGAATGCCATTCAACGCTCACTCATGGCAACACCTGAAGATATCCTCAAGATCGAGCGAGGAGCATTTATAGCTGACAAACTTACCTGAACCTAGGACCACGATTGCGCCCTACACAGAGTGGATTGACAGAATGGAAGGCATCTTACGTGAATATCAATTGTAAACCCACCACTGTCATAGGAAGAGCTCTTGATCGGCCCCTGCTGACTATGTTTGTCGCATTAGTTGTGGGAAATACATTGATAGGGAACAAATACCTATCCATATGCGATGAACGTATAGGCTACGAACAAAGAAAGCATTGAGTGCATGTTTCATATAACATAGTACACATCGAACTTACAGATGTACCCCCAAATTGTGAGCATCTGCAAAATGCATGTCTGGGACGGATCACAGAGCATAGGAATTACAACTGATGTCGACTGGGATCTGAAGCTACACGAGTCCATCAATATGCCAGTAGAGGCTACTCGGAGGGACAAAGTAGGAACTCACTTGGACACTCCATACAAGTTCTGGGAGCGCAGCAGTGTTCGCGTAATTGATAACCAAATAATAATAATAATAATAGATGCCATGGACAATCAAAGCCAAGTGCAGAGCATCAAGGGTCCTAAAATTTCAGAGTGCAGTATATGATCTCGACAGGTTCGATGATTGCAACTCGAAGTGATACCTGCCAAACCCAAATAACCTGAAATGGCTTCAAGAATAGAGCTTAGAAAAAAATAGCATAGACATACGACCAGTTTATAGAATGGCATCCCTGTGCCTCTGTGTCTGAAAGTAGATAAAAGTTTGAACGTTTGTTACACCAAAGAGACTGTTCCGCAAGATGTTACGCCGACAGGAAATGCTCAACTTTGCCTGCATACTGGTGAGAAAATGGTGGACCAACAGTGTTGCGAGAATAACTCCGATAAAAAGCGCCCCATACGTATTCCCGAGGTCAAGTTGTGGAATGATGACGTCTGGCGTTGAGGAAGACATTGTTGACTGAGGCAAATCTGGTCAGCAACAGTAATTTGATCTTACTATGTATCCACCGGCGAGGCTGTAAAGCAATAAATCATGGCTCCTATTTTCCCTAGTGCTGATGGTGGGGGCACATCCATATGGCGAGGCATAGCCCCGCGTGTGGAAGAAGGGCTAAAACAGTATTGATGTCGGAATGTACCATTATGGTGCTTTTTCGTTTGATCGGATCGCCTGTATTCCGTATGATCCATCAGATGCAGAACTACAGAAGGTACTTCCCAGACAGCAAAGTGAAGGAAGATCTAGGAAGTGGAGGAGCTCGTCGTAAATGTATCGATCATTGCAATGGATTGCCTGAGAGTCAGCACTCCTACATAGGATCATATGTGGGCGTGTTACCGATCATAGCAGCTGATCCATTTAAAAGCATCAGAACACCTTGGGGAGATCATAATGTGATGACGGACGTCCTAAGCTGTGATTCTGAAACTTTGCACATCGTGCCGTAAACCTGGGCCGGATTCGGGAAGATTCAAACTGTGCGAACGACTTTGACGACTCCCTGAGCTCTGAGAGTGACATCGCTACAGATTCCTTCGATAGCTCAGGCTATTCCACCCTTGAGTGGTACTAGCGTTGTGAATAACTATGAAGGCGGCCAGTATAAAGTGAGTTAATGAGGCGTTGGAGAGAGGGATCGTCAAACTATTTCCTGAACTTACATGTGTTTTGTTTTGACCTTTGACTCGTATAGCTGGGACTCGTGATTTCACTGTTTCGTCTTTGAATCCGGAGACGTATTTATACCATCTCTTTAAATTTGTTACCCTCACACTGATTACCCCACGCACCCCACGCGATCACTGCGCCACTTGAAAGAAATGACATAAAAAATTAGCCATTATTTCCGCCCACCATGCAGTGATCAGCTCACCCTCGCGAGTCTTCAGTTGCACTCGAGCCTGGGCAAATGTCAGCTGATGATAACTCAAAGATAACAATAGATAGCAGTCAGATGAACACCAAATCAAAACAGATCAGTACTTGATATGGATGATCATTTTGTACATCGGACCTAGTTTGCAGTGGGATCCACTGGACGTGCGTACTGTGTGCGTAAAAGATCACACCACGGTGAATCTCTGTCAGCGTAAACGAATACGATACCAAAGAACAATTCCCCTCAGTCATCTACTTCAATATCTACGTCATCCCGCACCTCCGCTCTGGAAGTGTTGCGGGGCCCACGGCCGCGATACTCATTGGGAGGACGGGTCTAGATGGGCGTGCTGATAGATCTTATGTGGATTTGACCATCTTGTCGAGGAGTGTATAATGGATGGGAGAGCGTTCACTGCGATTTTATGTGCAAGTAGTTACTGACAAAGTTTTCAATACTATGGGAGATGTGTGCACACGTGGGTGTGTTCAACGTTCAACGTCAACGTCAATCGGAGGCCATTGATGAATCGACGACCATGCAAGGAACTGCTTGTCAAGTTGTGTATTTGCACGTTGCTTGTACAACGAGACGTTTTGATCCACGGAGCTTCATGGCATGATGGGCAGCACACTGCCTCATAGCTAATAGAGGCTTGAAGCAATGTTACGGGTTCTGATTGAGGATTAGTCATTGTGCTGCCTTCGTTTTCTACGCGTTGTATTCTGTCATAATGTAAGTAGGACTCGCCGCCGAAAATTCTTCCAACTTGACGGCGAGCGTTGGTGCCCTCGGGAGTTACCGGGACAGTGTTCATCCGCTCCCGCCCCGCCGCCTTTCTCGTTGCCCTCACCTTTCTCATGATGTTCCATCACAAAGCAGTGAGGGGGTACTTATGGAGAGTCACATCGACACGCCAAACCATGTCACTGTGCGGTTGGGATTCCTTGGAGGGTTAATCCCATATAATTTGTGTCGGAACCCTGGTGTACAGTCCGACAGCAGGTTACCCATGCATGTACGCCTGTAACTTGGGATCTGGAAGTGGGAGTGGGTGGAAGAGTGGAAGAAGAAACCCATCCGTTGTCCATCTGAAGTTTCGAATTCAGCTGATTCCCGACTGCCTTGCGTACCACCTTATTTCATAAAGTAAAGACAACTGTCAAGTAAGTACCATTCTCCATCATCAATATTACCGACGGCCGGATTACATCAGTTTTATGGCCATAAATGAATATTGACGCCCTCTCCCCATCTCTCAGGGTAAATCGGCTGATTCAACCATGTAGACGATGTTCTCGATATTGCTAGATATCGGGTTGGTATTAAAATTCGTATGCTTGCAGTTCACATGTTCTGAATTGTTTATCCGCCGACCCTGCAGTGGTTCTGTCTATGCTCTCACCCTGAAATCCCCCAGACGCAACCATCTGAAAGAACTGCCGAGTACTTCGCAAAAAAATATTATTTTCTAGGACATAAAAGCAAGCCATCTTCTATCTACTGCCAGTATTAGGGCTATTATTCGAGATTCCCCTTGACGCATCCCATATTACCTAGCATAAGCCATGCGCTCCTCATTTCTTCTCGCTGTTGTTGCTGCGTTGACAACATCTATGTCTGTCGGTGCAAAGGAGTACTGCAGATCTTCCTACGAGGCTTGCAGCGGCCCCATGGCGCCGCTCGGCTACCCATGCTGCTCGGGTCTCGCTTGTAAGAAGGATGTGAGTATGAGTTGTTGTATCCTACCCCATGACTCACCCTTTGTGCATTGTACCAACAGCCTGAGGATCCCTTCAACACCGTCCACTACTGCAGGTAACCCTCTCAGACTGAGCATGTCGCGACAGTGAGTCGTGTTTCTGCTTTCGCGTCGGTACAGTGGTTGATCGCACGACATGCAGTTCCTTGCGCAGTTGATCAATATGCTTACTTCTCCACAAGTTTCCCTGCTGCCTCGACTAGGCTCTTGAATAACATTAGAAAACCCTCCACATGAATTCTGCAGCATTGATATAAGACACCTATGAACTCGACTTCCGTACATTTTTACGCAACTGCACAAGTTAATACTACATGCGGATATGGCACTATTCAAAGTCGATGATGACGCGGGGGAGGAATCATTCGAGATATGGCTGTCTTTGTCGTAGTATATGCAGACTAGCATAACTGGATGCCTCCTAGATATGTCGTTCATTTCGGTAATATTGTGCTTTTGTGCTCCGAATATGTACATGTTGGCGTGTTCCTTCGGGGGCCGTGCTTCAATTGATGAACTCTGATCGGTGAGGCACGGACAAACAGCGGGGTACTCTGAGCCCTCAGCAACGGTTCGATCATGCAATTGTGGTAATCCGCCTCTTGTAATGAGCATACGATATAATACAAATATCTCGGGGGAATATTCCATGCGGGTATTGTCGAAGTATGAATGAAAATGCGTCAGAAATACCCATGTTTTGAAATGCATATAGCTACAATATCTCTAGCGTCCTGACATCCATCATGTCACGAACAGAAGCCATGTCCTTGACTTGCGCGATGATATTGTTATCCAAAGCAATCCTCTTGTACTCTCCACCCCGTTGCTGCGCTAGCAAAAGTGCGCCAAAAGGTTGTCCCAAGCGAGCAATCAACCTCAATTCTCGTGAGTGAGGCTCTGTATCAACAGGTTCATCATCCCCAGGATACCAACCGAGCGAATCGTCTAGTGGAGACTCAGGCATAGACTCGACCATGTCCTGCGCATCATCTGCGAAGTCAGGTAGCTCGAGATCATCCCGATTCCATGGACGGATGAGCAAGAATGTCTGCCGAGTGGGTCTTGCAGGCGAAAATTGAATCAGCTTGTATTCGGTAGTGATTAGCAGGTTGTGAAGACTGTCTGCCTTCACATCATACGTGAAGCATAGCTCCCGGTCTTGACCACGCCTCCGCCTGATTTCTGTGACAGGAAATGTGATGCAAGGCAGATGCAGTCTGCGGTGGTCGAAACGAGGAGCGCTCAGGTGGTCAAGCCGGGTATACAACATCAAAGCCTGTTCCTCAACGGCAGCATCTTGCAGTGATGAGACCAACGTCTGTATGCGATCTTCAGATAGGGGTGGTGGCGTGCATGGCAGAGGTTTGTATGAGGAAATTTCAGCCGGAAGACAGCTATTGAACTCGGATGATTTTCCTACCCAGTCCAGGGCTGTAATGTCGCCCGACTGAGCAACAATCTCCTGCAAGAGCCGACCGAGCGCATTTTGTTTTGTCTCCCCATAGATGACAGGTAGGTGGACGCCGAAAATGCCGAACAATGAGTATGCGATGTCCTCCTGCAGGGTCGTGGCGCGTGTCGATGCCCATTGCAATTTCTCTCGCACATCCTTCATGCCTGGACGGAAGGCGGCAAGGGCCTGTGCATCTATGCCTGTTGAATCCTCCAATTCCTTCATGACTCCTTGTGGTTGGGAGAGCGGTCGTTGGGATATGGGGTCTTTCCGGTAAAATGCTGTGGCATTTCAATGATTTCATTCAATTCGATAGTCACGCGTCACAGCAACCTGTGTTTTGTCCGAATTTGGACGTCTGTCACAGGTCATAGGTCATCGTGTCGAATCAATTGTACAATGCGGTCGTGTGCCCATTGCAGTTTCTCTCGCGCACCCTTCATACCTGGACGGAAGGCGGCAAGGGCCTGTGCATCTATGTCTGTTGAATCCTCCAATTCCTTCATGATAACGACAGAGTCCTTGTGGTTGGGAGAGCGGTCGTTGAGATATGGGGTCCAGTCTTTCCGGTAGAATAGAATGGTATTTGGAGCGAGAAACTCCTGAACAGTCCATCCTCGCGTGTTCCAAGCGCTGTTTGCGAGTGCGCCCGACTGTACTGAAGGCGGAACATCCGACAAATAAACGATCGTAAGAGCTGACTGACGGTACCAGACAAACATAGAGTTGACTGATCGTTGGAGCTCAACGTTGTTATTCTGGTCGATGCAGCATGTATCACTCCATGCCCAGTGGTGCCCTGCATCACGAGCGATTTGGCAGAATGTCTGCAACATCGCAGTGGTTCCGACTGGATCCAAATCGTACACAGGCTTACCCTGGACGTCGTGCAGCAGTAGCTCCTTGCTTTCCCACCTGTGCGATAACATCACCCAATCGAAGTGCCTCGCGACCGCTGCTCTGATGGGCACCGTCTGGACGGGCGCATGCATCATCGATGAATACAAAATCTCCTTGTGCTCTGGGCTTTCCATAAAGGCTTGTCAATGGCTCTTCGAATCGCGTCTTCGACATCAGATGGACTGACATACTGCTGACGCAGCTCTGCAGAAAGTGTTAATCATTTTCTCGTTGACATATGAGGGGTTCGGGCTTACTTCTCCTAGTACTGACACTCGCCATCATCCACCGTGATTAGCTCTAGCAGCTGTTTATCTTTCCTGCCAGCGCATGGCCCTATGCTCGATGCTTATATCCTATGTAGTAGACGACTGATGCTTTGTTTTCTTGATTGCACCTAGGTCGGGCAGCAATTGCAAACCATTGATCGAACGCCACAGGTATGTCTTGTATGCGCCACCTTCGTAACATCATGCCTGACGTTCATTACTCTACCATGGTTAAGTTTTCACAGCTAACTCCAGCGTGCACCCGAGCCAAGATTTAAGATTTGATGGCAACGCGAAGGAAGCAACCGAAAGATACTTACTGGCCACGTTCGCCAAGGCTCTCAGGGATTTGATTATCTCTCCACCCTGTTCGCCTCCTCAGCATGCCAATCATCCCGGTGTGGTCGCTGGCCCACAGTGGTTCTGGCACCCCGCCTATGTTAACTCAATACCCTCGTTGCTTCGCAAGCTCGAGTGTGAGGTGAGAAAGTACGCTCTAATCTCACCCCCGGCCCAGGGTTCGGCTACTAACATCGTGCCATCTTCAGGGCATCGGCGGTCGCTGCCGTCCACGTCGGAACTTTGTGGATGGCTCGGGACGTGGAACTTGGGTCCCCTGTTTTTGAAACCGAGGACGCCCGCTAGCTAGCTTAGGCTCCTGGTTGGGTGGAGGTTGCAGGTGTTTTTCTGACGTTCCACTCTGTTCACCCCTCAGCCCGCTGGGTCCGGGGATGGCATCGTCAAGAATTCATGGCGCTTCCTCGCAAAGAACCTGAAGAGACGAGGTCGTCAGTATTCAGCCCATTCCGGTTCACAAGGGAACGAAACAACGATGTCGACAAAAGACACATTCCGGACAATGGCAGAGAAGAATAAAGACACGGGCAAGGTGAGCATGTCTTCTTCTGACTTCCTGGTTCTTGTCCTCTGTGAGGGCTTGATATATCTGAATATCCGGGTCGTCGGTCCCGCGCCCAGAATTTTTTCCTCTTCGTCCATTTTGTGAGTGACTGTCTCCATTTTCACTGTGGCCCCGGACAACTTCAGCAACTCGACGATGAGTCTATGACCCAGAAGTCTATTGAAACATGACTTATACCGTTTCCTTCCCAGTCCGCAACAAATCGTTTGCCTCTGGGGTGTATTGGATTGAATGACCTCTGGCTTTCATGGGATGATCAGAATACTTTATATATATATTGCGCGAAGTTCTCTGATAGTAAGACTGATGCTTGAAGCCAGAACAACTGCGTGAAAGCGTTGGATTGCAATGTGTTGATGGAGCAAAGCCCGAGTACAATAAAGGGCCCATGCTTTCTGTTCCGAATTCGTCGTCTTCGCTGGTCTTCCGGATCGACATGCATTGAAAAGCATCAATGACGGTCTGTCCAATACTAGTCCGAATGGCCCGGAGATAGGACTCCTGATGCTATGCGCAGCCTGTTGTACAAGGGCTGAGATGCCTACGAGATATTTTTTGAATCCCGAGGAAAACAAACGCCGATGCGTGCACGATGTTACTTACAACAAAGACTTCGCGCTCAAAAAGTGAAAACGCCAACAAGAAGGCCAAGTCCACTGTGCCAAATAAATATTATCTCAACCCTCAAACCCGTGAATCAAGCATCTTTTACCATCTTCTCTATATCAGCCATCCCCTCGTCCAGTGTCCAAAAATTGGCCCATTCATCCTTGTCGCCAGTGATTTCGTGTTCCAACGCCACATTTTCACCAGGTGCACACTGCCCGAGGCTACTCAGGTATTTCTCCTTCATCTCTAGCTCCACGCATTCTGCCTCTTTCATCTCCTTGCTTCCTGTCCATATGGCACGGTCCAAGAGATGTCGGATGGCGGCACGTATCACGAGATAGCCATGGGACGCCAACAACGCGATTAACAGGGCAGACATTAGAAGTTCTCGGGTTGCAGCAAGACCATTAGGTCGGTGATGCTTCAGGTGCTGCGATTCCTCAGTTACAGTCGCATTCATCATGGTCCCCAACGAGTGCTCCTGTTGACCACGGGGACGGAAGAGATATACCAGAGCAGAATTCGTGAGAACCGACAACCATGTTAGAAATGATAGGGACTCGAGCCATGGACCTATCGTATCTGTCCGAACAGGTATCGGTCGTCGGGTGTGCACCGCGATTTTGAACGCGTCAGAGCGCGCTTCAATGTAGTTATTGAGAAGCGCCATCACTGGTGCAAGCGGCCATATCGTCGACCAAAGAGCGACGTAGCCAAATTGCGTTACCATCTCGCTGTAGTCCGAGAACACCTCATACTCTGGTAGCGCCACTTCACTCCGGACGCGCTCGAGGAATTCACGTTCCTCTCTACCATGAGTATCCTGGCCCACAGGTTCATCATCAAACGCCACCCGCTTTTTCTTCCCATGTCCCCTTCCGCTACCATTGCGAAAACCTTTCCCATTGCGGAACGACTCTACGGCACGGAGGATATATGGCAAGCCAATCTCCGTAAAGGTGTCCACCACTTGGTTTGTAACCGTAAAGGCGAACATCTGCTCTTGAAGCCTCGATGACTTCAACTTGCGTCGCGCGTTACTCCTATCCGACTCCCATAAACTGAGTTCAGCCGCGCCGACTTTCTTTCCACCGCCTCCTCCGGCGCCGAAATGCGACGTGGCGTTAAAATTGACGTTGAATTTCTCCAATAAAGCCAAGGCCCGATGGCCTTCTATGAACAGGTGGGATTGGACAAAGTGCATGACACTTTCGCCGAATGGGACGTAGACGAATGCGGACAGCGCAAGACCAAGATAGGCGTTCATCGCCGAGAGCGTGAAGACCTTCAATGAAAGAGAGCTGCTATGACTCGACTGATGCTCATGATTTTCCCAATCCGTGAAACTACTGGCGTATTTCTGGTACATGTTGAGTAACCGAGGAACAAGAAGTGAGAAAAGTATCGTTGGAGTGAAAGCCTTAAACAATAGATGCTCAGAAAGGCGATAAACGGCAGACACGAGTTAGCTTACCACATATCTGTGACCAGGACCCTTGTAAAGCTCAGTCACAAAAGCTTCCAGGACGAATATGCCAGTCAATATAACCGCAAGGATAGTTGCAAAAAGTAGGATGACTGGTATGCTAGCCAACATGCGCGTCTCCTGCTTCCACCAGGGGAAGCTCGGGATATAATCAACCCTCCGCTTTTCCACGCGCCACGAACCACGAGTACACCACCTGACGGACAGGATACGTTCTTGCAGTCTCCACCATTCGACGAACGCAATTGACCACAACACGAGCAAAGTGGAATATAAAGCAGAGTAGGGTGTCCCGATGAAATAAAAGATAGCGCCAAGTGCCGCGGGAAAGATGAGAGCGTGCGTGTATGCTGTAAGGAAGAAAAAGTAGAGCGCAATGGAATCTCCGAACTAGGATAACACAATCATAATGACGTACGCGGTATAAAATTAATTTAGACAAACCTGGTCTCTAATCTTTTCAAGTTCCACGCTTGCTATCCGGTGCCGTGTCCAGAGGCGTATCCAGTGGTCATTGAAGTCGTGATCGTGAAGTACCATTACAGACTCCACGAGATCCCACTCCTTTCGTCCTGGAATGATACCTAAGCCTCTGTCTTCGGGAGTAGAGGAAATGAATCCATGAATCAAACGGATACGATCAGCAGGAGATAGTGGAGCGCATTCGAATTCATTCGTGGATGGCAACTTGGACATTGGAAGACCATACAGAAAGTCCGAGTTTCTGACACGCATAAGAAGATGGAAAGTAATTCGCTGTAAAACTCACCGTTCACAACGGATAAGGTTCGCAAGCACGTTCTGCGGGCAAGTCACCATTACAAGCACTTGACCCTGGCTCTCTCCGCGTCTCCCAACAGCTTTGAGGCCAGCTCGAGTGAGTGTATCAATGAGCTTAGAATACTGTTTTTCCGCCTTGATAGCATTCTGGCGCACTTGCTCTTTAGAAAAGCTAGCTCCTTTCTGGATGGCACGGAAAACTACGACCACGTCCACATGAGGGGGCATGTTATGAGCACGACGGTACGCGCCCAACTGAAGTTCGACCTGTTATTGCGGCCTCTGCGAGTGTCAGGTGGGTTGCAATTGGAGAGCTTCGGGAGATCCAGTTGGATCCCCACGTTCGAGTATGTAAACGACGTCAACAGAGGCGGAAGTATTTGCTTACATCAGCAAAACGCTATGTCGCGTTGTTGTGCTCTATTTGTGGAAGGAATAACCGGGACCGTCGAGGAAGACGTGCATGAGCAACAAAGTACTTCCTTCGATTTGGACTACTGCCATGGGAACTCACGATGTTGATGCGGCGCACAAACAATTCATTCCATATGGCTTCTGAACATACTACAGAAACAGTAGTTAGAAAGCGAAAATGACGAACAAGACTACTGCGTATAATGGATATGAAAGGTCCACAATCTTCACACGTACACGGGACCAGCTTTTGAGTTGATAAGTTAATTGCAATGCGACTCCAGCCCTCTCCAGCTATGGGGCCATGGGACCTAGCGCGCGTAGGGATGGTAACTGTGCTGCCCTCGTTGTCCTGCTCGTTGCGGGCCAACGCCAAGACCACCAGGGCCACCCGGTCCACTTTGTGCGCCGCGTGGACCACGCGGAACATTAGGACCTAGACTGGCAGGTCCTGTAGGCGTACCGCTGCCCCCAATACCCGGTCCCCCTCTCCCCATTCCACCACCCATCCCTGGTCCTCCACCTCCACCTCCACCCATTCCACCCGCCATTGCAGGATTTCCCATGCCGCCTCTGCCCATGCCCATGCCTGCACCACCACCACCATAACCACCCATGCCGCCCATCATGCCCGGGTTCATGCCCGGATTCATGCCTGGATTCATGCCCATGCCCATGCCTCCCATCATGCCGCCTCCGCCCGCCATTTGGAACATGCGGGTGTACAAAGCGGCGAGGGCCTGAGGATCAAATGGAGTGTTGCCCGACGGAGCCGCGGGCATAGGGCTAGCTGCAGCATTGAAATTCCCGCCCTTGTTGTTGTACTGCTGCTGCTGCTGCTGCTGCTGTTGCTGTTGCTGCTGACCGCCATCCTCGTTGAAGTTATCGCGCTGATAACGTGGTTGTGCCAGCTTCACATCAATCTTGAACAAAGTGCATGAATGAAGAGTCTATTTCTAAATATCGCACATTCGTCACATACCAGTTTACCATCAATCTCTAGGTTCCCAAAACCGAGGAACGGTTGAACATTTGTGTCTTCGAATGAAACAAACCCAAAGCCCTTGCTTCTCCCGGTCTCACGGTCTAACATGACTGTGGAATCAATGACCTTGCCAAACTGCGAGAAGAAATCCCGCATTGACTCCGATGTCACACTTCCTGCAAGACCGCCGATGAACAGTTTGGTGGCGCGTTGGTGCTCTTGTCGAGGTATTGCTCTCTTTGGATCGATCTTGATGCAATGGGTAAATAGACTCCAATGCTAGATACGACAGTGTACGTACAATCTTGCCATCTAGGAAGTGCTCCCGCACCATGACCGCATTAACGCTTGCGGGGTCCTCAAAGGTCAAAAAGGCGAAGCATCTCGACCGGCCAGCAGCATCGCGCATGATCGTGCATGCATCTACTTTACCGAACTGGGAAAAGTAATTCCTGAGGGACTCTGCCGCGAACGACCTTATTTTAGTACTACCGAACGGTACAGAGCAAGTAATAATGATGTAAGTACCATCGGTTGTGTCCCAGTTGAGACCGCCAATGAACATCTTGCTATAGATAGTGTCGCACGCGCGAGGCAACATGGTCGAAGACACGAGGAATACGTTCGGACGCGGTAATTGAGCGTACGATATGAAAAGCAAGGATCGTTATTAGTTTCTGTAGAGACAGGGGGTTTTATGACAGAGGAAAAAGGAAAGACGCTACTGTCTGTTCGCGTTGTGGCTAGCCTAGCTTAGACTGGACGTAGAGAACGCGAATATGCTAGAGCTAGACTAGTCGTCCTAGTCGACATAGCTGAGTAGCTAGGCGTGACGATGACGAAGCAACTACGTCGGCATTATTGACCGTCAACGATTAAGATCCAGTATTTCCCAACAAATCGAAAATGAACGACCCAAATTTTTGTAGGAAGTTAGTAGAACTGTCCTATACAACTCACCCTTCATCTTTCATCTCAGACGGCCGCACACTTCTCTCGTGGCTATGTTGGCGGTCATAGCTACCGACGCCGTCATGTTGGCCCATATCTGGTGAATAGTCGGACTGAGGTTGCTGATAAGTCGGTATTTGCTGTGTGGAGGGAACCGTGTAGGTAGGAGGTCCAGATTGGGTGGGGGTCGACGCGTATTCTTCATAAGTCTGTACTGGATAGGTCTCCATTGCAGGAACTTTGGCGGCGGCGGCGGCGGTTGGCACGGCTGGTGAAGCCTGTTTTGATGGTGTCGGTGGGGTAGCCTTGACACTGGAAGCAGCAGGTGCTTGAGGGGGCGCTTCCGATGGAAGAGACTCTTCTGCTTTAGATGGGTCAGCATTTTCTGCTTGAGCAGAAAATTCGGGCTCGTCGTTTCCGTAGAGATCTAGGAAGGGATCAATCAAAACCGAACAGTTCGCATACGTTAAGGTAGGACATACCGCCATAGAGGTCAGCGTCAAGCTCAGACATGATGGTGGTTGCAGTGAGAGTGAAAAAGAGCTCCGGTCTTAGTCATCACGTCATCACTTATGCTTGGAAAAGTCCCACGCTCTGCGCCGGGCGGGCCGTCGGCCAACCGCCAATTTTCCTCCTCGACACCTGGAAGGACCACATTTCGATTGTAACTGACTCGATCCGTATTATTCCGCTTGGATTCCGCTAATCTGTTTCCGTGAGTTCTGTGACGTGTACAACAGATCCTTTCAGCGTCTCCCTTTCTCATGGCCCACGTTCAGGTCAGCCACAACGTTACCATCGGCATACTAGGTGAGTATACGCGTCCGCACAGTATATCCATCGTCTTATCCGGAAAATATAGCTCTTCAAGGAGCTTTCGCGGAGCACCAGGCTGCCCTGAAAAAGCTTTCATGTCAGAAGAAAATCGCGATTGTTCTTGTTCGGGCTGCAGAAGATCTTTCAGCCTGTGATGCTCTGATAATCCCCGGAGGGGGTAAGACAACCGTCACTAGACTTGTCCTAACTTCACTCGTGTCATATTATAGAATCTACCACTATTGCGCTCCTCGCTAAGCTCGCCGGGCTTTTAGAACCTCTGCGAACGTTCCTGCAGAAGAAGCCCGTGTGGGGGACCTGTGCCGGCGCGATTCTTCTTGCACAGGCAGTGAAGAACACCAAAAAAGGCGGCCAAGAACTTCTGGGCGGAGTATCTGTCACCGTCGCTCGGAATGGTTGGGGTTCACAGGTACAAACATCGCATTCTGCAGTTCTTCCTCTCTAGTGACACCGCCTCGCGAAGGTTGAATCTTTCGAGGCACCTCTTTCAATAGACGGGCTCCAGGATCCAAGTGTTCCGTTTATGGGTGTATTCATTCGTGCTCCTGTGCGTGTCTCTATTTTTGCAGTCATTCGTATCGTTTGACTTTCCCTGAAAAGGTTATATTAGCCTTACATCCATCCACACGGAACCCACCAATAGAAATCATCGCTCGTTTACCGACTAATCTTGTGCCAAAGTCACAGAAGCTGATGGTCCACAACGAAGGCGACTCCGATCCACACGATCCACAAAGTATCGTTGCAGTACGGCAGGGACGACATATGCTCACCACATTCCACCCTGAGCTCACAAATGATGGTCGATTTCACGAGTATTTTGTGCGGACTTGTGTTTTGCCCACACTCCTGTGAGGTGGTGTAATATGACATTGCCACCCCCAACTATTTTGGGCCATGTAAACTCGCAGATCAGGACTATAAGGTTCGTAATTGGCGGTCTCGCGAGGGCGCATACCGAGTATAAAAAGGTCTTGCGAGCAAGAGTCACGGAGGACCTAAGGAAAATTGGAGCGACCATCGAAAAGAAACGCACATTGGACGGTTTTATACCTCTCAGACGTTCTACTGCGAGAAGTTATCAAGACGAGGAGTAATGTAGTAACCTAGCATTTACTCATTAGCAGATCTATGCTACTTATTAGCTAGCTATGTTTTTATAATTACCACCACCCGTCGGCTGCTGTCCTCCCCGTCATACTTATAATGAAGAGGAGGCTGTTCCACCCTAACTGCTATCCATCGGACATGATTGCAAGTAATTCCCCCTCGCATATATAACTCCGTTTAATTGACAGCTCTATCACGCGTACGCTGCTCAATTGATAGATACCTTAGCTTCCTATTCTCCCCGTGTAGTATATTAGATATCATGACTCCACCAATATAACATACTATGTATTCTTCCCCATATGTATAATATCATTTGTTACTTATGTCGCTCAACTATTCCAACCGAAGGTCTTGTAAGTATGTGCATACATCCAGGCACAGTCAAACATGAAAGTGTAGGCGATGATTCAAGCGCAGCTCAGAAGTCAGACGACATCATACGGTGGACTAAGTAGGGGTTCCCATCATCATTTCTAGCGTTTGGCATTGCCCTGGGCTTAGGCCGCTGGCCCTTGCTCCCGACGGCGCTTCTTTATCTCGCGCCCTTACGATGACGAAGCCGACAAGATTGAGGTTGACATCTTCCCATTGTTTCATCAATGACTGCTTGAGTGCTGATTTAATTGTTGGGGCCGAATCCCAACAATCAAGATCAACCCGCATCAAGTTGGGGAAGAGGCCGCTGAGGACTAGAGCTACGCGCATCGGGGATTCGATGGGTGAATTGCTGAGAACGAGGTTTTTGAGATGCTTGTTGCATATTCCACCGCCGGGGGATATGTATGCCATGCCAATGTCTGGCAGCCCGGTAGTATCGATGACAAGAGTAAGCGAAGTTAGACCGGGGCAGAGCTGAACTAAACCGATTAGCCCGCGGAATGTAGGTATTATGATATTATCGATGACGACAAAGCGGCTGATGGCGAGCACTTCGAGCTTAGGCCAGACTCTCGCCAGCTGGCGGAGCTGCTCATCATCCATGGACATAGTACAGCCGTTCTCAATGAGCAGCTGAGTTAAGTTACGGAATGCATGCAATGGCGTGAGGACACTCGATGCTGCGTGACCTTTCGATCTCGAAGATTCGAGGAGGGTTAAGGACTCAAGATTGTCCCGGTCGCATGTCTCCTTGAGGATAGCGAAGAACTGGGACATCGTCGTAGATGCACGTGAAAGATGAGCAACAGTGAAACAGATCGTGATGCTTCTGCTTCTGACGACCTGAAGCGAACTCACAAAGTCCGAGGCATGGTCGAGATTATCGATGGAAAGGGTCAAACAATTCAAATCATGAAAGCCCGGGAGCTGCAAATGCGACCGTCTGTCCCAAGCTGATGATACTTTTAAGTCCAAGCACAGTATCTGCAGAGTTCGCAGCTGCATAAGGTGCTCGATGCCTTGGTTTCCTAGGTCCCATACAGACAATTCCTGTAGATGATGAAGCTGGGAAATAGATTGCGCAATAAAAGGTGAATTTTTAAGAAGCAAGTCGTTGGTTGCAGATGGAGATGGAGATTGTACAGTCATTCTCCGGAGGTGAGGACACAAGGTCCCAAGAGACGAAAGGACTGAGAGAAAAATAGAGGAAGCTGAAGAAATCTGCACATCCAAGAACACCAGGGTTGGTACGAAAGCCATGCGCAAGAACTCTGCAGCGCAGTGTGTTCCATCAGCATGCCATGTTAATTCGCGAAGGTTCGGAAATAAGGACGCAGGTGCCGAAGGACAAGACAACATTAGCAAACCGAGGGGCTCTATAACCGTCGAACGGCCTGAGTGTGTGATGGAGTACACGCGGGACGTATATTTGCGGAGAATATCCCACATCTTGGCGTCAAGAGGTTTCAGTAATGCCTGAGCAGGTGAAACCCGTCAGAAGCGCGAGATCATATAAAATCGGGAAACCCACCATATATCCAACGCCAAACAGGTCATCTGGTAGACATTTGACAAGAGGCTCCACGGACTGCAGATTTCTCCAAAGGACATCAAGTGCTGGGCGCTCAAAGACGCGGCATGTGGATGCAAGGGCAGGAAGAGATCCATAGTGTGCATATGAGCAAATCGTGCATATCACATCAAAGTTTTGCAAGGCCGGGTGCGTGGCCAAAGATGGAGTCTTTGGGGGAGAAGGAGCTGGAGAATTAGATCGAGAGAGTATCTCGATAAGCGGCTCGTCGTCAGACACGACTGCTAAGTCGTCGACATCAGCACGCCTCTCAGCGCGCCTGCGGTTACGTTCAATCCTCGACACGTTCTCTCTGGCGACCGCTTTCAACTCGTCCGGGGAGGTTTCCCCAGATCCGCTGGGATCGTCGATAGCCACAGATCCGCCGTAATCCGACACATCGGTCATTATGCGTGTAGCGAGCGACTGTATGCGAGATTATAGTGAAAGTATGCGTCGATTTCAACTTTCAAACGTTGGCGAGCATGAGGGCGAGGACGCAGTGCTGATTCCTTAGTAAGCACTCCTTGACTGGCCAGGTGATAGCAAATGATGTGATTGGCGCGTAGATAACGTCTATTGTTAGCTACTCCACGAGTCAAGCTATGAAGGGTTGTCAGATGCATACGTATGGGCAAGTAACTTATCAGGTCGTTCCTGCGGGCGCAACGCAAGGGCGTTTTGTGCAGCAGTGTACGTGTATTAGATACAGATCATCAGATACAGATCCGTGATACGTCTAAATAGATCCCTGAAGATTAGCAGCCTGAGTGAGCTAATATGTGGCGTGAATGAAGAGACTCGCACCTAAGAATACATCAATGTATAAACCCGAGGATAACCACACTTTACCCATGACCCGCGTATCATGTCAACAGAAGATGAAAGATTTGCGGTTCCCCCGTAAATCTTCCAGTGTCCGCGTGCAGCAATCGAACCATCATGAGCTTCGAGCCTGACATGGTACGAAGTGAGGTAAGTAGTTGTGTGAAATCGAACGCGGGTGCTTTGGAATGTAGTCCCAGGTATGAAACGGGAGGAGGGAGGATTTGGTTCTGTTTGATCTTCGTCCATAAAAGGAGGTAAAGGACGAGATCGTTAAAATAACGAAACATTCGTTGAGCAGATCCAACTCCGTCTGAAGACAAGGGGAAATTGAGGTGTACGGTAGTAACATTCACGCAGCTCAGCCTCGCAAAATTTTCGAAGTACGGTCGAGGAACGGAGGAGGGATGCAGTCGTAGGTAAGTTGTCGGAGAGCTGGAAAGTGGTTGGCTTCTCTGTCTTCTGGCAGGTAATCTCGCAAAAAGACCGACACGTAACTTGGTCATGATGGACACGTCGAGTCTGACTGAAGGGAACTTGTCCCCTGCACTGGGCGAGGAAATCTCTGTAAAAGAAATCTGCAAGAAGCAGAGCCGATTACCTGCAGAGGCGCAAAACGAACTCAGAACAATCAAATACGGGCAATGATGGACGAGACAAGTTTGGGAACCGTCGAATAATGTTGACCAGTAGGGCGTAATTGGATGCCTCGTTCATCCTGTATCAAGACGTCTGTTGAGGGCAGCAAACAAAGAAGACAGAGAGTGACCAGGACACTCCGATAAATGAACTGGGTGGCGAGAGCGTGTCATCATTGCTACGGGCAACATTATGATCATATTCCTTTTTACTTGTGTTCCTTGACGAGGGGACGCAGTAGATTAGATGGAGTTCGACCATCGGTGGGGAGGCTAAGTATCGTGAGCCAAAGTTAATGTTCAGGAGGAAAGCGAGCGCAGTATGCATGAGGTATGACTCAAGTAATATGGTCAACTATAGGTCTTGTTTATCATATATATTAGATGCGGCCTGTGTGCCAGTGTGTCCGTATACGGTGACCTACCTTGAGCATGATTGGTGCGTTGTAAATTTGTTGAGGTGTACTTATATGTAGTGTGAATCAAGTTGAAGCAACTCGACGTATTTGTACTTGTTCACTCCCATGATCTTCCTCGGCACCGGACACACTTGTATTAGCATGGTACTTAGAGAAAACGCGCACGGGATCGAGTATAAAAAGCCCCATATTATACACGATGCTAGATGACCGTCACATCGAGTAGGCTTACTCGACCATGGTGCGTTTTACCGTCTTTACCGTTTTGCTCGCAGTGGCTGCTGCTAGTGCCCGTGTCATGACCAAGCGTGCGGTGAAGGAGCGCCAGCTTGAGGCAGCAAAGCGTTGGCAAACCAGCTGGTCTGTAGAGATGGGAAGTGCAGGGGAGGTGGAGCGCAATGGTGTTCAAAACATCACCTTCACGAACCCCAGGGCCTCAGGTGAATGAAGTGTCACAAATAAACATCTACGTCTGATCCATGTCCGTGCAGAATTCTACGTCGATGGCACATCCCTCCCACTTGTCGACTTTGATGTCGGTCCTAGCTGGGCAGGTTTGTTGCCCATAAGCAACAGTCCTAATGAGACACGTCAGGTGTGTCAACTGTGAGTTACGCATTGACTCTACTGAAACAGACAACAGCTCTTTTTCTGGTTTTTCCCTCCCGGGCCCGAAGGGAGTCTCGATGATTTGATTTTTTGGTGTGTCTTCATAACTGGTCTAATGTCAATTCAGTGTTGATGTGACGTGTTTTTCCTCCAGGACAAATGGCGGCCCTGGCTGTTCCTCCCTCGAAGGTCTGCTGCAAGAGAATGGAGTGAGTATTTCTTTGATTCGATAGTGCGACTCATTAAAAAGTCTAAAGCCTCTCAGTTGGGCCTGGGGTCAAGCCAAACCAACGGTGAATGAACACAGCTGGACCAACCTCTCCTCCATCCTTTGGGTGGAGCAACCTGTTGGCACAGGATTCTCTCAGGGCACTCCAAACATACAGAACGAAGATGATCTCGCCGCTCAATTCGTCGGTTTCATGCAGCAGTTCCTGGAGGTCTTTTCGGAACTCAAAGGCAAGAAGCTGTATCTGACGGGTGAAAGCGTAAGCTTCTCTCTATCAGAGTCCATTCAAACATTGAACTTACTGGAACCAGTACGCTGGAACATACGTGCCTTGTCAGTTGGACAACACTTTTCTTTGAAAATACTATCTGAAAGACCAATGAAGATATCGCAAACTATATCTACGAGAATCCCACTCTGTTGGACCTCTCGTTGCAAGGGATATGGATCAGTGATCGTAAGGAACATCTTGGATCATTCTCCTCTCAAGAGCTCATCCACGGAGAATAGCTTCTCTCTCGTGGGACGTGGTGCAAGAGCAGATCCCTGCAGTGGACTTCGTGAACAAATATGCCGGTCTTTTCTCTTTCAAGTCTGTTCATTCTACTTGAATCAAGTTTGCAGTTTCATCGATAGGATCCAGCCAAACATTCATGAATCACCTCGAAACGAAGGCCGCGAAGTGTAATTATACTGGCTACATGGACAAATACGTCACGTATCCTCCAACTGGCCTTCTTCCACTGCCAGGGAACTCAGTTGAGGCTGCTGACGGCTGTGATGTCTGGGACGAGATATTCAACAACGCGCTAGTTATCAATCCCGCCTTTGATATCTATCGCATTTGGGACACTGTGAGTCGAAGAGGATTCTAATCAGCACTTTCGTAAACTTTCTCCACAACAGTATCCGATTCTATGGGATGTCCTTGGATCCCCGTAGGTCATTCAATAGTCAAATCGACAGCTCGGTTTACGCACACCCAGAGGTACAATCTTACAGGCGCAAACTCCGATCTACTTTAACCGCAAGGATGTGAAGCACGCCATACATGCGCCTGTTGATACCGAATGGACAGAGTGCTCCAATATCGATGTATTTCCCAGTGGAGATGGCAGCTTACCACCTGCCTTTACCGTATTACCGAATGTTATTGAGAAGAACCAGCGGACTGTCATCATTCACGGTCTCGCTGATTTCGTTCTCATTTCTGAAGGGTATGTCTCTGTTCACGAGTTCTTCTCCCAAGTACTGATGCATATTCGATCTAGAACCAGAATCGTCATTCAAAAGTAAGTGTGTTCTGTGATATGTCCCTTCAATCGATAGGAATTATTTTTAGCATGACCTGTGAGTGACTGGACGCACAGAATTGTGACAGCTACTCATTCCATTAAAGGGAATGGATTGCAAGGATTCCAGACGCCTATCGCCAATGACGGCTTCATTGTCGACGGCGTGGGTGCCTATGGCACGCTGCACTCAGAGCGGGGCCTAACTTATTACGAAATAGCCCTGAGTGGTCACATGTGAGTTCACCACAATACAAAGCATCCCGTTTCTCACGTGTCTTCTGCAGGGTCCCACAATTTGCGCCAGTAGTAAGTCAACAATTCTGTGGCATGAATGCGGTCTAATGCAGAGATTGATAATCCAGGCGGCCTTCCAGATTATGCAGTACCTGATGGGCTTTAGGGATACGCCGTAGACAGGGACATTTGCCGTTGGTTTGTAGATCTAGATGCCTGGCATCCATAACAACCGATGCTTACAAGCATTCGTCGGTGCTAAGAGATTCGTTGCAGCAAAGTCAGGAGGTCTGTGATCTCTGGGCCCAGGTGACTCCTTCATCCACCGCAATCTTCACCGAGCTTCACCGAGCTCTCAATTTACTGCGTATTGTTCCATCCTCCTTGTTTGCTTCGCCTTTGGATGCATCCCCAGAGTCGAACTCAGGTTGTCAGTGTCCGCATTTGCTAGGTGAACTTCGACTTGTAGTACAATGCTGGCTTCGAACTCTTGCCAGAATCCGGGTTGCGACTCTGCATATGGATTCTAAACTGACATATGACATCCACAACGTCCTGCGTCGGGTAGGGCTGACCCAGAGACCCCACACCCCCGAGCTTAGGTTAAACAACCACCCAACATTAGATCGATATTTGTCCGGATGCCACACCCCTTCCACCGTCTTTTCAGGGGTCCTCCACTATATTCTTACATGATAAATCAGTGGTATGATTCGCGAATATTGCCGAACAACTCATCCCCTGTGAAACCGCGGACGACGTCTACCATAACGACGGCACCTACCCCGCTAGGACTGTGCGGGCCTCAGCCCGATGACAGCAGTTAGAATGTTACAGCATCTCACGGACATGCGTGGGCGTCCTCGGAACACAGACAAGAAGACGAGTCGAAGAGCAGGACCACATAGGGGGCCTTGGTGGAATATCAGTCACTGTCACTCGGAATGACCGGAGATCACAAAAAATGTGTACCACCTCTCAGATGAACTTCATGATCCAACAATTTTGCTTACGGGCATATTCATTCGTCCTCGTAACTCCTGTGCTCGTTGTTTCCATCTGGGGAATAGTTGTATTTCTTCAACCTTCCCCTGGGGAGGCTTGGGGAGGTTGTGTTAGCGATGCTACACTGTCCACACGGAACCCATCATCGTTCACTTATTGGCTCATGTCGGCGATCCACAGATCAACAAATTATTGTTGCAGTACGGCAGGGACGACATATGCTCACCATATTGCACCTTCAGCTCATATAAGATAGCCAATTTCATATTTGGGGCTAGAATGATATCGGCGAACGGATCATTGACACGTGGACGATGGGACAAATGATACTGAATGGTGTTAAATTGTAATTTTATATACGTGTCAACTCATCCGGTTCCGCAATAAAAGAAGCTATCGAGGTGAGCACAAATTATAATGCAGTGTACTAATAGATGCCAGCCAGGGCTGCGGCCTGCGTTCTGATTGGCTCATTATCACCAAGCCCATTTGTTCCCCACTGGAAGCTCGCAGTTCCTAGGCACATATGTCATGTGGTACATTATGAGCCATCATAAAAGACCCATCATGCACGATGTTAGATGACATCGATATTTGTCTGTCGCAGATCAGGAGTTTGCTTGACCATGATGTGTCTTCCTGCCATGTTTACGGCTCTGCTCGCGGTCGCTGCTGCTAGCGCTCGTACCATGACGAAGCACGAGCTTAGAGAGCGTCAACTTGAGGCCGCGAAGCGTTGGCAGACCAGTGGCACAGAGGCTAGAGCTCCGAGCGTGAAACGCGGTGGTGTTCAAAATATCACGTTCACGAACACCAAAGCCTCAGGTGATTGACGTCGCCACTGGTGAACATCTGTACCTGATTCATGTTCGTCCAGAATTTTATGTTGATGGCAGATCCCTCCCTCTTGTAGACTTCGACGTTGGTCCAAGCTGGGCAGGTCTTTTACCCATCAGTAACAGTACCAATGAGACGCGCCAGGTGTGTTCATGCGTAAATTATGTACATATTTTGCTATAGTCAAGGACAATAGCTCTTTTTCTGGTTTTTTCCTCCCGGTCCGGAAGGGAGTCTCGATGATTTAATTTTTTGGTGTGTCATGAGAAGCAGTGTAATGTTTGCTGCTGACTTGACACGTTCTGCCTAAAGGACAAATGGCGGCCCTGGCTGCTCCTCCCTCGAAGGTTTGCTGCAAGAGAATGGAGTAAGCCTCTTATTGATCGTACTGCTCACTAATTGACAAATGTAATTTACAGCCTCTCAGTTGGTCCTGGGGTCAAGCCAAACCGACGGTGAATGAACAAAGCTGGACCAACCTGTCTTCCGTACTCTGGGTGGAGCAACCCGTTGGCACAGGATTCTCTCAGGGCATTCCAAACATACAGAACGAGGATGATCTCGCCGCTCAACTTGTTGGCTTCATGCAGCAGTTCCTGGAGGTCTTTTCGGAACTAAAAGGCAAGAAGCTGTATCTGACGGGTGAAAGCGTAAGCTTCACTCTCTCATAGTCCGTTCAAATATTGAACTCACTGGATTCAGTACGCAGGAACATACGTGCCTTGTGAGTCGGAAGTGACTTTCTTTGAACATAACTAAAAGACCGATGAAGATATTGCGAACTATATCTATGAGAATCCCACTTTGTTGGACCTCTCGTTGCAAGGGCTATGGATTAATGATCGTAAGTAACATTTTGAATCACTTTGTGTCCTCTCATGGGTGCATCCATGGAGATCAGCTTCACTCTCGTGGGACGTGGTGCAACAGGAGATTCCTGCAGTGGACTTCGTGAACAAATACACAGGTCTCTTCTCTTTCAAGTCTGTTCGTTTCATTGGAATCTACTAGTCCACGGGCCACTCACCAATGGGATTTAGTCAAACATTCATGGACTACCTCGACAAGAAGGCCGTGAAGTGTAATTATGCTGGCTACATGGACAAGTATGTCAAGTACCCTCCGTCTGGACCTCTTCCACTGCCAGGGGACTCTGTCGAGTTTGCTGAAGGCTGTGATGTCTGGGACGACATTTTCAGCAGTGCGCTGATTATCAACCCCGCCTTTGATCTCTATCGCATCTGGGACACTGTGAGTCGAAGAGGATTCCAATCAGTATCATGTTCACTTCCTCCACAACAGTATCCAATTCTATGGGATGTCCTTGGTTTCCCGTAGGCCATTCAATATCACCCGATCGCTTGGCTGACGTATATCTATAACTACATAGAGGCTCATTCCCACAGACACAGACACCAATCTACTTCAACCGAACAGATGTAAAGAAAGCCATCCACGCGCCTGTAGACACCGAGTGGACGGAGTGCTCCAAGAATGTTTTCCCCAATGGAGACGGCAGTTTGCCCCCAGTTTTCACTGTGTTACCGAACGTTATCGAGAAGAACCAGCGGACCGTCATCGTGCACGGTCTCGCAGACTTCTATTTCATCGCTGAAGGGTATGGTATGCCTGTTCACGAGTCTTTCGTATGTTCTGATGCACGAGTTGATTACTTAGAACAAGAATTGCCATTCAAAAGTAAGTGTGTTCTATGATATGTCCCTTCAATCGATAGGAATTATTTTAGCATGACCTGTGAGTGACTAGACCCACAGAGGTGTGACAGCCACTGATTCCATTGAAGGGAATGGATTGCAAGGATTCCAGATGCCAATCGCCAATGATAGCTTCATTGTCGATAGCGTAGGTGCCTACGGAACAATGCACTCAGAGCGGGGCCTAACTTATTACGAGGTATCCCTGAGTGGACACATGTAAGTGCTTTGAAATACACAGGGTCCCGCTGCTCATCTGTTGTCGTAGGGTTCCACAATTTGCACCAGTGGTAGGCTGACAATTCTTTGACGCAGGTGCAGTCTAACACAGCCCGATGATTCAGGCTGCTTTCCAGATTATGCAGTACCTGATGGGATTTAGGGACACGCCGTAGATAGTGACACTTGCCGTTGGTTTGTAGATCCAGATGCCTGCCATCAATGTTTACAAGCGTTCGTCGTTCACGTTTGGTGGAGTTTTGATCCATGCGTCTTGCTTCGTCACTAGCTGCTTTATCACTTATCGAGCATGCTCCGCATAAGTCGCAGTGGATATGACAACGTTTTGCATGACCAAATACACGTTCTCGTTAAAGCTGATGACGGATTCAGGTTCGCTGACGATCTTGCTCATGTTGCTCGTGTTGCTCGTGCTTTGTGAATGAGGCATGTTGGAGGACAATGGTAGTAAGATATTGGGGTGGGCGTTTGTCAGTTTGTAGGCTCTGGCTTACATACTACCATGTACAGAAGAACAAGCTTAAGTGTGTCTGTCGAGCAACCGTCGAGACGCGAATATTGTTTCAATTACAAATGAGTGCAATGAGCATGTTTGGTGCTGTTAGGAATCGAAAGGTCATGTGACCGACGCATCTATGCACCAAACAATTTCAAAACTAAACATTATCCGCGTCCATGCAACGGCTTATGATATCGATGTGGCATGTGTAGTTATCACGTACGACTCATCTCTCGAAATCATCCCTGATTAACCTGAATACATTTATACCTTCGCCGAACCTTTGGAGAAGAATCGGCCTTCAAACACTTCCCAGACGGTGTATCACCGGTTCAATATACCATGATTGCCATCCAAAGCCCTCAATCATTAACACAAGGTAGTTAAATGGTATTAGACAAACTTCTACGACAGAGCTTCCTGTATGCTTACCTTGGGGACGAGAGCAAACCTGGGTATCGTTGTTTGACAGGTGGGGCTTGAGAAGGTAGTACTGTAGAGATACGACACTAGGTTCGTCACAGGTCACAGCCCTTGACGAATCGAATCTATTTGGTGTGACCGTCACATGGATTTTGGCGGGACGAAGCTAATTTGTGACATATGGAAAAAAAAACATAAGAAAAAACATAGGTTGTGCACTAATAGGACCAGAAATCATCATACATTGAATTTGCGATGTGTCTACACTTTCCACGCCCATACTCAACCTTCAGAACACTGTTCAAGCCACCTTCCACATCTTCAGCAGCAATGTCACCCACATCATAGACTTCGGAGTGGTTTGCACACGAAAGTCCACCATCTGCATTGATACGGCAGTCAGAACGGACGTGTTCACCCCTGGAAGCCATATGGTCAAGAAGTGCATCCATTGGCACGTCACTGGGATTCAACTCCGATAGCATTAGTGGCCTCATCCTCTGACTCGGAGTCTGTTGCCTGGTCGACGCTGTCAGTCTTGTACTGAGCAGTAGCAATCCTCGCCCATCCAGCTAGATCGTTCTTCTGAACATCGCGTAAATATTGCAATGCCTCCCGACTTGTGAGACTCGCAAACGAGAGATTGAACTTCTCCCCAGCCTTACACTGGAGTCTCCAAGTCCACTCGTTACCATTCAGCGCTATGCAAGGTGAATCCATGACAAGCTGAAGCAAGTTGCTGCAATCACGAAGCAGCATGTCAGAATGACAGGCACTTGAAAATGGATCATAGACTCACCTGGCAGGCTTTAAGACCACGGAGTCTCCAAGTCCACTCATTACCACTCAGAGCTATGTGAGGCGAATCCATGACAAGCTGAAGCAAGTTGCTGCAATCACAAAGCAGCATGTCCGATGGTCACTGTTCACCCGTGGGCGAATCTATTTGGGTATGGTCACAGGTCGCACGGACATTCGAACCTGTGACACTGAGTGTGACGTAGTCACAGGCTGCACATGACGAACCTAGTGTCGTATCTCTACAGTACTATGAGTCGGACTTGTTCACACGCTTTAGACTGCCACCAGGTGGTCCGATAGTGGAGAACACCAAATGCCACTCTTAGACCATTTAGCGCTTTCCTCAGACTCCGAGGTCATTCTGCCAGTCTGGAACTCTTAAATTTGAAAGTTTGTAGGTCTCGAGAGGTTACCAAACCATGACCAGCAGCGTATTAGCTGGGTTGCTCATCGGCCCAACTTGAACAAGTTGGTTTAACCTAACACAAGTACCGTGAGTAAAGGAAGCAGATAGGAGTATCACGGCTAGCGGCCAAGTTGCCTATCCGATGCCATATCACGAACCACACCCATACACAGTAATAAATCAAATGTTCCAGTACGTTTCCTGCCATGTTACCCCTCGTATGCATATGGTCTATCTGATCGTTAACTACCGCCTGCCGGCATTACAGGAATACTCATTTTACATAACCCCCCAGGATAATTATGCACGACGCCAGAAGACTCGCTATTTTCCCTTCACAGATTGGCTTACTCGACAGTGATGCGTCTTCTCGCCATCTTTGCGACTCTGCTCGCAGTGGTTGCCGCTGGCGCTCGTAAGATGACCAAGCAGGAGGTTAGTGAATGCCAGCTCGAGGCAGCAAAGCGTTGGCAGACCAACGGTCCTGCGGCTAGAGCTCCGAATGTGAAGCGCAGTGATGTTCAAAACGTCACGTTCACGAACCCGAAGGCCTCAGGTGAATAATGCAAGTAATCATCTATTACTACGTCTGATCTATGTTCGTACAGAATTTTACGTCAATGGCAGCTCTCTCCCGCTTGTCGGCTTCGACGTCGGTCCTAGCTGGGCAGGTCTTTTACCCATCAGCAACAGTCCTAACGAGACGCGTCAGGTGTGTCCATGCATGAATTGTGCATGTCCTTTGCTGAAACAAAGGATCACAGCTCTTTTTCTGGTTTTTCCCTCCCGGTCCCGAAGGGAGTCTCGATGATTTGATTTTTTGGTGCGTCATCGGGATTCAGAACCGGTGTAATATTCGCTGCCGACTTGACATGTTCTACTTGAAGGACTAATGGTGGCCCTGGCTGCTCCTCCCTCGAAGGTTTGTTGCAAGAGAACGGAGTAAGCCTCCTTCGTTTGATGGCACGACTCATGTGACTGAGAAATATAAAGCCTTTCAGTTGGTCCTGGGGTCAAGCCCAACCAACGGTGAACGAACAAAGCTGGACTAACCTCTCCTCCGTCCTTTGGGTGGAGCAACCCGTTGGCACAGGATTTTCTCAGGGCACCCCAAACATACAGAACGAGGATGATCTCGCTGCTCAACTCGTCGGCTTTATGCAGCAGTTCCTGGAAGTCTTTTCGGAACTAAAAGGCAAGAAACTGTATCTGACTGGTGAAAGTGTAAGTGCCTCTCTTAGAAAGAGTGTTCAAACATCGTGTTAACTGAGTCCAGTACGGTGGATCATACGTGCCTTGTGAGTTCGCAGTTACGTTCTTTGAACATAAGTCTGAAAGACCAATGAAGATATTGCGAACTATATCTATGAGAACCCCACTCTGTTAGACCTCTCATTGCAAGGGATGTGGATCAATGATCGTAAGTGACGTTTTGAATTAATTCGTGCCGTCTCAATTCACGGCAATCAGCTTTGCTGTCGTGGTTCGTGGTGCAACAGGAAATCCCTGCAGTGGACTTCGTGAAAAAATATGATGGTCTCTTCTCTTTCAAGTTTGTTCATCTCACTCGAACCTAGTTCGCAAGTCCCTCACTAGGTACGATCCAGTCAAACGTTCATGAACCACCTCGAGAAGAAGGCTGCGAGATGCAATTACACTGGCTACGTGGATAAGTACGTGACATACCCTCCAACTGGCATTTTTCCGCTACCAGGAGACTCTGTCGAGTTCACTACAGGCTGTGATGTCTGGGACGACATTTTTAATAATGCGCTGATCATCAACCCCGCTTTTGATATCTATCGTATCTGGGACACTGTGAGCCAAAGAGGATCCTCATCAGTAGTATATTAACCTTCTCCACAAAAGTATCCGATTTTATGGGACGTCCTTGGTTCCCCGTACGCCATTCAGCAATCGACTCGCTGAGTAGAAGTCGGCTAATGCAGATCTAGAGGTTCATTCCTACAGCAACAATCTCCGATCTACTTTAACCGAAAGGAAGTGAAGATGGCTATCCACGCACCTGTTGACGCCGAATGGACGGAGTGCTCCAATATCAATGTTTTTCCCAATGGAGATGGCAGCTTGCCGTCTGCTTTCACTGTGTTACCGAATGTCATCGAAAAGAACCAGCGGACCGTCATTGTGCATGGTCTCGCGGACTTCATTCTTATTGCTGAAGGGTATGACTTCGTTCACGAACCTTGCTCTCGTATATTCTGACACATGGTGCGATGAAATAGAACAAGAATCGTCATTCAAAAGTAAGTGTATTCATAACTGTGACATGTATCCCTTTAATCGATAGGAATCATTTGTAGTATGACCTGTGAGTGACTCGAAGTGCTGAGGTGCGATAACCACTCATTCCATTGAAGGGAATGGGTTACAAGGATTCCAGACGCCTATCGCCAAAGACAGCTTCATTGTCGATGGTGTGGGTGCCTACGGGACAACTCACTCAGAGCGGGGACTCACTTATTACGAGGTAGCCTTGAGTGGCCATATGTGAGTCCTCCGCTACGCAATACCGTACACAGCGTTCCGTTTCTCATGTGTTCTGCAGGGTTCCGCAATTTGCGCCAGTAGTACGTCGATTCTTTGATGCGAGTGCAGTCTAACGCAAAGACCGATGAACCAGGCCGCCTTCCAAATTATGCAGTACCTGATGGGCTTCAGAGACACGCCGTAGATAGACACTTGTTTTCAGTGATGTGAGGGTCACCATCTAGCCGGCCCTGAACCGAAGTCACGTGTAGGACTATGGTTCTTTTCAAACCCCTGTCACGAAAGCTCACGTTCATTCTACTTGTATCACCTTTGTGTTTCACGCATTGCAATAGTACTGTTTTATTTTTTTTCTCTACCGAAGAATGCCTGTCATCAGGACGCAACTGAGGCCAATGAAGGGAGACATCAATGGACATAAGACAATAACTTTGACGGCTTCCATAGTCGAGGAGGAGATGCAGGACCTATCAGACTGTAAGCGCTGATGCACATTTGATTACATAGCCCATGTCATACGGCTTTCATGAAACTGTCTTCACAGGCAAGATGCATTATCCCTTGAGTGAAACCGAACGCAATGCCCTTAAGACGCGCGACGGCAAGGCAAGCATCCTGCGTTGAAACTGTCCAAGATGATCCCTTAGTCCATGGTTCTGCCAGCGCGTCACGCCACATCGGTGGGCAGTATATGATTTCACTAGAACAATTCCTTGTGGTCGTGTTACGACGTACAAGGATATTTGCGTCGCTCTCGGACAAGGATCGCCACGATCAGGTGCGCGTCCAAGTATAGTCCCTTTGTCTGCTCTCACCCACCTCATTTCCCAGTTGGTTCTGCGCTTCGAAACAACCCCTTTGCTCCGTTTGTACCTTGCCACCGCATCATCGCATCAAATCTGTACATTGGTGGATTCTTCGGTGAGTGGGGCACAGGCGCCAATGCAAGAGGTGGACAGAAGAACACTGGTTTGCAGTGCAATAGAAAGACGGAGATGCTGGCAAAGGAGGGCGTTGAGTTCTCTGCAAACGGGTATCTTGCAGATGAGTCTCTACTGTGGGCCGCCAGAGGCTGACCTCTGCGTCACACCACAGTCCGCTGTTAGTATCACTGACTATGTCATGACCCTAGCCTTAGTGGTTACAAGAATATATATGCATTACTGTTTATATTACCTTTGCGGGGTGTGACTGCGGTCCGAACTGAGGTTTTTCTTGTTGAATGCGACGACCAGTGAAACTGTCCCAATGCATGCTAATCAAGGTGATTCACTCAACTCAGGGCAGCGTGCAGTTACACATGCCATTAAATGGGAATTGAGGAGATGCAAGAAAGGTAGCTTTGTTCAAAGGTGTGTACAACCTTGACTACAGTTAGCCCACGACAAACAGAAAAACGATCACTTCATTATTCAGTACATCAGGACACAGGCTTCAACTTCCATTGCCCTCCTGGAAGCAAGACGTTGTTAACAGTGACCTGTATGCCTCCCGTCAGCAGTGACAAACACTCAAATATTGACATCAACACCTACAGGACAGCCATCCTGGTTATTGTGGAGATGCCAGCCAGTGTGATATTCGGCATCCTCCACCCTAAAATGTGGGACTCGACGTTGAACCTCTGCCAGTCGCGAGTCACTGGGAACACGTACATAAAAGTATCCAGGCCTGTCTCAGCTTTTATCAGGCGGAACCATGAAGCCTCGTCACTGTAAACCAGCATGCCCTTATGGAACCCAAGTCAGTAGGAGTTACGCACATCGAAGAAAAGACAGTAAACATGCCTGCTTGTCGACAGCAATGTACTTTCCTTCATCTGGGAACGGACTTGGATGCACGCCTTGGAACGTCACCATGCCGGTCGACGGATTGTTCCGGACCTTCCACTACATGTCTTATCAGCAGCAGTAAGGAGGGAAACTAGAGCCCGACGCACGGTTTGTGTGCCACCCATGACATGCCGGAGGCCAACGATGGAAGTGCCATCCTGACCTCCTACGGAAACCAACTGCCCCTCCCACCGGACACTCTCAATGATGTATTTGACGGGAAGGACGATATCAGACATGGTCAAAAAGTAGATGGATGTGGTTTCGAGGAGAGTAGGTGAATGATGGGTGATGAGGCCTTGAAGTCGTCTTTTATTCCTGCCAAATGATTTCTATCACGGAACAACAAAAGAAAGAGTACGTACATGAGGAACGATGTGTTACGATTCCCATATAGATCGGCTCGCTATGGGTGAAGTTCCGAGCATGGCTTTAGAGGCTTGGGCCCGGTGAAAACTCGAGTCAGGCCCTATCAGAGGGCCTGGATTTCGGTTTCGTGTACGTCCGAGCCAGGTCAGGGCTCAGGTTCAGGGCTCAGGCCAGGGCTTACATCTCGAAAATAGTCTTCGATTCTCAAGCACAGAGGACGAGAGCATCATTTATTCATGAAGGGTTCATGTTATCTCATAGAAGGTGGCGGCAAGGTAGCAAGATGCTGGAGGGTGGGCATGAGGTAGTGGTGGATGCAGTTGGGCGTGGGGAGATGCTGAGGGGGTGTGGGAGGACTCTGGAGGACTGCGAGGGTGGAGTTGGCTGTAGTACCATCTCCCGCGATGTGTATGCCCATGCGTCGACGACAGAGTCGAGCTTCTTTATCGCGTACTGCATGGCAGACAGTGGGGAAAACAAATTTGGCGGTGTCTTCTGCTTCGCCAGGCCCCTTGGCAGATTTTATACGGAAATGAGGCAAATTCAGAGGCGCGCCAGCCTTCTCCAAACAGGCATGCCAGCACCCGTCGAGGGTCCAGTTCCAAATAAGTGTCCTTGACATCGACTGCAAGAAATTTAAGTACACTTGGCGCTCGCAGCGGGGTGCGCTCATTCTCGTTGAACTGGAAAGATACATGGAGAGGCGGGACATTGGAATGAAGTAACGAGGAGGGAGAATATCGGTTGCTGGTTTGAACTCAAGAACTATGAAACGAAGTATTGACGAAGTAAGAGTTATTAGAAGGAACGACTGTCTTCCTTTTTCTATAGGTCTAGCTATGGGAGACTAGAGTCAGGATTCGCTGAATTCTGGACTGCACAACATACCTGCAAGTTAGAAGATGCTCTGAAGATCATCTCATTGACGTCTGCAGTGATAAAGACAGAAATCGAAACCTGACTGGGGTAAACGGCGTATATTCCCTGCGTTTCGACTAGTTCTAGACAGAGCACGATTATCTGTGTGAATACAGAGGGTCCTGGTCAACATGCCTAATATGCATCATCACCTTCTTATCAACATACGACGATGTTCTCTCTACCGTGAAATTCTAAGATCAACCATGTTTGGTGCTGTTAGGATCAGAAGGCTTGCGTCATGTGACCTGCGCGTCCAATTTCAAATTTATCTGTTTACTGTATATCCGCGTTCATGGAGGTTCATGGCACACGCGGGCTATCGACATGACATGGGTAGTTATGAAGTCTCAAAATTATACTTGAAAAGACTGAATTCTTCTTTGCAACGCCGCAGAAGATTCAGAAGAATCAGCTATGGGGATTGACTTTCGTGCAATGCAATTGGGGTCTGTCGGTGATATGAATCTCTCTCGAATATCTGATGACATCGGTGACCTGCTATGACGCCTCACGCTTACCTTTGCAAAGAATCTATATTTGGCAGATTCACCCCTTTGTTGTGTCGACAACCAAATAATGATCAGCCGCCCTCCTGGTGTATATCCCTCCGTCCCGCTTCACTCTTTCATCCGCTCTTCCTTCTTATCTTCACAGCGCTTGCCTTGTGCGACTCAGACGTATATGGCATCCTACCGACGCTCTAGTCCTTTCCGCCACTAGCAAACCTTGAATCTTGCGCGCTGGACGCCACTGCATTATATGTTTCTTGCTCATAGTGCATCCTGTGTGTCAGACGACTAACATTCTCTTGATTGCGCTCAGGTCTGGCGGCGGAGAGCTCACATCGAGACTACCGGCATGTCTTTTCCCGCCGCCGTCTTACTCCTCTAGTGACTAACCGATACCGACCACGCCCAGGTTGTCGCGGAAGACTCCAGCGCACCTCAAGATGTACCATCAATGGGACGGCAAAATCTAGCTACTGACCTTTGCGGCTGTGTGGAAGGTGCGCAGGTGATAGGACTTGGGTCCTCTAATGCTCTTCAAGTCGTGTTTGTTCGCCACATTCACACCCTCAGCTGTTCGAGGTCTTCACTGTCATCTTCTTGCCTCGCCACTAACAATTGCACCATTATCAAGACATCGGGACCTTGTGGTGGCTCGGCGAGTGTGGACCTCCGACCACTTAGTGTTGTACCGAGGACACCCACCGGGTAGCTCTGAGGTTGCAGGTATCTGGCTGATATCCCACGCCGTTTGCACCTCAGTGACATCGTTACGACATCAGTCTGCTTCCTCGCCAAGAGGCTTAAAGAGCCGAGGTTGTCAGCGCGAGCAAGCCCGCCCCGGTTTTTACAAATAAAGATGGCCCGACAACATCACACATAATTTGGACGACAAGAAGAATTAAGATGAATGAGGTCACGCACAGGTGAGTCCTTCCTTTCATTCAAGTACTCGTAGTCTCCGAGTCAGTTGGAGATGCCATGTGACAGCATTGAATGAGTTCTCATTCAGTGTGACCGCATGGAATCTCTGATCTGATCTGACGAGTGACAGTTTGTTGATATTCCTCTCGTTTTCACGGAATGACTGGAATGTCATCTCAACTTTGGTCGGATTGAATATAAGTACAAGGTCACAAGTCAGTCGTTCTTTGCACGCGAGCCTTGATTGACATGGCCTGATAATCCCAGTCACTGGCGCGTGACGGTTTGTTCCTCTGGTTTTCACGGAATGACTGAAATCGATAGGTTGTACAACCTGCACAATGCAAGTGCTCTATGACTCGCAAACTATCACAACTACAGAGCTCCCTCAGTGTGATCAACAAAATATCGATTGTTTTCGCTACTCGGAGGTTGAAAGGAAATCGGCAGGCGGAGTTCAAGTTGATTACTTAGACTTTCACATCGACGTGACCGAGTACGGAGGTGACTATAGGTTGTATAGCCTATTAGCATGGCAGAGCATGGACTTGTGATCTTTCTGCCCAGCTGTGACTCTGGTGGCTGCCGTAGTGGCAGGCATGCAGAATTCCAAACGGCATCTCTTGCATATACGAACGCCGGGAAAGACGCCGTTTTCCCGAACCCCCAGCAGATACTAATACGAGTCAGTTAAACTCTGACCAGAACTGCGTCCAATGCATTGGTCTGCCCGCCTCACTCTTCTTTTGGTCCTGTCATTCGTGGCGGGAGCTGCTGCTACCTCCAATCCAAGGGCATATACCATCCAGTCTACCAGTTGCAGAGCTGTGGATCGCGTCTTGAATGAGGAGGTCAACATTACCATTGGTACGCATATATGCGCGTTCCTTGCCCACAGACATGTTAATATTGTGGTCATAGATTATGTGGATGTCAACCCAACCGCAGAGAAGAGCATCATCATGGTCCACGGCTGGCCCAGTCTTTGGAGCTCTTGGGGGTACCAGATTGAAGAGTTCAAGGTAGATATCTTTTCCATCTGCCGACACCTCTCAGGCTGATCTGTTTCAGGACGAGTATCGCATGATAGCCATCGACGTTCGTGGCTTCGGGGGTTCAACACACCCCGCTGATGTACAGTCATCCAGTACGTTGGCCGATATCACTGGCGATCTCACTTGTGTCCTCGGACATGTTGGGATCCAATCTGCCGTTTGTCTCGGGTATGTTTTGAACTCAGCGGATCTGTTCCTACTCATCTAATATCTGTATAGTCATGACTGGGGTGCTGAGGTTTGCTATGAGGCTGCCCGGAGACGACCTGATGTCTTCTATGCCCTGGTTGGCGTGACTGTTCCGGTAAACAGACCGTTGCCTCACAAATTCCCTGCCTAACAATCATAACCAGTATATGCACTCTGCCGGTCCCTTTGCGGACAGCGCTCAGCTCGCAGCAGTCATGCCTAAGCTGGCGTACCAAGTTTTCTTCGAGAACCATACGACAGAAGCCGTAGCAGAGCTGAACAAGGATATCAGGAGAAGCTTGCGCGCTACTTTGCGCACTGTCAACAGCACCCCTCCAGACAGCTTCCTCACAAGCGTCAATACCTACCTCGGTGCATATGACAATGTAACGGAGGTACGCATGGCACTTATTCTATGATAAGGTTACTAACCTTGACCAGATTCCTCCCATTCCATTCTTCACCTCGGACGACGAAGACTATTTTGTCGAACGGTTCAGCATACAGAAATTTGACCATAGTACGAAACAGGATTGCTCAGATGCCGGATTGCGCTAATCAATACCCCGCAGCTCTCATCTTCTACACTCGCGGAGTACGTAGATATCTTCTCACAATACACCCATGACTGAATATGAGATGCTTAGAACCGCTATGGAACATGGCAATCTACTCAAGCGCAAGCGAATTACACCATTCCTCAGCCCGTCTTGTCTGTTTTGCCTCTAAACGTGGGTTATCTGTCAAAAGATGCAACACCTTACTCATGTGCATCACCACAGGATCCTGTCGCAGACTGGGTGTTCGCCGCCAAGTACTTGAAATCAGCGGCGTTCCTCCCACAACTGACGACCAAGGTATGTGCTATGATCTTTCGCCAAAAACTCCTTTGACAGTCGAATGAAGACAATGGAAGGTGCCCACTGGCCCCACCTCGAGCACCCCCAAGTGTTCAACGGCATTCTCAGAGCATGGTTAGAGACCTTGGAGTATTCCCTTACGCCAGCCCAGCGAGTCTTCTCAGACGAGTTGTAATCCATAATCTTATTACCGTAATTTATTATTCACAATTCAAGCAGTCCAGGAAAGTAGAGCAGACACTCAAGGACATGTGTACAATAGCAAGCATAATGCAGTACATGGATCAGGGGGTATACCACCAGATGAACATATCTAGACGCGTGTGAAGAGGTGTTACTGGAAACAGCATAGAACGTACATAGGTACAGTATATTGCATAGGTCAAAGTAGGGGTCATACGTGCGCATATATTGGGGTGGATCACGACACAATAAATTACCCGTCAGATGGAAGGCCATCGCCGTTTTGCAAACTGACACCCAGAGTCTGGCGGAGTAGCATTTCAACGCGCTCCCGCTCGTCGCTGATGCGCCCCATTTCGTCCTCCCAGCGTGCGACGCGGTTGTCGTATATCGAGCGAAGGGCACCGAGGCTGCCGAGTGCGGTCTCGAGTGCGCGCTTGAGGTCTCCTTCTCGCGACTCTGAGCTGCCGTCGGAACCATCTCCCGAAGAAGCAGAGTTGAGGAGTCTGTCGACGAGTGTTATGCCCTTGGCGCGGGATGCTCGTCTACGGGCAGCGATGCCGCGGAAAGAGTTTCGTATGTTGAGTATTCCAGGGGACTGCGTCCCTATTTCGCGACGGATCGAACGTGATGTCAGTGCATGCAGTTTTGTAGAATGCGAGGGTGCAGCAAGGAGGACCATGGTCGTATCCGTCTCGCAATCAAGCGCTTGGAACTATACGACATGTCAGCATCAACCCATAACTTTCGACAACAAATCATCTCACCGCCTGCTGCAAAGCTTCCCACCGTGTATCCCATCTCCTCCGTCTCTTTTCTATGTTGTTGACGTAGTTCGGATGATACTCCAAGTCTAACAAATCATCCTTATCATCCTCGTCCTCATCAACCCACTCAGCGCCATCATCAGGCACCGTCCCATTCACCCAGTTCCCCTCCTCAGCCACCTCAAACCGCTCCTCACCAGCGGTCTCCTCGCCAGACGAGTATGGCTCGGGGCTTGTATCCCGCGGCTGGGTGCTGTCCACACGAGGCGGTGGCTTGATCTTCCGCTTCGTGCTCTGGATTCGTAGATCATTGGATGTCTGACGCCGCTTGATCCCACGACCTCTGCCCGTCGGGAACGGAAGGCTGACTGGTTGATGGCTCGGGCTTGACTGGATACTCATCGTTGCGGTGGAGTCGAAACGTGGCCGTACGCCTCCGAATGCACGGGACGCCTGCAGGTACGTCCATGGGTTGTATCCAGGGCCGGGGAAAGGCGTTGACGATGGCGAGAACGTGGAGTCCGATAATGCTGCGTGGTTGTTCAGGGCGTACATCTGCATCTGGAGGGCAAGTTGTTCTTCGATCACCGATGGATGATTGGGGTCATAGTTAGAAGAAGGCGCTGTGTGGATGGGATATGCAGAATAGGTGTTGTTGCGCCGAACGTGCGAGAACGGGTAAGGATAGGGCGAGCCTACTGGTGGTGCTGGGCTAGCTTGCATGCTGGATATCAACGGTGACGGAGCAGCAGTCTGGCTGTGAGGCGTAGGCGGTATGGGCGCGACTGGACGAGGAGACTGGAAGTAATGCGATATATAGGCAGCTGCAGCATCATCATGATTTTGATCATCCGAGTAGACTTGATTTTGCAATGGGTGCGGCCGTCCATTGCTCTGGTGCTGGTGCTGGTGTAGTTGCTGTTCTGCACCACGAGTGTCAGAAAACGTGCGGCTGTGTTGGTGCCGCAGATCATGCTCTGGTACAGAGTCAACCTGCTCAGTCGTCAGCCTCACCGGAAGTGCAGGCGACTCACGGCGCTCCTCAGTAGGTCTGACGGGAGGCTTTTCAAAGACTGCAGCGTCGAAGCTGCGGAGGCCTAGTCGGTCTGTGCTGCCATTGCGGTGGTGCTTTGTAAGACTGGCGAGGCGCTGATTTGCGGGTTGCTGCGGGGAGTATTGCCTATAAGGTTCGGGTAAGCTGGCAGTAGGTGAGCGTGGGGTATATGATTCTGGTTCTCCGTCGTGGTCTCCGTCGACGGGGAATTCATTGTCGTTTTCGATGAGAGTGTCATCATCATCGTGGTAGCCATTCACGTGATTATAGCTATCGCCGTTCTTAGAGGCTGCGATATCGTCTTCTGGTTCTTCTTGGACAGGAAGTGACTTGTCAGGAGTTCGGGTCTTCATGGCCTGCAGGGGTGGTGTGTTGCTGGCTAGCTTGCTGACTGCAGGTGGTGTCACGCGGGCATTGTCCGCAGCATTGGCTTTCCGCGCTGTGGGCGGGGGACTGGGTAGCCTATGAGAGGAGCTTGAATTAGATTGATACGAGTCCCGCTTATACGAAACATAATCGACGTCCACTGCAGTCACGCTCTCACCACCGGACGAGCCATTAGGCGTGTGGTAAGAGGGAGAAGCGCGCTCAGGAGAGGGCACACGCTGCTGGGGGTGTCCCAAGGGTGAGTAGGACGGAGACCCAGTCTGACTCGACGGGAGTGAGCGCTCACGCGCACGAGCACTATCGCTCTGTTGGACTTCCTTCTCGCGTTCAACAACGCGCATGGAGCGGGAGCGCTGGACACCACCGCTCCCTTGACCATCTGCATCCTTTGGACTCGCTCGTTCGTTCGCGCGGACGCGATCGCCGACAGGGTCTTTGAGAGGTGAAGGCACCTCGCGGACATACACGGCGCCGCTCGCTGCGCCGCCGGCGTAGGCAACGCCAGACATTCCAGGCACGGGCGGCTGCTGGCTCAGGGCTTGTGCATAGTCCGCTCGCTCAATCTCTGCCATGAGCTCTTCTGTCATATGCCAATTCTCCTCCATGGCATGGAAGTGTGTTAAGAACTGGGGAGGGGGTACCCTGTTAATAGGGCGTGGGTAACCCATTGGTGGATTCATGCCAAGGTGAGCGTGGATGTTGGGCTGACTGAGTGAGTGTTGGGGTAGAGGAGGGGGCTGATGAATGTTAGGCTGGCTGAGTGAGTGTTGGAGTGGAGGTGGGGCCTGATGCATGTTTGGTTGATTCATTGAGTGAATAGGAGCCGATGGGGGGTAGTGCCCCTGGATTGCTTCTTCTCGGAGATGAGAAGGCTGATTGTGTGGAGATGGGAGTTTAGTCACGTTGGGTGCGACTTGCGTGAGGGCAGGCGGAGAGGAAGTGCGTTTTGACTGCGGGGATATGTTTGCAGTGGTGGGGCTTGCCTGTTGTGCCTGGCGTTGATTCGCAGCCTGGGTTGCATTGAAAATTTGCATGACGGAGGGCACGACAGGCAGAGATTGGGCCTTGATCGTCCTTTGTCTTGGAGATGGGGACATCTCACGAGGTGGTGTGTTCTGGGACGAGCCTAATATAAAGCGTCAGTTTTGGGAGTTGAAGCAATTATTGGATAAGAGAAGATCCGGTAGCGTTTTAACAAAAGGCAATGGAATTGAGTACGACGGGTGAATGGAATGGAAGGTGCTGTAGAAGCATAACTATCGTACGAGACGTAAAACTGACGATGTAGAAGGGACGTGTTAGGACACAAAAACGGCCGGGCCATGCTAATCATGATGATCGCCCACACATTGAGAAGGCACTGCGATGGGAACATAGGCACGAGAGCAAAAAATAAAAGGAACAGACCTTGAACACCGGAATACATTTGAACTTTTCTTGGTTTGTGTGGGGAGTGACTGGTAGTTGTCATGGGCTATATAGTGCGCGCAATGACTGTGATGCTCGCTGAAAGATGGGGGAAGAAAGCAAAGGTAAGATCTGGAAGATAACAAGCTGAAGAGCGTAAGTTAAACGTACGCGCGTTTCCAACGTGGCCTAAGGCGTTGCAAGCAGACTGTAGGGGTGGGTAAGGGCCGCGAATGGAAGCGCCGCCTCGAGGCTAACACTAACCTGGCAAGGTACACGCGCCCGGACCGGGTACAATCATTGACCTATGACTTACCTGTGTTAAGTATAACAAGATCAATGATCACTTACATGATAATTCACATTTCCTACGTTCATAACCGCGTTAGTTCAATCAGAATTTAAATTATTACACTCACAAGAAGTTCAAGAACACACCCCAGTCACACCCCAGTCACACGTCACCCTACATCACTTCTCATCATTATGCCGTCTGGCTCACTGGCCAGTGCAAAGTAAGTTCATCAATCAATTTAATACTAGTTCTAATAATTATACAGGTTTCTACAGCTATACGAATCACTTCCACCTGATGCACAGCACGCTCTCGTCGAGAGTTCCCTTGCACCACTTCTCAATGTCATCTCCAAAGACAAATCAAACCGTACTCTTGCATCAGCAGCCCGCATGCACAAAACCTATGCCGACATGCCAACTTTGAACCTCAAAGCAAAAAAATTGGAGATCGCTGCACTTCTCGACGAACTCGCTCGTGACAACAAACGATCATATGTGAAAGAAAAGTCTCGCAAAGAAGAACTCCTCGCAGAAGTCATCGACAGCGTTATCGACTGGCTCAATGATATTTGGAGAGTCGTCTATGAATACGGTACAAATTTCTCAAAGGCCCATGCTTGTCTCTTGTACGCGTCTCAAGCGGTCGAACAGATCGGAAACGCGCGCGTCGGGTAAGGTCTTGTGCAGTCTTAGTTGGCGTGGCTTATATCCTTTCAGGTGCAAGTGTTCTTTCATGAATATGTACATCTCCGTAAAAATAAGACGCTCCTCTGGCAAGGTCGTCAAGTCTTTCCATTTCACTGGCGCGCATAACCTTGAGCGTGTCATGCTTTGGATTTGGCGTGACCTGTTTGTGGTCATGCTTGCCGATGGCACTAAGCGCCAGAAGGCCGCTATACCTGATATGCTCGACGATATACGCGTCGAACATGGCTGGAAAGCCCTCGAGCGATTACTCTACGGTGGTCGAAAAGGTAAGCTCCACTCCCTTAACTAAACTGTGATAACCTTTACGCCGTGGCATCAGCCGATGAAGACGAAGACGAAGATGAAGGCCTTGATGACGATATCGATTATGACGATGACCACAGCGAAGACTACACCGACACTGATGGCAGCTCCAACGGTGCCGCATGCAGCGATGCTCAATGTCCCTGTGGATTCCACGCATCTCATTGGTCTCACAAACTCAATAACGTTCGCATCTCCCTGCGCGATCTCATTCGCACCTTCCTCATCTCCCTCTTCTCCACTATGCCCAGCCCGGCTCTCTTCGCAAGTATTGGCGACATATCCGAAGCAGATGGAATAGACGAGGACGAACTTTGCGAAGAGCTCCTCCCCGCACTCATGTGTGTCGCCACCTACAGCTCCGAGAATTATGCCGCTGCATTGCATATCTGCGCGCTGCATGCCCACGCAGATAATATCAATAGCTTACTCAACAGCCACGCCCACCTTCTGCGTCCTCGTGACGCGCCAGCACATCAGCTTTCAACCATAATTCTTGCCTCAAAACCGTTCTACCAGTTAAATGCACTGCGTATCCTCGAGAAAGAACTGCTCGACACGGCACATGCCATACGCGCCGCCGTACGGAGCGCATTTTGCCATATTGATGTTCAGGCCAATAAGACGGAGCTAACCGAGATACTTGCATTACGCCAGGAGGCACTGGGGCGACGCGGACGGATTGAGCGCTGGGTGGGTGCTGTGGTGACGCCCTCCAGTGACAGCACCCATCCGATGGCACTTGCGGCGCTTATGATGGGTCTTCCTCTCCCACCTGGGATGGAAGGGGCTATGGATGACGCGGACCCGCTCGGGTACATTGACTTGGAGATTGATGATCCGGAGCTAGATGACCTGCGGGAGGAGTTCCGACCAAACCTCAAGGCACGCCTCGATGGTTGGATAGCGGCAGGCCGGACAATAAAGGGAGGAATGGCAGTGCTACTGAATGTGTATACTGTCATCCTGGAGATGATGCCCTTCATGGGTGTGCAGGACATAGTAGATGAGATGACAGGACGGTGGGTTCTTTCCCGCTGACGTCTTATACTAACTGATCGAATTGTCGACAAAGGCTCTCCGACAAACCAAGCAAAATATTCCTCATCGATGCGCTTGAAGCACTGTGGGAGTTCTGCAGGCAGCAGAAACGCAAGTTTACGAAGCCAAAAAACAAGCAAAAGCCGTCCTCTGCCCCGGGCACATCTCAAACGCCGGGACAGTCAAGTACTTCTGGGGGAGTCACGTTCGTCACGATAAATAATCCGCAGCCTCGTCCGGGTGGAGGGATGGATGATGTCGATTGAGTTTACCCCTTTTCTTTCTTTTTCTTACAGCGCGCATTCTTAGCTTACTAGCATGTTATTTTCGTGGCACTATCAGTATCAATTCGCCTCACTCTTGAGTGACAAACCACGATCTAGGGTTAGGGTTAGGGCCCCAAAACACACACAAACACCTTAACCGCATCCTTGTTTCCATATTTGGGACTTACCTTGTCAAGATCTTCACAGAAACGACTCCTTGTATTCAGGGTGCATCCAATCAGTTCTGACCTTGGTGAAAAATACAAAGATTCCATGAGTCTGCGTGGGTTGACGGGCGTTACAACTCCGCGATGTGAGTGTACCCATGGTATTTCTTGTCTGGGCCCATTAATAGCGGCAGGCCATTCCCTCGTAAACAGCGTGCCTTGCCATAGTGGCACCCTGGCTTCTCAGACATTTCCGTATATGACGCGCCTTGTCGCGGCCATCGGGGCTATATAGGCTCGAGTCAGCGAGTGCCTTGCTGTAGCACTTCCATCGCGCAGTAACTGGCCGTACTTTAAAGTCCCAGAACCGCCTCCTTCATTTTCTTCTTATAACTAAGAGCTCCAAGCGGCCACAATATCCTGAGCCCTCCGCCCGTCGTTCATTCATCCATTCATCTTATTCGTTCTTTTAACCCTACTTGCAAGCCAAGATGATGTTTATTTTCCGCTCGACCTTCATCACCGCCGTCTCAGCGTTCGTAATGGCGCTTTGCCTGTTTTCGATGTCTGGTACGTGCAGCCGCTGTGGTTCTTTGTGTTTTGACTCATCTCGTTACTATAGCTTCTGCTGCACCCCAATTCGGCCGTCCCATGTTACATGCATTGGATGAAGTCACAGTGTCTTCTGGGACCGCTGAGCCAGTCCCGACGTCAGCAGTCACAAGCACGGGCACAGACCCGGAACCTGATCCTCAGGTCATTGAAGCAGCCACTCCACCCGTATGTGTTTATCGTTTCGTTCCTGCGATAGTGATTCTGATGCTACATGATTTTCAGGCGTCAAGTGCATCTCTGACGGCGCCGGCTGCCGTCAATACCAGTACGAACGGCGCGTCGAAGAGTTTGTGTGGTGGTATGAGCGTTGTGCTGGGTGTTGCTGTGAGTGGGGTGTGGTTGATGCTCTGAATTGTCGAGCTACGGCACCGCAGCTGTTAGTGTTGGTGTTGAGCTGCACTCTGATCCTGATCCTGATTCATCTCATATGTGAGACGTTATTTATTTCTGACCCCTGGTCATGCTATCTCTGCTTTGTTTTTCGTTTCTTTGCTGTCCTTGTTATCGGATGTCTCTGTCGCTATATAGACTTTAGCCTGGATCACTGCTAGTTGTTTATGTATTTGCTAGTTCCTGCGTTTGTAGCCTTTACCTTTACTTTTACTCACTTGGTGCTTACTGTATCCTTTATTTTCTCCGTTGCATATGCATTCTTTCTGGTCATGCATGCAGTGAAGACATGTGACTCGCAAGAAATCACCCAAACCCGTCAGACATGAAAATCCAACTCTAATTTTACGCATCGATGTTTGAATAAACATCGACCGTATCAAACCGTATCGTCGATCTCCATTGCCTTACCCCATCGTATCTATCATATCTAGTTATCAATTGTTTTTGTAGCATTGGCAAATTTAACTGTTTCGAGTGTTGCGCTCGAAACCTTTTATGTCCACCTTTTATGGGCAACGACAATGCACAGGTCTTCGTCGCGAAGCTGTCGACGTTGTTGTTCAATGACGTTGTTGTGATGGTGGAGGTGACTAATCATTAATTTGGTATTCCATCGATGACTGTCCCGGACCGACCAACTACGATGAACGTCTATTTGGAAATCAACGTAGCGAATTAGTGCGATAATGACGCCTGCTAGGCTAAGTCGTCGTGATCCGGTGCGTCTGGAGGGGTCTACCATCCTGCCGTGATCACGAAGAGAACCCCGATGAAATTGATAAATAAGGAAGATCGTTCGAGGTGTTGATAGATAATCCTTAATTTTTAATTCCATTGGACTTGGATACACATCCGGTCTCCAACGCAATGTCTAAATGAGGGAAGGGTGTAACACCTCCACCCATAGCCGAGTTCAAAGAGAGGAATGTGAATGCAAGCAGTGAACGTAACGTCTGATGACGCGTGCAGTGAACGTTAACGCGATTGGGGGAAGGGAAGGCTTATAGAAGTAGCTGCGACAACGCTTGCAGCATACGTAAGTATGTCTGTAAGATATAGCTGAATCTAGTTGAATGGGGGGCTTGATAGAGGTTAGCCGTAAACGGTGCTGAACAGAGGCACACCCATTAATCTTGATCCGAAGATAGCGGTACCGATCATATGTGCATCATGAAGTAGAGACCTTGGCTTTGGCAGACCTACGTAGGTCAGAGTGGGAGTAACACAGATACAAGCGTCCATCTCACAATAGTCTCATTGGGACGAACGACAAGAGTAGGCACACGTATCTCTGGTTTACCCTCTCCTCCATTTTTTGTAGCAAGCTAGATGCACAAAGGGCTTCAGGTGACGCGGTCAACGTAGAATACAGTCTTGACGTACGAATATCACGGAACATGGTAGGAGATAATCATTTAAACCTAATTCCAATGTGCGCCAAACCTCCGGTTCCAATGCTGAAGTGGCAAATTTCCGAAAGAAGTCTGGGCGCAAGATTTTAATACTTTATTCCCGCAGTACTGGGCGAATATGATCTTACCGGGGAAAGTAGCAAACGTCAAGTAGAAGATACCTGATACGCGATCTCAGTCCACATCCAATATGACTACTATCGACTGTAGATCCTAGATAGATGACATCAGTAGCCGCGTGGTACCAAATTAAACTTACAAAGATATCGGCATGAAGCATAAGTACCATGAAACTCTGGGTCAAAAGTATGTTCGATCGCTTGTTGATCCATAAATAAATCCACTTATTCATGTGGCGTGCGGTGAGGACAGCATTAGCTGTCACTTTGAGATCCGGCGCCACTTTTCCCCTGATAATTGGCACATATGCTTCTCTCAAGACAGGGACATAACAGGTCCGATGACGGAACCTTGCCAGATGAATCTGAACATGAGTCAACGTGGCACACCGTGAAAACGCACATATTAAATTTCCAACATTGCATAAGTGCCATAGCCGATCGCGTTCCGAGAAGAGGTCGTTTAATGACACATCCGCCGCATTCTACGCTCCCCGCCTATCAAGCTTTAGAGAGTAAGCAAAGTTGCGATCCTAGCGGGTCCAAAACATGCCTGGGGACCAAGAAGCGATGGAAGATTTCCGACAACGCTGCCGCAAATCAAGGACGAATATAAGGAAGATAGTATGAGAGTCAACATATGACTGATGGATCGGTTAAGCCAGTGTTTGAAGCAGGGAAAATCGGAAGGCAGTGAGATATGTCACATCCGGGACAGACGGAAGATGCCAACCTGGTGACCACACAGGTTCCTGTCATATCAATGCATCAAACAGGGCAACTGTAGCACACCAGTGATGCATCACTACCTGAGTACTTTGGTGCATCACTTGTGCATCACCCAATGTATCTTTGATGCATCCCACCACCGCATTTTTAGACTGTGGGAAATTTGTCACTACACCCAAAACATAGCCATTTCTGGTCATCTCCTGGATCTCAACATTTCCCACACTCCTCCCCAGCACATTCCTGCCCACCACCATACCATATCCACCTATCTACTGTAGAGAAGTATTAGTGTATGCTATTTACATATAATAGGTCACAATAGAACGCTTTTTTGTCTGTTTCTGTCCCAATACAAGCTCCAGAGACCTGTACATATAATACAGGAAAAACATATCAAAAACACATCCGCATTTTTGCCCCTTCAATGATAGAATGTCTTGACACACTAATTATATGTTTTTGAGTATATATGAGTCTATTCCACCGCTTGTTTGGCCCTCTAAAGGTCCCTACACCACCAGATGTAGTATGCACACAAAAAAATAACAAATAGCTTCGCATTTTTTCAGTTTTAATGACAGTCCTAATCAGTGAGAATAGGAGATGTATCCTTGATATAAATACTCTGACATTTTCCTGTCTGATCCCTGGCCAGGGAAGACTTTATATATGTACTAGAAGTTAAATATAAACAGTTTGGATAGTTTGTGTGGTAAAACCTCAAAAATGCGAAAATATGCAGTAGTATAGCCAGGACGAGATATTCCATTGTAGAGAAGGATTCTGTTGCTATTCTCATGCAGCTATGTGATTTACATACTCTAGATATCAATAGGAACAGGCACCCTACCATCCTGGAGCGCTGGAGCTGCAGGATTTTTTCCCCCAGGGGGGTGAACCACCAGGAGAGGGTAAGCACATAGTACCACAGGGACTGATCCTGTTGACCTAGGCTCCTGATGTGTTGCATATGCTATTGAAGGAATGTTGGGGATCATACTTCCAAGTCTATATACCTAAAGCTCAAAAAATGCGTAGCTATTTTCTATTTTATGCTAGTACAGCACAGTACATGATATGGGGCGCTCTAGGGGATGTATTAAGGGCTGTCATATGTTCATATATATGTCTAAACATGCTATAAACACTCTAGAACATCTACATATCAAAGGGACCGAGAAGTGAACATATTTTTCATATGTTTTCCATTGTGTCACTTTTGAGGGGGCCCTGTAACAGGTATTAGAACAAAATTGTACAAAAAAAAGCGGTCTATTGTGTTCTAATATATGCATATAACCTGAACTACTACTTATCTACAAGCTATATCTAATTGTGGTGTGGTGTTGGTAGCGCTAATGCATCACTACTAACCTTACAATTACAGGGATTGATGCATCAATATGACAGGAACCTGTGCATTGATAAAAGACACCTATGAACTCGACTTCCGTACGTTTTATGGTGACACGGGGGAGGAGTCATTCGAGATATGGCTATCTTTGTCGTAGCACATGCAGACTAGCATAACTGGATGCCTCCTATAAATGTCGTTCATTTTGGTGATATTGTGCTTTTGTGCAATGAATACTAGATGTCCACTAGAGTTCGCGCATTTTGGGGGTAACGTCTATTACTCCACAACGTACAAACATAAAAATTTAATTCTTTTACAGTTCGATAGCCTGACATCGAAAGTACAACATCTACTAGTTTTTTTTTGAAACTCGACGTGTTGAGTCTGGCGGAGAGTTACTACCGCGCAGAAAAGTGCATTTTCCCTAGTTCGCGCACTTTGTCACACCATGTCACACGTCTGCCGCAATGCCTTTTCACACTCCGCAGTGTCCGCAACCGTTCGTACGTACTAGTGTGTTGCGAGGACTTCAATTTGGCATTGGTGTTTTTGTGCCGCATTGCGGAGTTTCCATTTACACAGTCTCGATGTAACGCTTTGGATAGATTGTCACGTCTGAGGCATATTTCTTTTATTACAGATGATCCTGACAAGCATGTGGCCCCAGAGAAATTTGTTTTAGTATTCTCTCATCGTGTATAACCATCATACCGCATTCCAGAATTTTATGTGGTGATCTGACATTTAGAGCGAGCCTTCTACGCACAAAACTAGCCTCCAGCACCAATAAGTTGGCCATGGGACGAGATCTACTTCGATTTTCTTCAAATAAAAAACATGGCACTGTGTATTATGTTGGGGGGAACCTAAATGCAACATACATAAGAATTCCGTGCAGAATTGCGTGTGCTAGAGTCAATGCGCGAACTCTTGGGACACACGGACTCGTGGGACTATCTAGTATGTACATGTTGGCGTGTTTCTTCGGGGGCCGTGCTTCAATTGATGGACTCTGATCGGTGAGGTACGGACAAACAGCGGGGTACTCTGAGCTCTCAGCAACGGTTCGATCATGCAATTGTGGTAATCCCCCTGTCGTAATGAGCATACGATATAATACAAATATCTCGGGGGAATATTCCATGCGGGTATTGTCGAGGTATAAATGAAAATGCGTCAGAAATACTCATGTTTTGAAATGCATATAGCTACAATATCTCTAGCGTCCTGACATCCATCATGTCACGAACAGAAGCCATGTCCTTGACTTGCGCGATGATATTGTTATCCGAAGCAATCCTCTTGTACTCTCCACCCCGTTGCTGCGCTAGCAAAAGTGCGCCAAAAGGTTGTCCCAAGCGAGCGATCAACCTCAATTCTCGTGCGTGAGGCTCTGTATCAACAGGTTCATCATCCCCAGGATACCAACCGAGCGAATCGTCTAGTGGAGACTCAGGCATAGATTCGACCATGTCCTGCGCATCGTCTGAAAAGTCAGGTAGCTCGAGATCATCCCGATTCCATGGACGG